TAAAATCGTTATATCTGTGTAATAATAAAATCATATTTACTTGGTCACTTGATTTATATAAAATATCAATGCAATTAAATAATTTATATAAAATATTATGCCCCGATATGCGCCAAGAAAAAATTATCATGAATAATTGTCTCGTAATTCTTTTTTATTTGGTGATAATTGTCTCATAATTTGTGGAAGTTCAGTTTAGTTGACATAATTTGTTTGAGTTTCCATTTAATATAAAGATTCATATCTTCTGGTTCCACTCACCTGCTTTTGTCCTGCCCTTTTGAATGTGTTTCTAAATACAATGTACAAACCCCTTACTTATCCAAATGGTGGTAATAATTCAACAAGATGTTCTAATCCTGTTTTTTTTTTTTTTGACCAGAGGTTCTAATCCTGTTTTTATCTTCATAATATACTATCATGTACAGGTACATGAAATTAAAGTATATTAAAGCAATCATAACAATTGACCTGCACCAAATCGTAATGGGAAAGGAAAATAGAAGTCACGTTCAAGTCATCAAACAAATTGTCCGTAAGATTGAAGTACAATTGATTCTATCCCTGTTTAATAGGCGCCGCCCCTATGCCCTCTCTATATATAACCTGGAAAGTAAATACATAACGAACTCTTTTACTTACTTTATAAGAATTTTCGATTAGTTTAATGAATATTTTAGGCTTTTCAATGGGGTTAGGTTATAGGCATGATCTTTTTGAATCCTCTCAGGCCTCAGCTACTGAGAGCTCCAAAACAAAGGCTAATTAATTACTGTGTTGTAGGGTTACAGATTGTCGCTAAGCATTGGTCCCTATTTTATTAAAACAGTATATTATCTTTCAATATCTCAAGCTTATCTTACATTGTTCAACTAATGGGGCGCATGACTGAGGCACTCAGCACTAATCAGCTTCTCTCAGTGATATAAAGCTGGGCGCCTCATAATTAATGGATATGATTGGGACACTGTTAGTGTTCATAGATTCTTCGCCCTTTTGCAGTATCGTATTTTCTACCTTCGTATGTGCTATGATCTTTGACCATATCTGGAGACCAAATTACGACTTGGCACGTGTGATGAACCCAAAACACTACTGATGAGTCTTGATTATATTGGATACGTGTTTGTTTTTTTTTTTTTAATGAAAACTTGAAGAGTACGTAAGCAAGATACACATGTTCGTATGCTAGAGAGTTGGAATTAGCCTTGTTGGTATTTGACGAGGGAGGAGCTCCGAGAAAATTAGCACTCTTCGACCAATATCATTTAATAAGTTTATCTGTTTATGCTGATATCTGGATTTGCTTATAGGTATGGTTTCTAGAAATCACCTTTTTTAATTAATACAACGTGGATTCAGTTGACATAAGAATTTGACCTATAATTTTAAACTTTTGAGTTCATGTTATCTTATTAATGTAAAAAAATTTTATTAGTGAATAATCTATAAGTACCTATAAATATTAACACTTTTTTAAGTTTTGGTTTTGATGATTTCGAGATTCAATTCTTTTAAATTTTTTTTTGGATTAAAAAGAGATGACTTTATATGTATGTATACATATGAAGGAAAGTTACGAGATAAATTATAGAATTATATAAGCCCCATCAATGAGTGTTATCCCTTGCTGTGTGATACATATATTGTTGACCCGATCAATATATATATATATATATATATAGGTGTATATAATGAGAAGGCCTATGGAGAGAGACATGTCGACGTGTCCTGCCACGATGAAAGGGTAGTAGGTTTTGGTTGGCGGGGTACTCTTCCTTCCACTTTAATTTAAGGTGGCTTTTTTTATTTGCAATACTGTCAATACTTGCATAATAATATTATATTGTTTTTCTCGTTTTCTCAGGGATAACCCTAGTTCGTATGTTATGCTTTTAGGTCCTGACCCATAGGTATTAGCATATCAGATCTTAGCTTTTTTTTTTTGTATAGCAAGATTTTTATTTGTATCCTCAAATAATAATTTTTCAAAAAAAAGAAATGCAATTATATAAAGTATTGCTGAGTATTAATAGTTAAAAACACACACACACAAAGATGCATGGCAAGCGTAACTCTTTTTCTGCTGCATAGTCCCAGTGATTTAATTTTCAGTAGAGGTGAATGAAGAACATATAGTTAATGAAAAGGAAAAAGAAAGACATAAGCGTGGCCCATGCATTTTGATTCATTGAAGGGATCGGAATATGTAGGAAAATTAAAGGGGATAGGCGGACGCACGTCCGAAACGGGAAAACTCTTATTTGTTTGCGTTTGTTGTTGCTGTGGTAGTGAGAAGGAACAGGTTGTCGGGCTATATGAAGCAGGTGGAGGGTAATTGAAGAAGGAACCACACAAGTGTCCAGTTTTTGAGGCTCCCACTCGGTCTGCGTCCATCCATATATACTCCTCCGGTCCTTAATATAGGACCCAATTATTGAGTTGGTTTTGGTCGTAAATATAAGACCCATTTATCATATTTATCAATTTTTTCTAAATTACCTCTATAGATACTTTCTCAACAATAATCAAGTAGAAGAGGGAGATGGGGTATTAGATAAAATTATTATGGTGTTTTAGGAAAAACATGTCACATTTTTTATAATTAACTAACTTACCTAACTTTTTTAATTTAATCAAATTAATCAAATGGGTCTTATATTAAGGAACGGAGGAGTATTATATATATGGATGCTCGTGTTTCATATATCCCCCGTAAGCATCAAGTTTGGAACACAGCTTGTCTTCTCCATTTTCCTACACATGGCCTCCTCCTTTATACCTAAACCTAACCCCCTCTTTATTTATTCCTTTATTTCTGACTCTCCATTAGTATCCCCACATTCTTTATTACTATTTCCTCCCGTGTTATTTTGGTCGGTCGTGTCACCAATATCTCTTTCAATTTCTGCCTTCCTCCACCATTTACTGCCTCTTTATCACCATTACTTTTTATGAATTCTTTTTCGTGACCTTAATTATTTCCCTGGCTTCTGCATCCTGCTTATTTCTGAGGACATCAATAAAACGAAAATAATGTTAAAGAATAACACTGGCCCAGAAATGGGTAAGGGTAAATACCATCATCATCATATTTTAAAATCGGGGCAGGATGTCCTCGCGTAGTCCCACACCATATATATGGGCACACTTCAGGACTCTACCTTTTGCTCTGCCACTATGCATCTATATATGTATCCTTCCATCCAAGGGAATGACCAAAATAATTAGAAACATTAAGGGAATGTGAGGCCTGCATTGAAGCCAAAGGGTGCGTGTGAAGCTTCCAATAAAACAACATGGATGTGAGACTCATCACAACAAAATTTAGGTGAATATGTATATGTGGGTGGTAAAAAAGCCAATAGTGGTGGTGTGGGGTTTTACTTCAGCTCCAGACTTGCAGCCAAATGGCGGGATCATATAATTGCATCTTCCTGTAAATGGAGTTTAAAAAGTAATACTCCTTTAGTCCTTAATATAAGATCTAATTAACTATTTTGAGTAGATTAAAAATATTAGTTAAGTTGCTTAATATGATATGCTCTCTCTAAAACGCTCTAAACATTTTTCCTAACTCTCTCCCTTCGCCCTTACTTGATTATTTGTTGAAAAATATTGATAGAGTTAATTTGAAAAAAAAAAACAGTAAACACATGAAATAGATCTTACATATAGGAACAACATCAACTTTCTAATTACGTCATATATTAAAGATCAGAAGAGTATTAGTTTTCTAATTGAAAACATTAAAAGGCGGCAAGAGAGAGGGGAAAAAAAAACATTGCAGGTATGGACACGAGATTTCTCCTTCTGTATTCGTTAGTATCTGTCTCGCTCACTGTGTTTATTTCATAAATATGAACACCAGAATTTCACAAAAGATTCTTACAAAGCGAAAGAAAAACACATGAGCATAATTCACGCGTCGACGTTCTTTCTTATTTATAGAATTGATAATAATAATAATAATAATAATAATAATAATAATAATAATAATAATAATAATAATATAAAATAGCGTGCTAAATGTAGCTATGTATACAAGAAAAGGAATAATAGAAGCCTCGCACTCTTGCAAGTGGGCAGGGGTAGATTCCATCAGAAACATGCATGTGTGGGGGAAAGAATCATTTAAGGAAAAAAAGTGAGAATTTGAATTTTATGATTGACAGACATACACACCATTCTGTTGGGTGCAATTGCTCATGGGAGGAGCAATCTAAATAGAGGTAATTCCAGAGCCCATCACTCACAAATCTAAACCATTCAAATCAACTGGATGGTCAATATTATTTTACTTTTATATTTTCAACCTCTTATTACTTTGATACGTGCAAAAAAAAATGAATTTATTATTTAAATATTTTAAATATAAATATTCAAAACTAATATAAACAATCCAAAACTCACATGCAAGGATCAGCACTGAGATGATCATCCAAACCCTTTTCAACATAATATGTCATTCGGTTTCTTATATTAAGTGTTTATAAGCAAATTCATGTAAAACGAGACAAAATTATTCTTACATATTTTATAAATCATGAAGACAATAATATGTAAGGCAGTTAGTAAATATGAGTAATTCTTTTAATAAAGAATCTTTTTTGACCAGAGATTCTAATAAAAAATCAAAATCTTAATTCAAAATTAACTCTTTTCGCTGGTACGTAACTCTCCCCCGCTGGTTTAGGAATAAGCATTGAACCTACACCATCGCTCTTGGTTCTGCGTGCCTGGGCCCAAAAACCGTCTTTCTTGGTTTCTTGCTTTCCACAGTTCCGAAATTACAACAATACCCACGATGAGAATGATGCGTTTTATGGAAATTCCGGATTTCAAATTTCAAGGTTTTCTTGACATTTTTTCCTTTTTCTTTTTAATATAATTTTCCTCCCACAAATCTCCATCTCCTCCCGCATCACTACAATATAAATTTGATAACCAAATGACCCTTTTTGCTTTTCCGAGGAACGCCACGCTTCCAAGTCCAAACCTCCTCTTTCTCTTCACCCTCTCCAATCAAGTAATGCAAAACTAACCTACTGGACTGGATCTCCTCCTTCATCAGAAAACTATCAAAGCATGAAACCTGGGATTCTATCGTAAACACTCATTCTGATCATTATTCTCTGCAAAACTCAATACTCTTGAGTCTTCATTCTGGTAAGTGCCTTCTTGTCCACGCCCACTTATTTCTTAATTTGCTTGATCTGTCTTGTTTTTTAGTTTCCTGTGGCTGGCTATCGCTCCCTCATTGCTTACCAATTGATTCATCCTTCTCAAAACTCTCCGGCATCACCCTCAGATTAGCAATGTCGTTGACCCGCGGCATAAAATGTTTCTTTGTTGTTTTGTTCCGTATCACTGCCTTGCCCGTATATCAAGTCCTGCTTTCTCTGTTATGTTTTTTTCCCTGTTCTTCCCATGTCGTCGAATCTCTCGGATTTGACGGTTCTTGTTTTGTTTTCGACACCCAGTGCAAGACAGTGAAGCATATTTGAGGAATCTGATTCCGGGTCCAGTTAGATTGATTTGTTTTCATTAGTTTCTCCAAGCTCGCTTCTTTTTCTGTCTGGCCTTCCATAAACCAGTTGATCTGCATATTCTTGTTTTGTTTGATGGTCTTTCTCTGAAAGACAGAATAGTCAGAAAAGGCGCACCTTTAGAAAAGATGTGATGGAGATCTCTCATTCACTTTGAGATGATTACTAAGCATGAACACAGATAAAGAATCCCAAATCTTTTTACTTGTTTAATTCTTCATCACTCTGTCATCCCCTCTGTAAAGCCCCATGCTTGAGCTCCTAAGCAATCATTCTTGGAAGGAAGAAAAGGATGAACCTGGCCTTTTCTCTGATTCTCTCTCTTGTATATTATATCCACAAGGTCTCCTTTCTTTTATTTTTCTTCCGCCTACGGTCTGGACTCAGAAGCTGTCTCCATTTCCCCTACAATTTGGCCTTTTATATTGCCATTGAAAACTGCTCAGCACTATTTTAAAGCATTTTTAACGATCACTTCTCATACCCAACAAGAATTTTTTGACTTCTGTGGAGACTTTCTGTAGTTGATATTAAAATTAATTATTGGAATCACCTTCGCCCGAAATGGCATTTTCTAATCGGCGATTGTTGTTTGTTATGTTGTCGTCTTTAGTGATCGGGAGCGCATCAACAATGAGAACAGAGCCGAGAAAAATATCCAAGGTATGCACCCCACAATATTCTTCTCCGGCGAGATATTATCATTTCGGCGATCTACGATCTCTCCCTGATGCCAATATTTTCTTCATTTTCAATTTGTGTTACATTTCAGGCTTCCTGGACGAAATTATTGGCGAGGAAGTGGCTGAACAGAAAAAACGGAGCTCACAAATTTCGGTCAGATTTCTCTGCGTTAGGTAGCTACAGTTTGGCTTCTGATTTTGTAACTGTTTTTTCCCTTTCGGGATTATTAAGAAGTTAGAAGCTGAAAGTTCTTGTTGCTACCGCTGGCTGCAGGAACCAAGAGCGAAAGAAGGAAAAGCTGCTCGGACCAAGACAGCTACGACGTCGTAAGGAACAGTCTCTCCTTCTCAGGTAATTAACCGGCCAACACTTCAGATACCTTACGTTTACGTACGAGTGTGATGGGTCCGAGCCGTTGGATACTCGGATGGACGGCCTGACTGATATGTGATAAGACGTAGAACAAAAGGCGGTGACTTTGGGGGAGGATTGGGTGACTCCATGCCCGAAACTGAAATTCTCCGGGGGGCCCCAAGGGACTTGCCACGTGGATCGTCGTTTTCCTGGAACCCAATTAGTCTATGATCTCTGTTTTTAGTTTCAGCAGCTAGCAACCCACGCGAGAGTCTGTAGGCTATAGGCTTAGCTATAATAAATATTCGTGCTTTATATTTTCCCTCAATTATTGATTTGAGGTTTTCTTTCTACAGAGAGATTTTTGGTGGAATCTACGGACGGAGCCAGACCTTCCACGCATGAGGAGGCACCACCTGTCCAGGATACGTTTGACCTCAAGTAAACACTCAACATCCCTTAGAAATTGGTTAGTGAAGTACGTAAAACTATTGAACGAGACTGTTAATGTTGACTTGGGAAAAATGGAAAATTGTGTAGGATGTTCGCCGGGACATGGAACCTAGGAGGGACGTCGCCGAACGACAACCTCAACTTGATGGAATGGCTCAAGTCTCCTTCGCCGGCAGACATCTACGTTATTGGGTATTTTCTCAGTTCTCAAAACTCCAAGATCCTGCTTTCACTTTCAAGTTTCAGCCATAATAAAAAAAACTCTTAAGGGCAAACCCTGATCACAATTGAATAGGCTAATGGTTTCGCCGTAGTCTTCAGTTGGTTGCATTATTGAATGACCAAGATCCACTCAGAGAGATCAGAAGTCAGAACTGCGTCTTCTTATCCTCTCATTTACTTCCTTTTATTTTTATTTTTCCAGTTAAGAGTGCAGTAGTACTGTAGTACGCTGTGCATTCACTGCCGTTAACGGTACTGTGGTACTGTCACACACAACACGCTTCATCAACGTGCACTCACCCTTTAGCTTTTAAGAGCAAGACCTCCCCGAATAGGGAGGGACCTAGCTAGCTCCATGTACGAAGATTTATGTGTTTATGTACTATATATATGTCGTTTTTAGGCAGTAAAAAAGAATCACATTTGATAACTACATTACAGTTCATCGTATAAAAAAATTACACTTTCTTAAACTCGGTTGGGTTCTGCAAATCTGCAGTGGTTAAAAGTAATGTCTGTTTTCAGGTTCCAGGAAATCGTGCCTCTGAACGCAGGGAACGTGCTTGGCCCCGAGGACAGTGGCCCAGCAGCCAAATGGCTTTCCCTTATTCGTCAAGCCTTGAACACTGAACGGTCTGAGGAAGACCTCGATCACGATCACGACCGCGAGGATTCTCACTCTCGTCCCCAGAATTACAATGACGAGGCCACCAATCAGCAAGGAAGCCAAAAGCCGAGGTTCAGTTTCTCGGACTACCTTACCTTAGAGGACGAACTGGGCACTGAAGAATTTGCCAAATTGTCTGGTGACAAGTCAAATGCAAATTTTAGCGGTGAGAACTCTCCCGCTTTGCCTTCTACAAGGGGGAGACATTGCGGCAGTCCACATCATCAAGGACGCTATTGCCTAGCAGCAAGCAAACAAATGGTCGGTATCTTCTTGTGCGTGTGGGTTCGTTCGGACCTCTGCAGACACCTTTCCAATTTGAAGGTGTCCTGCGTTGGTAGAGGCATCATGGGCTATCTGGGAAACAAGGTTAATTGTTTGGACCTATGTTGTCTGGTTCCCCAATTGATTCCAGAGCCACATGTAATTACTAATCACTCACACTTGCCTTTTCTTAATTACAGGGCTCTATATCAATTAGCATGACGTTATACCAAACGTCCTTTTGTTTCGTATGCACCCACTTAACCTCGGGAGAGAAAGACGGTGATGAGGTGCGGAGAAACTTTGACGTCTCCGAAATTTTGAAGAGAACTAAATTTTCCCACTCTTTCAATTCTACGGATCTTCGACTCCCTCCTGAGACCATCTTGCAACACGAGTAAGTCTTTTTTTGGTCAATTCAAACTTGAAACAGTTCACTGATCACCTTGGTTATAATTTCTGACCGGGCCTTTTTCCTTCGTTTTTGGCACGTGCAGCAATATTGTTTGGCTTGGGGATTTGAATTATCGGTTAGCTTCTGGTTCCGAGGACACATGTGAGCTACTAGAGAAGAACGATTGGCTGGCACTTCTAGAGAAGGATCAGGTAATTAACTAACATTTGTTACTTAATCCTTTCGGAGCTTAACATGTTTTTGGTTCTTTTCTGACGTTGGATTGGCCGTGATTGGCAGCTAAGGATAGAGCAGAGAGCTGGTCGTGTATTTGAAGGTTGGAATGAAGGGACGATATCTTTCGCCCCTACTTACAAATACTTGGCCAATTCCGATCGCTATGTCGTCCATTCCTCCAAGTCCAAGGAAAAACGTCGTACTCCTGCTTGGTAAGGTTACAGCATTCCCTTACAATAAATACTGTATATGCTTTTACCTTCTTTTAATTGGGTGGCCAATATATTCATAGTTCGTACTGTATTACTGTTTCTCTTGCGTGGTTCTGTCTTCTAAATGAACCGTGCCAGTGGAGGCAAGGCATCTTCAATAACATTGTGGTCACGATATTGAAAATAGAGCCATTTGCATTTGTTTAAAAAGTGATGATTGATGATATGTCTCTGCCTGTGTTTAATTCCCAATTAGTCAACCATAAGCGGGGTCATTAATAAACAGAGTACCGTGTCAATGTTATCATTAGCAACGAGATTCCTCGTATTATCCAATGTGGTTTAAGACTGTGCATCACCTGCCAACTCGAAGATTAAAAATACTAAATCTCTCATTGTTTCCAATAAAAAATCACATGCAACAACTCCATCTCAAAATTTAAAATTTTGTTTCAGGTGCGACAGAATCCTATGGAAAGGAGAAGGCCTAAAGCAGGCGTGGTATGTGCGAGGAGAGTCAAAATTCTCAGACCACAGACCAGTATATTCACTCTTCTCAGTTAAAGTAGACTTAACAACGAGCAAGAAGATAATTCCAAATGCTGCTTCAGCCCTGTCATCGACTTGCCCGGCCAAGGCCAAGGTTCAGGCAGAGGAACAGCTCATGTTGCTGACACGGTTACCTAGTTGAATAGACAAAGCAACCTTGGCTCTGACTTTGATTGACACCTGACAAGGTTTATAACACAGCGCTTGGGAAGAAGGCCAAGGGTTCAGGGATTGGCCGGCGTGGGTGTGTTCCTCACTTTTACTTGGAACATGCAAGCCTTGGCGTGACTCCTTTGTGGCAACCCACCCAATAAAAAGTTTTGATAAGTGAGTATATAGCAATTTGTACATAATTTGAGAGATTTGAGGTGACAATGATTAGAAGGTGTTGGGTGTAGCAGAGGAGTAACTCAGAAGCAAAACAAGAAGACAGGACAGTGGAGAGTCGGAGAAAGAGGTGCCTGCTTCTGCGGGAGGGCATTTTTGTCATGCGTGTTCTTTTTTGTTTATTTAATGTTTTTCCATTTTTAAATATTGGGTATGGGTATTCATTTGAATCTGGCCTTTGGGATGTTATATATATATATATTGATGTGAAAGCTGGTTAGATTTTAGGGTTTAGCCCAGCTTTTGCTTGCCGGAATGATGATTTCCATTCTTTCCGATTCAAAGATGAAGGGAATGACATGTAAGCCATTTTGTCTGTTTTTGTGATCATCATTCAAAATTTCAACGCACAAAATTTTGCTCTGTGACGAATCTGAGGCGAGCAAGCTTAGGCATCTGTGATTGTTTAATTTGGTGAGATAAATGAATCGCCATCTAATCTGAACTATAGTTGTTGTCTTTTCATTTTCAGATGATAAATATGTGACGATGGTAATCTAAAGCTGAACAAGTTGGACCCACGTTATTAAATCAGCATAAAAATGACAAGTAACCATTAAAGACAAGTTTGGCTAATTGCAATCCGCATTCCGCAGGTTGGTTGTTCGGTTGTGTTTTGTTTATTCGTTAAACGCTGAGCCAATTTCGTCGTCTCCAGAAACAACCTCATTCAAAGATACCAAATTTTACGAGCAATATTAATGTATTTACGTGTTTCAACTTTTATCTTCTTTTTTTTTGGCTTTTATATAGACTTTCTGATTTACGTTTTTTTTTTCCCGCCAAACTGATTTATTTGTTGATGACAAACTTAGAATTATTAAAAAAAAACTATTTAACATACCACCAATATCAATATAGAGTAGAAAGTTTATAGTGAGCTACGCTAGGTTTTTTTTTTTTTTTGACCCGAAGAGCTTCGCTGGTTATAACTTATAACATATCATGACTAGAATGTAATGGGCTGCTTACGGGATACAGTGCTGATTTGAAAGTGGCACCAGTTACAGGGTGCATATTTGAGGGGGTATGACCTTTAGCCGCCCCTGTCAACCAATCGTCGTTTGCCACGTTGCCGGAAGGAGCCCACATGATTTCGTAGCGTGAAAGCTGGTTAGATGAGGCAGCCGCACATGGTGATCCTGCCCTGACCCCCCACCTCAACCAATGCCGCCCGAATTAACTCTTTCATCAAGACACGTGTACGGTTCCGATGACGCCTCCCTCCATGCCCTTCTGCACTCGGCCATCTTCTCACTTTCCCCTCGTCGACATATTCCTCCCCATCTGACTTCACCCAACTTGCTAGATCTTGCCGCTGACCCCGTCCGTACTTTAGCCGGCGTTTTTTTCCGGTCATTCTCCGATGGGCATATTTTTAAGTCTGGGTTGATCGTGTGGCTGTGAGGGTATGTATCTAGAGATCCTTCATTTCTTGTCCTTGGAGGTCTAGTTAGGGTTTCCTACTCCATTGACTGCCGCTGCTTTTCTTTGCTCACTAGCAAATAAGGGGTGACCAATAAAATAGGCATCCAAGGGCCATTATAGTGTTGCTGTTTTTCCGCCTCTTCATTCAGAGCAAAAACATGCCAGTCCCACTTTGGGGGTCGTGATTTCCTTTTGCCTGACCTGACTGGAAATATTGATTTCACATGTTGATTGCAATGAAAAAAAACAGCACATGCAACCATGCAAAGTTTTTGCATTTTAGTTCACTTCAAAGTAACTTTCTTTTTTCGTCCGCTCCTTCACAAGCAAGTTGTTGAGTTGAAGGGGAGGGGATATTGCTTCTCACTGACTTAAACTGCTGCTTCCAACTCAGTGAGAAGTTTGTTAATGACAAGTTTGTTAAAAAAAGACCAATATATCAAGAATCGTCTCATTAGCCATAAACTTTCGGAGAACAAGGGAGATGGTATGTTTACGGAACTTGTTATTTCAAGTTAACGCCTCGAAATGTTTCTCTTTTAATGTCCAAAATTTGAGATTTTCAAATTTTCTGTTGCATATTTTTTTGTCCACTTTCAGCTACAACCAGACTTTTGTGTAAGAGGAAAATGTAAACAAGGATAATATACTTACGATAGGCATGCTTATCTACATGCATTTTTCGTTGCTCAAGAGCATGAGGGACACTATAGGGAACGGACAATGTGTAATGGACATTTATATTTGCCCCGGCCAACGTGTGCTTCATCTTAATTTTTAGTTGTGATCCAATGGTGATGCTTTATTTAAACCACCTTTATCCATTGGGGTAGGGGATGTCAAGGGTTCTCAGTATCCCTTTCTAATTCGTCTAAAGCTGAAGGAGAAATCAGAAAGCATCGCAGTGGATAAGAAATTTTCAGAAAGTCTTCCTTATAAGAACAGTATGCCTCCGTTTAAAGAATTGTGACTTCTATAGATATAGTATCAGCTGTTGAACTGTGTTTAAAAGTCTTTATAGAATGGCCCTCACTCAATTAGCTGAGGTGAAGTAACAAGTAGAATCAGAGAGAAGCAAGTTTGAAGAACAAGCATCTTACCTTGACTTGCTTTTGGATTTGTTGAAAGAAAGAGAGATGGGATCCTCAATTTGTTTGTATATGAAGCTGAATAAAGTCGCAGTGGAGAATAAGTACCTACTTGTTTTACTTGCTTAGAATGACGACCTCTTGGACTTGTCTGAGGCACTAATGTTTTCTAAATTCAGGATATCCCTTAAGCAGTTTTCATAATTAGGCATATGCACTATGAGTTTCTAATCACACTTGGATTAGTTCAAGGTGGCTTTTCATAGATAATATTACCATCATTAATGATGGGGTTTCTTGCAATATTTGTTCTTTTCCATGGTTTTTAACTGCAGGGGATCACTTGGACTCTCGTTATTTTATCCATATGTTTTTTTTTTTTTTTGCAGTGTACATATATAATTGACAATTTTCCAATTTGAAATTACTTGGCGAGGGTGACTCTCTAATGGCCTTTTTTTTTTCCCCCCTTTGCGGTCTTTTCATGATCAGGAATCTTGGTTGGCAAAAACTGCTGGGAGTGTAAATGATGGTGACATGACGTACGACAATTCCTCTAGAATGGAGTCCAAGCGTTTTCATCAGTGGTTCATGGATAGCCCTGAAGTGGATCTGTTTCCACGAAAGAAACAAGCAATAGAGGTTTCAAGCAGTAATTTGTTATCAGGAATGTATAGCACCAATAACCATTCATGGGGAAATTCCTCAAGGTTACACTCATTCAATGGTCATTTTTCCGAACAATTATATGAACCAGAAGCTTCAGCAAGGGCTTTGAGTTGTGAAAACAGGAATATTTCACCTCTTAATGCTGATAAATTGACTGTGGGACAAAAGGATAACATGGAACCCTTTGGGAGCAATTCCTCATTCATAACCCAGACAATTGATGATCATGGATCAGGTATAAATTATGGTGGAATTAGAAAAGTTAAAATCAGTGAGGTGAAGGATTCTGAGAATGTCATGTCTGTTCCTTCAGGTCATACCTATGATATGGGAGTGAACAACACTGTGTCAAATGCACATGTGCACAGGGGGGGTGATTATCCCACATCAACAAGTCTCGCTTGCGACAAAGGGGATGACAATGTTGTCTCCGTGGATGATGATTATGGCAGGGCATACAACAATTTCATTTCAATATGTCAGTCTTATAGTAAGGAAGATGGTGGCTTATCTGTTGGTCAAACCTACAAGGAGACCCGTAATACAATATCAATGGGCCAGGCATTCAGCAAGGAGGATGGTAATATGCTAGCTATTTCTCAAGCATATAACAAGCCAGAGGACAATTCTATTTCTAGACAAAGCATATTTAACAAGGGGGAGGATGGCACCATGCCAATGAATCATGCCTACCACCAGGATAGAAATAACAAGTTATCGATTGCTTACTCTTATAACAATGGAGAAAGCACAATTATATCCTTTGGTGGCTGTGATGATGATGATGGTCATGTTAGTATAACTCCATCCGGCAGACTCATTTCCAACTATGAACTGTTGATGGGCCAACCACCTGTACAGAGTTCAGAAGCCGTGAATGAGAGAGAGTTGATTGTTTCTAATCCTGGCTCCTCCCTGACATCTGCTTCTGTAACTGGAAACGTTTCCCACACAAAAGAGGAATCTAAAATATCTAAGAAATTTCCTTCAAATAACTTCCCTTCTAATGTCAGAAGTCTGCTGTCCACTGGCATGCTGGATGGAGTCCCTGTGAAGTACATGGCCTGGTCTCGGGAGGTAAATCTTAGTACTCATGAGTTCATCTTTCACAGTAGCTTATCTTTGATTCATGTCTGGTTCTTCCTATGCTTGTTAAAAGGAACTCCGTGGTGTCATAAAAGGGTCTGGGTATTTATGCAGCTGCCAGTCTTGTAATTATTCCAAGGTAAGCTTGTTAACTAAAGATCATAAAGGGGTAGCCCTCTTTGAGCCAAATTTCCACCTCAAACCTATTTTATGTTTCCTCAGGTTATTAATGCATATGAGTTTGAGCGTCATGCTGGCCGCAAGACAAAGCACCCCAATAATCACATTTACTTTGAAAATGGGAAAACTATATATGGGATTGTTCAGGAGCTCAGGAGCACTCCACAAAATATGTTGTTTGATGTTATCCAGACAATAACTGGTTCACCAATCAATCAGAAATCCTTCCGCATTTGGAAAGGTGGCGTAATTTCTCTGTTACAATAGTGTTGCAGATTGATTTTTTATTCGATCTTTATCATTTTGTTGGTGTGAAACGGTTCGTCTCTGTCTTCTTCCTCCTCACTTGGATCTTTCTTTATCATCTACAGAATCCTTTCTAGCTGCAACGCGTGAACTTCAACGCATATATGGAAAAGATGAAATGAAGCACCTTTCATAAAGGTGCACCATTTGACCTGTTAGGTAGGAGGAACATTATTTTGTGCGTAGGAGTCATCATTTGGATATAACTTTTGTTGACTGGTTATCAAACCTAACCCCAACTGTTTGAATCTCCGTTTTGAGGACAAGCTATCCTTCTTGGTGATATGCAAGACAACCTTGCAAACAGGACAACGTAGTTATCTTTCATTGATGTATCATGACGATATTGAGTTGGTAAATTTTATGAAGAGAAGCTGATTCAATATTTTTTGTATTACTAATGGAACAAAAGATTTATTAAATGCTTTCACTCTTGTATCAAATGAAGTTTGTTGTATTTTTCTCAAAGGTCTTGCATTTTGTCTGTTGCTATATATATAATATACATTAGCTATTTTTGGAAGGGGTATTCTCTACTTTAATAAGCCGCATTCTTGATCCAAGCTCTATTTGCCGTCCAATAGATGTTAATTTGCTAGCTTCTTGTGGCGCTTTATAAACCTTGTTAACCTTTTCTTATTGTCCTAACGTAAAGGAATGAAGAAAATAATAGGAAATTTGACATTATTAATTTGTATGGTGCGAACTGAATGTTTAATGGTGATAAAGAAGTCCCTTGCTACATAAGTCCGACCACCTTGTGAAACATCATGCTGCTAGGAAGTAATAATTGACATCCAATTCTGCATCTATGTAATGTACATATTCGAGGCTGAGCTATTTTCTTTGTGATTTATCTTCCTGCCTTATTATAACAACTTGTTACAGTATAAACCTCCACTCACAGTACATGGTGATTGAAAGATCAAATAATTGGATGCCTACAAACTGTTATCGTGGTCATAGGCATTTGATGGGGGCATTGTAACTGAATGCTTTCAAATCTAACTAGTTATTGGTATGCTTTCTTCACACTTGTTCATCCCGCGCAATGGTTCCTTGGCCAGAATTAGTGATAATGATGACCTCATTATCATCATTGTCCTTTCTGTTGCTGCCTCCGTCTGCAATTAGCTTAGTTGGTGATAAGATCTCTTTAGCAGTTGGTGTTGACAGGTCATAATCTTTGCTTTTACCCCACACCACAAGGTACAGGCCGAAAACAATGACGAAGGCACCTATCACCCTGTAAAATTGATTAGACCTCTTTAGTTTATGTTTTTTGCTTGCTAATCATGTGATTAGCTTGGTCTATGATTTTCATAATTACCTTCCAAGGTACATTTGCTCAAACAGAATGAATGAGCCCATGACAGCTACAATTACCATGCACAAGGGACTAAATGCTGTCACAAAGACGGGGCCTCTTGTTTTCATCACTAGTCCTTGGATATAGTAAGTCAGCCCTGAGCAGACTATGCCCTGCATGCATATGTTTATATTGTGAGAATAGAGTGGAGAAATTTAATTTTGCATTTCCCTACAATTTTGCTTGTACATTTTGCAAATGTTATGGTTTTAAAATCTAAGCTTTCTTACTATTAACACAGCTGTGTAACCTTGAAACTTAGGAGAGGAAGACATAAGGTGGTAATATTCAGGTGGCTCCACGGCAGCTAAATCATTTGGATGCCAGTTTTAGTGTTGCTAGTTGACCTGTACTTTTACGGTCAGTACAGGAGCTGGTTTTGTTGCCTTTCCTAATAGGAACTTTCTTTTGGGCGTTGAGTGGCAGGAAATTTTACGGTCAGCACAGGAGGTGGTTATGATGTCTTCCTAGGTAGGAATTTTCCTTTGGGCGTAGGGTGGTGGAGTGTGTGAAACTTTGAAGGTAATGAACACATGGTGATGTGTTTTTCTTGTATTTTCATGAGTCTGGTTATATGGCCTTACACTGTAGACAGCAGCCAGCAATTTCGTATCCCAATGCAGTGACCAAACTGAAGGATTTCTCCTTTCCATAACCAGGCCCACCGCGGCACCTTCAGCTGTTCCCAACAAGCATATCCATGCTGTGAGGGAGAGCTCAGCAGGGTAGGTTTCAAGGGTAATGGCCTAGAGAAACGGAGATGAAAGTCTGAGGAATCAAAAAATATTATTTGGAATACTTTACATAAATTCCGGAGAATAACTCACTTGGAGAATCATGAAACAAGACCAACAAAAGCAACCCGTGGTGATCATCACGGATCCTTTTATTACATGTTGAAGATTTGATCCACCACTTCGTTGGTTGTGGGTATTTGTACGGTGTGCCTCAAAAATTTCAAGCACCGGGCCTCTCATCAATGTCATGACCATGGCTCCAGCAACTGTTGCTACAGTTCCTGCCACCTTTGCATGGCTGCGTATGCTTCTTAATTTTATCTTCTCAAGCCTGCCAAGTAGAGAAATAGTTTGGGAAGATAGCATGAATCATTTAGGAGTAGGAGATTTATACCTGATTAAACTTGCCCCCAAATCTGAGATACTCCTGACAAAGAGGTGACACTCGGAAGTGTTTAGTTACCTTAGAATCCAAGCCATCAAGAAGGTAATGGCAGGGACCATATTGCTCATTGCTGAGGCAAAAGTTGCTGTTGTGTACTTCATTCCCAAAAAATATAAATTCTGGTCAATAACTGGCCTGCCAATAAGAAAATTAGACTGTAGTTTTGTCACTGTTTTCCATGCAATGGAGAATGTGTTTAGCTATGCAGGTAATTACTCTAGAATGCTTAGCGCCACAATCTTCGTGAAGATTGAAATTGTCATCTTGGGCCTCGCTTTCCTGTTAAGACAACGAAGCACATCACCACTTTATTTTATCTCACACACACAGACAGAGGGGGCAGGGGGAAGAGAGAGAGAGAGAGAGACTTGTCTAGAATCACTGCGAAAGGGGTGATGATGACAAAGGCAATAGCATGTCGATAGACCACAAATACGTAGTTGCTCATCCCCTTGTTCAGTGCAGCCTTAGATAGAACGTCCATACCTGCAAATCCAAACTGCAAGAACACAACTGCTAGGAATGGCTTCACTCTTTCAAACTGACGTTTTTGCAGGATCCCCATCTTGTATGTCCCTATGCCCTCTAACCTTACCGTGTTTCTTGAGTCCCAAGAATGAAGTTGCATACCTCGGGGGGCTCGTGCTTATATAGGCTGCAAGGCATTTACTATATGCTACGCATCATTGCTCAAGGGTAATAGCTACGTATGTATAGAAACTTAATTATTTAACGAAATCAAATGGGTGAAAAGCAGTCGTCAGAGCAGCCATCCTAAGAGCTTTGTAAAAGGTCGGTGTCTACTTCCAATTATTACCATATTTTGCATAGTTGAATGCATCTCTTGGTGGAGTAGCTTTTAACATATCAGTGGCTTGGATTCTTTCGTGACTTGTTTCAGTAGTTTTGAGCGTTTTCATATAAGATTTTTTTATGGAGACATTTGGTTTGCGCTTGGCATTGAGTGAGGAAAAGCATCAAGATGATGCTTGAAAGTAGGAATCATTGTTGATGATTGAACTCGAGTACGTGATAGCCCCAATTTGGAGGTAGAACTATGTATAGTCATTATTTCCGTGATTTCCCCATATACTTTACTTTTCTCCTGTCTAGTTAAAAGCAGAAGATAAAATATCCGAAGGATATGGATAAGAAAGAAGGATTTGGCAATGATTCAGGTGCATTATTTGAGTCCTTCTCCAATAAGCCTCATTGTCGAATGCTACCCATGAAGGATGATTAGCACAAGAATGAATTATATGCCTTCATAATTAATCTCCAAGGCACTAATGCTTTGGTCAGTGGTCAAGACGCCAAAGTATGGTAAGCACAAAGTCCCACTTAGTACTAGTGTTTCGGCTTTTTCTTCTTTTTTTCTTTGCGTTTTCTGTTTTGGTATTTCCCACTCTTGTATTGAAAAAAACTACTCCCGTCCTCTTTATAAGTTACTTCTAGCATGTTATATACAGACTAAGAAAAATCTTAAACTTCATTAATTCTTATTTAAAATTTAACAACTTTTCAATTTATCCCTATTTAATATACATTATATCTCATATAAACAAAATTAATATAATAATAAATGAGGGGTAAAATTGTATATCTATACAAAAAATTTCTTTCAGTGTCCTATAAAGAGGATAAAAAATGTTTTTAGAATTAAAGGGGTATGTCCCACTGAGTAGTTGGTGGCTTTAATCCTTTTCGGACGTTATTTCTTTGTGCTTTTAATATGTATAGGCACTACCATGGTCATTTAACTCCTCCACCTCCTACCCAGAACCCTTTCAAATCAAAGCTTCCAAACTGCAGAAACATCAATTAGTAACTAATTAGGAGGTTGAATTTATATTAATTCATTTTATCTCTCATGTTTATAATTTTCTAAAATAAATTTACTTAACTTATTAAATGATATATAATCTAATATTACATGAGTAAAATATATCTTATATAATAAAGATAAAAGGAGTATTAAAAATGAAAGTGAGTTTGTGCCCCTACAAACACTGTGCATATGGTTGTGTGTGTTTGTATGTTCATTTTTTGGCCCTCGTTTTCCAGCAATATCAATGGAGTCTCTCTCAAGTGCGGGTCCCTATTACAATATGTGTTTCTGGCAAGTTGAAAAGTGGAAAAGCTTTACCCAAAAAAAAGAAGAGAGAAAAATGGAAAAAAGATGGGAAAATGAACTTATGAAAAGCGAGTGCCCAAACCAATAATTTTGAGGAACAAGAAATCAGACATGATTGCTTCCAATATTGTGCATTAACAATTTAGTGTAATCAGTTAAAACAAAGACGATGATGAAAAAGGAATGGGACTGAGTTTTGCTTTCCCATTTTACGAGTGGTGGCCATGACTGAAGGAAATCTTTCTTCATTTTTTCTTATGAAAAAAGTGGATTTGGCTGGACAAACTTGGCGAATAAGCCAATCTCTCTCTTGAAAGGTTTTTATTCGTCTTCACCTCACACCTTGTTTTTCATATTATATCTTCCTTCGAGTAAGACGGAACTGTTGCCACTTTCATGTTGAATGAAACTTCTATAACCAATCTGAAACCTACTTCAGTTTCACTCCATTCTTGGAAGATTGAGAATCAACGGAATCAGCCAGATGATAACTACGAAAACCCTGTCTTCTTCCTTAAACGAGCAACACAGTTTTTTCCCCGAGCTCATAAAGACGACTTTATGAGGTCGGTCCCTCCAATACTGCATTTATAATTATAATTCTTGTTAGTTCAATTATTCATTGAATGAAGATGTCAATTTCCAAATTATTGGCGGACATCGAGGTGACGTATTTTAAGGACTTTTAGTTATAATCTGCAATTAAGATTTTTATATATGGCTAAGGATGATAGATATCACAAGGCAGGGCGTGGTGGTGCGAACAGAAATCGTAAACAGGAGACGTTTAGGATTCGCTATGTTGGCCAACACTTTGTGTTCATTGACCATTCGTCCTCTTTATATTCAATAATAGTAAGTGCGTTCATGAGACAATTTATCCTTTTATTTTGTGTTCCTTTTCTTTTAAGATTTTCTATCTGATATTGCCAATTATTTTAAGTGAGAGTTATACCGTGTTTTAAAGGGTTAAGATGTATCTAGCATCTCAAAGTATTTTCTTAAGTGCATCCAACATTCTAAAATATTTTGTGGTACATCCAACACTCCAAAGTATTTTTTATGTGCGTCCAATGTCCAAAAATATTTTTTTGCCTTGGTACTAAATGCACACAAAAAATATTTTTTGGTACTGGATGCACTTGAAAAAAATACTTTAAGGTACTGGACGCACCAAAAAATACTTTACGGTACTAGACACACCTAAAAAAGTATTTTAGGATGCTCACATCTCTGAGAAAATACTTTAGGGTGTTAGATGTACCTTAATCCTAGTTTAAATGAAAAAATCAGCTTTTTTTCAAATATAATTTTCCCCCAATAATATTTTGTTCTCTATTGATAAAGTAATGAGAAGCCCAAAGCCTTGATAACTAAAATCCTTTTGGAATGGTTTATAAACAGTTTTTTTAAAATTATAATTTACAAAATATTAAGTAAGTATGTGAGGGGAGTTTTGTTTCTGCTTAAATAAAATGTATTTACAAAACAAGGGTTAGAAGCACCTCCAAATGTGCGAGGTTGCGTGTTGAACTCTATGATGATGAAAGAAGTGAGTTATCTTTCTTTGAAATAAAGAAGAAGCAGGATATTTATATGTAATTTTTTTATTAAAAAAATGTAATGAGGGGTTTGTTGCTCCTAATTTTCATGTATCCATGGGCAATTGGAGAAGCTTTAATGCTTTATTATTGTATCGCGCGGAGTTATAATTAATACTATTTTCCCCTTTTTTAAATTTGAATCATAAACATTTCAAGTGGAAAAAAAAACATTTATTTATTGTTATTATCTATTTCCAACTTTCTCTATTATAATTTAATATAACAGCCTGTTGAGCAATTTGGAGGCTTTACATCATTATTCTAAAAAAGGAAAAAGAAAAAAAGCACGCAGAGGGATAGATAGAGAGATTGAATTTGCTGAATTTGTTTCCAATTACATATAAAGAAACCTGCTTTACCTTTTTTCCATTTTCTGCTGATGATTACGATTTTTTCTATCAAAGAAATGGACTCTTTAAATTAGACTGCTGCTTTAACAAACCAGTGGTTTCCTATGTCAAAGTCTCTGATATTTAATGGCACTAGTGCATATAAGATCGTGTGGTTGAGTTTTTGGTGGAGGGTGTATGAGTTATCCTTTTATAGAGAAGGTAACGTGTACGCGTATAATTTTCTTTTGAAAATATAACATATGAAAATATCTTTAAAACCTAAGTATCTTTTTTTTTGTTGCTAAAATATAGATATCTTCCTATTAGAGACAATCCTATTCGAGATATTGTCGGGCACTAAATATGGACACTAGTAAATATGGACACTCAAAAAAAAAATCCAAGTATCTCTAATCTTAAATATAAAACCTAATTTGCAGTTCAATTACTCAGCCCATCAAACAAGAAGAGAGAGCGATGGAGGAGTATTCATTGTGGCTTGAAAACCCACATCTTATCTCTCCAGCTTTTGGATCTAAGACGATGCCCTCCAAAGAAAGAAAGAAAGAAAAATGAAGAAAGCATTGCGCGTGTCCTCGGCGTTAAAATGGATGCTTTTAAGGACGATGGTAATGCATGAATAAAGGAGAGTGAACAATAATATCATTAAACACATTTCCCGATTCCTTTTCAACTCATCACCCATCTCTCCCAGAGGCACCTCAATCATCATGAAGCCAGCTTTATTGTCACAAAGAATCCCATCTTAAAAGTCTTAATCCCCTGCTGGCCTCACTAACAATCTGCAAATCATTAGTTCATTAATTTTCGCAGGGGTTTGGACAATGTTTGAGGCCACTATGTATAACGTACGCCTCAGACATGGGCTACTCCATTGTCAGACCAATGGGACTATGCGTAAACCGACAATAACAGAAAACTTGATTCCAAGAGCAGGAGACGATTCAGATAGTATTATCGAACTTTTGACTGGGGTAAAGCGTTGATTAAAAGGAAAAAAAATTAATGGTGTTATGTGTATAATAATGCTATGTTTTATTTATAAAAAAACAGAAAATATAAAAGAGTATTATGTGAATATCTATAACATGTAAAAACTATCCAGAATGGATAGTTTTCTAATCTATATATCACATCACTTCAAAGTAATGAACACAGTAATTCTCCTTTTGTTTTCCGATAACAGCACGCTGATTCCCTGATTTTCTTTTTCTTTTTTTTGGGGGGGGGGGGGGGGATCTCCCCTCCATTAATTCTGAAATTATTGTTTTGAAGCGTTTATGTGTACAGGGTATCACTATGATCCAAATACTGTTTTGAGCTCTTTAAATATTCGTTAGTTTTATGACAGATGATTTACAGTTAAAAGGAGCGCATGGATAGCTGAGTCAATCACATTGCGATATTGGCGTTGCTATTGCTAAAAATTTAAGGAAAGGGCAGGTTGGTGGCTTGTAAAAAGAAGTTGGCACCGAAGCTTGTAAAAAATAGAGCAACAATAAATTAGTACTCCTCCGCTCTTAAATAAATGACCCATTTTGCAAATTATTATAAAATAAGTCTTATATTTCGTATCAGAGAAGTATAATAATGTTCAATTCCGCAACACAAGTATCCACAATTCACATCCAATGAGTAGCAGCTGTCAAATACAAGCACTAACAACAAAGCTGGTGACAAAAATTAACTTCCCCAGTCAAATTGAAAGCCTTGAGCACGTATGTCAATTAAGAACCACAGCAGGCTGATTTTTGGGCAGCTTGAGTAGCCCCTCCCTGGTCTGCTTGGTTAATCTTAATTGTCTGAGCCTGCAAGCAACCACGTATAAACTCAGTCTAGAAATTGACGTGACAAATAACTCATCACGACCAGTTACAGTTTTAAAGAATAAAACCTCAGTCTTTGAATCAGTATTTGCTAGTCTCTGCTTGATGTCCCGAGCTATTGAAAAGAAAACCTCCTCAACATTCAAATTCGTTTTTGCACTCTGCACGAACGTATTCTCGCCATCACCGACAGATCAAAATCTCATGATCCAATATCAAATAAGACAATTAGTTCCACTTACAGTCTCAAAGAACTTGATGCCATATTCATCAGCCAGAGCTTGACCCTTTGAGGTTGGAACAGCCTAGGGAGAAAATCGTTGGCCATCAAGTTGAGCACAGATAATACTATATGTGATACAAGAACACTCAGAAAGATGGACAGAGTGAGAGGGAGGAAGGACCGACCCTTTTGCTTTCATCCATGTCAGCCTTGTTACCCACCAGTATCTTGTTGACATTGTCGGAAGCATGCTGCTCAATGTTACGAATCCAATTCCTAATGTCTGAACATAAGATGGAGTCAGTCAAATTGTCCAGCATATGAAATTAAAAAGTTTTCTAGGCACAAGAACCTCTCCACTACATCAAATTGAAGCATCGAAGATGTGTGGGGCAAAAAGAATGACGCATACACACTTAAGGAAATAACACGCAGTTCAAGAGACATGGCATGGGTAGGAATAGTATGTGCTGGGTGTTTAACCTGAAAATTAAAGGAGGAGGAAGACATTACTGTTAAAAGATGACTCATCAGTGACGTCATACACAAGCAAAATACCCATGGCTCCACGATAATAAGCTGCAAAAGGAAAGAAAAAGGAATGAATACACTCACGACAAAGGCTTAACAATGACAGACAAAGCGAAATATTAATGTATATAGTAACACCCCTAAAACGGCATCTAGTGCTAGTTTGACACCAACAAATGCAAAATGGATTTTATGCTTATGAAGAAGAAAAACAATGAGAGGAAACTTGCAATCCAAATTGGTGCCAAGGATCATAAGAAAGTTTAATTACAAGCAAGTCCAAAAACCAAGAGGCTAGATAGCTAGATAAGTCCTGAACATGCAGTCTACAATTTGTAAGCTTCACAAGGAAAGAAAATAAAAACAAGCGACAAGGATGAGAACAATGGACTCTTAAAAGTATAACAGGCATTTAAATAGCAGCTGAGGCCTGAAAGCTTACATAACGAGTTCAATTAGTAAACTAGTAAAAAAAAATGGTAAAGTAATTTTGGGAACAAAGGCGGGACTCCGTACAAAAGTAGGCCCTTTACATGTCTATCTTTTCTTCTCATTCATTAATAGCCAACATAAAGTGATCGATATCACCAACAATACAGCTCCTCCAAATATATGGAAGGGGTCCAGCTACTGATAGCAAGATTAAGTATAGAATTCATAACATTTCCTATCCAATCAGGAGAGTAATTGAAAACAAAGTTAAGTATTTAATCTTCAAATCGTATCAACAATAACAAACTTAAAATGCTGCATATGGTAAAAAAACAGATGAGCTCACTTCAAACGTTCCAGCCATACTGCACTTTCAATCTCAGACACTAACCAGTGGTAATTGTTCGAAACCGCTCTTGACCAGCAGTATCCCATATTTGCAATTTAATTCGCTTGCCATCCAGCTCTATGGTCCTAAGTTTAAAGTCAATGCTGAAGAAAAACAATCCCTTCTAATGAGACAGAATGCATCTTTGCAGAAGAGAAAATTAGGGAACATAAAAACGAGGGAGAATTATACTCAAGGACTAGATTCACAAATTTTTTTTTCCTAAGGACCACTAATGGTAGATACTCATTGTTTTATTTGTAAATTTGTGTTGTTTAAGTGGTAAATAATGTTAAATATCTTTTTAGTTGTAAATTTGCGTTATGTGAATGATAAATAATTAGATACTCGTAGTTCAGACCGGTAAATTTGAAGACCTTCCTAGTGATTAATTTGTGAATTTGGTCCTTCAATATAATTATCCCATAAAATTATTAGTCGACTTGAACATGAAAGGGACCTACCCAATGGTTGTAATAAAACTTGTCGTAAAAGACCCATCTGAGAAGCGCAATAAAAGGCAACTCTTTCCCACACCTGTCAATACAAACCAGTTGATCAGAGGCGGAGACTACTCTACAATACATATTCCCCTAATTCATAGCAAAACCAGCAAGAATAGAAAAACAGAAGAAAAGAGAGGGTCCTGATGTTTTTGTAGCTTTCAAATCAGTAAATGGACTACTACGACTAACTTCATAATCGCAAAGACATTACATTTATGGCAAAAACTTTCTTCAAGGTGTAGGTGAAAATAGGGCAAGATCAAATTGACTAAGAGAAAAATAGGAAGGGGACTCAACAAACTGTTCGAAACTACTAATGATGCATGAATGGCTGAAAACCACAGAAGAGTTAGTGGCGCAACAATGGACAAATGAGATAGCAAATGATGGCCCGATCGTTCTCAAATGCAAAACCTTAGTACATATAGCGCAGAAGCATCGCGGGGAAGTAAAAAAGGGGGGGGGGGGGAAACGGAAAATTAGTAAGAAACTAAAGTGAAGGCATAACGCCAGCACGAGGGAAACTGAAACACTCTTGAAAAAGGAGGACAGAAAAGAAAATAAACAAATAAATAAAGTACCGCTATCGCCGATTAGAAGGAGCTTTATGAGATAATCATGATCAGCTCTGGCTCTAGCGGGCGGAGCAGCCATCGAGACGGACGCAGAGTGAAGCTGAGGAGGACTAAGAGAAACCCAGCGACAGATGCGTCATTTGGGAGAGCAAGAGCGACATTGCAAAATTGACAAACGAAATTAGATCAATTTCGAAAGTCGCGGCGGCACCATTATGTGAGTGGGGAACAAATCAAAAGTAGTAGTAAAAATAAAAAAGAAATGAAAAATACCAGATCAGAAGCAGAATATGAGGGAGGAGGCTGAGATCTAAAGTGGCAAACGGAGAGGAAAAAAAGGGAGGGAAAGCGTCGCTGGTACGTCAGCGCTGAGCAGTGAGTGGTCCGCGCGTTGAAGAAAGGGAAATTGTATTTATTAGGCTTCCCACCTTTTTGCAACCCCTCTTGGGACCGTTAGCTCTTCGGACTACTTTCTTCTCAATCATCCCCCGCCATCCCCGTCTCCGAACGACGTTCTTTTGGTTCCAGCAAAAAAAAAAAAAAGATTAAAAAAACTGGCCAAAGTGGGCCTGTTGCTAAAACAGAGCCCAAGACGTAAAGCAGGGAGAGTCTAAAAAGCCAGGGTAGGGGGAATGAATATGACTTGAGACGCACGTAAATTGTAGGCTGAAGCTGAGCCATCAACACATGTGCTTTACGCCGTCAACATATCCAGATCTCAGAGCTCCTAAAAGCGGAGAACAATAGTTTGAGGCTTGAGTAAGGTGCAAGGCCACTTCCCCACGTGTTTCTTTTAGTCCCCGGAGGCAAATGGAGTGAATGAGAAAAAATTTTAATGAGTTTGATTTCCAAAAAAAAAAAAAAACTGAAGTTATAGAATTTTAATAAAGAGGATACCACTCCTAATTTTTAATATAAGAGTTTGTTAGGATGTCAATTCAATATTAAATATAATATTTTAATTCACTTTGTCTCTTAAGTTTATAGTTTTTTTTTTCTTTTAAACTATCCCTAATAACTATACACATTAGGAGGATTCACATTCAATAGGTGATTACAATGAATATGATTAAAAAATAATAATTTTGGAAAGTCAACACCCATTCATTACCAATAATCAATTTAACTAATTTTCTTAATATTCATAAATTAATTATCTAGTTTTTATATTAGATAGAGATAGAGTATAAACTAAAATAACAAAAAAAGAAATGAAAACTTTTAATACTACCTCCGGTCTTTAATATAAGATTTTATTTGACTTTTATTTTGGTCTTAAATATAAGACTCTAATCCACTTTGTCTCTCATGTTTATGCATTTTTTTCAAGATAGTCTTTCTAACCAATACACTTGACTAGTAAGGATATTTTAGGAAAAACACCACCTATTTAGTACAAACAACTAACTTAATTTTTTTCCTTAATCTCCTCAAATTAGTTAACTAGCTCTTATAATTAGGACCGTAGATAGCATTATGTATTTTTTTTCCAAAGTAGTCATTCTAACAATGGTAGTTATAACCAATACACTTGATTAGTAAGGATATTTTATGAAAGACAACACCTATTTATGACAAATAACTAACTTAACTTTTTTTCTTAATCTCCTCAAATTAATCAACTAGCTCTTATAATTAGGACCAGAAGTAGTATGATTTTTCTAAGTCAAAGTCGTTTCTTCCTTCCCTCTATTTGGCTGGTGCCAAACAGCCTCCTAAACGCCGCCCACTGCACGAGCACCCGCAGCCCTCTTTGTCAAAACTCAAAGCAACTGGGGCCATTTGCCCCATATCCTGTGTCTTAAAAAAAACATTCTTATTCTAAGACGCACAAATTATTAAATTTGCAAGGGCAGCCAATTTGGGTGGGGTGGCAAGATGGCAACGGATGATGTCAGTACTGAATTAGCAGTAACTGGGAGAGGCTTTTTAACTAACTATCAATGAACGATTAATGTGTGTCTTGACATTGGAGCAGTATCCATTTGTGCATATATTACTGGTGCCGGAGGCTTCTCTTCCTGGTACCATTTCCTCCTCTCCTGCGACGGATTTCCTTTTATAAATAGCGTCTTACAAAAATGGCCTGTCACTGGGGACATGAGTTGAGATCGATGATTTTAAATTCTCATTATTATTGAAATTTATACTAACTTCCGTCATAGATATAAAAAATAGTTAGATATTAAATTGGATCATGGATGTAAAATACCGGTTTATTTTGTTTCACATATTTATTCATTTTTTCACATGAGAATTACACCCAAACATATTAAAAAGTTTTTCTTCTAGTACATATGATTATAATCAATGAAGATATTTAAGGAAAGATAGTACCAATTTATTACAAATGATTAATTTAACTAATTTTTAAATATTTTATATTAATAACTGAAAGTTGTATAATACGAGGCACACACCCAGTTTCTATAAAAATATTTAACAAAATATATTGAATGAATTAATCAAATTATTTGCTAATAGTTTCGATCTATCAGAGTCTAGCTTTTAAAAAGTCAGGTTTAAACAGCCAAAGAACTTGAATTCATTAAAATATATTGACTCGTGTAATTCGGTAGTTTTGGAATCCTCCTCAAAAGAATTCAACCAAATTACCCAAACGCTAATAATATATGAGATGGCGTGTGCTCTTAATATTTGAATTCGAACACATCTTTATAAATGACGCGTCTTGAAATAATGGAGACGTAGGTTGTCAATTTTGGAGGCAAGGAAGACCCAACAAAACTTCAGCATTAAAAAGCACCATTATCGGAAAATCAAAGAACATGTCTTGGCAAGGAAACTTCCGAAAAAGCTCGTGGTTGAAATTAGAAAAACTTTCGTCCGCGAGGCCGTCTCTGTCTATGTGGAAACAGAGAACCAAGTTGGCCCAGAACCATCAAAAAATAAATAGGAAAAATCCCAATTAAATCTATGTGAAATAATGAAATTCCAATTAAGGCTTATACTTTTAACAAATTCTTAATTAGGGCAAGAGGCCTAATTAGGGATTTTCAAATGTTACTAAAAGACCAAAATGCCTCTTTGTAATCAAAAAGGAAAATTGAATTTAGGTGTAAGCCTAATTTTAGTTTTAACTATTCTAGTAGATTTACTAATGAGGATGTGGTCTTTCTTAGACTTTATATCAAAATTGTGTTTCGTACCTGTGAAAGTTATGTCAATCTGGAATTTATGGCCTTTTAGTTATTTTTATATAATAAAAATTTGATATTAAATAAATCTTGGAGACCAAAAAATTAAAGATGAATTGATGAGTCTCAATGTAATTTTTGAAATAGTAAAATTAATTTTGATAGATATTCAAGAATTTTGTGAATCTTTTATTTGATTTTTTCTCGCACCAAAAAAAAATCTTTGATCCTATTAATCTTTGACATTTGAAATCATAAAATTTTTATTAGTTCCCATGTTTTTGTAATTCTATGGATATCTAGAAATTATGCATTTTTTTATCTTGACTTTTCAATTATTTTTTATTGGCCATAATCATGATTTTTCTTTTTTCTTTTTTTTATATGATAATATTTTTGGCCAAATTTTCATATGATAATATTTAAAGAAAAAACATGTTAGTTAAATTCAATTAAAAGAATTAAAACTAAAATTAGGTTTTTTAATTACGAAGGGCATTTTGGTCTTTTAACAACATTTGGAAATCTCCAATTAAGCCTCTTAATCTAATTAAGAATTTGTTAAAAATGTAGGCTTAAATTAGGAATTTTTCTATTTCAAATGGATTTAATTAGAATTTTCCCAAATAAATATGGCTGTAATTTAAAGCAGGTAGAAGACGTGTGCTTTGCAGATATTTTATTTTATTTTATTTTTGTTTATAGCTAAGGAGTAATATGATTTTTTTTATATTTTATATCATGCATAGATATAAAAATTTTACATCATTCGTCGTGGATGAATAGTAATTTGGATTAGGGACATTTATATATATATATTGTGGACTTAGAGTATTTTTAGATCATTCTAAACTTGAGACTAATCTCTGTCAGGCTAGGAATATTAAAATTAAAGCCTTTCTGAAAAATACTCCTCAGTTCTAAATATAATACTCTTTAAAAGAATCTTATATTTAGGACCAGTATATTTTTTAAAATTCAAATTATGAAATTAAAATTCTTTGTTGTTAGAGACATTTATATTAAATAATTAAGGATTACTGAGTTAAAAAAAAAAAAGGGACAATAGGAAACGCGAGAGCCGGAGGTGGGCGTCCCCGCCAGGATAGACAGGGGTGAGTGTCCTGTCAGAAAGCTTCGATATGCCATGAAATCGGGAGTGAGGATATTAATTAATAAGGTAATTGATTTTCCTCGCAGGGGCAGAGGATTTGGCACGGCAAGACCGCGTTCGGATGCAGCCTGCAGGAAATAACGTCCGGCTGACTGGGTCTATGGAGAGCCCACGTGTCATTGACTCACCCATATTGTCCACCCTCCACTGTCATTCAGTATTTAACCATGATTCAACCCGAATTAAACTGAACCAAATCAGCCTAATGGTAAGGTCCATCAAGTTTCTATTTTAATATCATGATGAATGTTCAGCTTTAAAAAATTGATAAAATAAACTCTTACTACTAATGTAGTGCATTGAATATTTATTTTTCTGGTAAAAAAAGAATATTTATTTCATTATACAGTTCATTCAATATAAATCCATGACTTGTACTGTGTGTCTCACACCCCGCATGATGCGTGAATTTTGTGCATAATTTTTTTGTGCATAATTTATTGAAAACGACATTTAGCAACCAAATACAGTTTTTTGATATAAAATTACATGACATTTACTGGATACTAGTATCAGCTTTAATTTTTATATCGCTGAACTTAATTCAGTCTGTCTCTTTTAAATGGGGATATTATATTTGCGGATTTAAATATAATATATCTTGGTATAATTAAGAATGGATTGCATATTATAATATTGGATTTTTCTACTGTGTACGATATTATCTGATTCGATGATTGGCTCCCACTGCCCCAATTCCCCACGTCGTTAGCACCCTGTAAGGGGGAGGTAATAAAAAAGACTGATAAAAAGAGTGTTTAGATAATCCTAAAAATACTTTTTAGAAATATTTTTTTATAAATCTAGATAAGCTTTTTTATATATTTATTTTGTATATAGTAAAAATATTTTTAAAATAATAGTTTTGTTTTTATATAAACACATTTAAGGAAGACTTAAGCTGTGAATCTTTGGCTTTCCTTGCTCCGTCCTTTTTTCTGATTCCGCCAACTAGGGGTGTTCATGGAGCCCAATGGCCCGCTATGCCCGTCCAAGCCCACAAGAAAATGCCCAGCCTATCCTAAAAAAAATGGCCCAAAAGATATATTGGGCATGTTTGGGTTGGGCAAATTATCGGGCAAGGCTGGGCATTGGGCATGGTATGCTGCCCTGCCCATTTGGCCCTGCCCGCAAAAATATATATAATTTTATTTATATATATTTTATTTCTCTCATATTTATCTCCTGAATCAAACACATTGTTGCATCAATATTCAATATTCATTATACTTATTTATTTTCAAATGATTTTGAGAGTGAACGTGTTATCATTTGCTATGATTTGTATAACCATTTTCTTTTTTAGTACAAACATTATGACCATTAGCAATTTATATAATTGATCCATGCTGTTATGAGTATTTGGGAGTTATGGGGAAAAAATATTTACATTTGGTTGAGAAATTGTAGAAACTAGAAAAGCAATTAAGTTTAATAAAGTATACTAACAACATTTTTGTTTGTCATAATTTACTCCTCTTAGCTACTATAAAATGTTGTTTCATAATATATTAATTAGAAATAACTAAATTAATGTCAAGTTGCCATTTTAATATAAAGTTACATTAGATTATCTAGAGGAACATAAATAACTAGTTAAGTAATATAGTATATTGATTTGCTGGGCATGAAAGCCCGTCCTGCCCAGCCCGCATTTGCCCAACCCGAACTTACTAGAGCTTTTCATGGGCAAAGCTAGGTATGGGCTGCATTTTCAAGCCCGTTTATTTTTTCGGACTGGGTATCAGACAAGAGTCATATCCTATTGAGTCCTGCCCATATGCAGCCCTACTGCCAACCCTCTCTCCGTCCTTTCAATATAGACCATGTCACGGATTAATTAAACAAATAATACTCTCAAATACTGTTGGATAACTGATGTGGTGGAAAAGCCTGGTCCCTAATGGACCACACCTAGAGAAGATAAGATCAACATTCCACCAGACTAAAGTAATATTCCCTCTTCTTTTCTGCCCAAAACAAAAAGAAATTCCCCCTCCTGGGAACAAAAAGAAAAGAAAGAGATAGAAAGTGTCCCCCCCCCCCCCGGGTTGAGATTGCCCGACTCTAACATTCGCTCGGCATCCCGTGATTTCGAGTTTAAAATTCACCAAAAATTACTTTAAAACGTGAAATACTACTATATTACAAAATAGTTTAAAATATTAAATAGTAGCACTGAAAATTTTGCTTCTAAATACTGAATGTCTTGACCCAGGATCAAATTGTGACATGTCTTGTTCTTTTCCCGTAAAGTGTGCAAGCCCCGTTGATGCGCAACTACGAAGGCCAGCGAAAAAGAAAAGGTGAAACCATTTCGTGAGACTCTTACTTGGTGAGCCGATTGTTACTGATTTGATCTTGGCACCTTGAAATATCAATTATCGGAAACTTGGTGATGGACATTCCATCTGAAATTAGATGAAAAGGGGGTTGGGATTTCAGGAGTGAAAATACCAAACTAACCAAACATAAACATCCCTCTTAGAAGCATAAACCATGACAAATGGAGGTACAGCAACAAATTAAACGTGCCCGACCCTTGATAAACACTTACAGAATTGACCTGCCCCAGTTTTCCTAATCCCAACATTAATTTTCAATCCAGCTTAGGCCTTTGGACCAAAAAAAAAAAAAATCCAACTTAGGCCTGTATATATAATTCTCACATTGGTGTTATTTAATTTTTAAAACAGTTTTATATAACAATTGCTACCTTAGTAATTAAATACGTTTTTTTTTTCAAACCTTAGTTCCGGTAATCAGCATTAATTGAAGCGTTGGGGGCTTATCCTGGCCAGCAATTCTGGACTCATTAAACGCTTAGAAAAATTGATTTCTTAACATGCATTGTGCAAACGTGAGGGCGTATTATAATTTTGTGAAAGAGGACTGAGGAGACACTTGACTTTTCACCCAGACCACGTAAATGAACCCGTGATTTTTATGACTATAAAATAATAATCTGTTATTTTTAGGGAAAATTGCAAAAAAAGACCTTGGAATTGCAAAACGCAGATAGGGACCCTTGACAACTTCATTTTGGGTTTTGACAACTTCAGGGCATATTATTCTTGTCAAAACCCAAAGTGAAGTTGTCAAGGGTCCCTATCTGCGTTTTTACAATTCCAAGGTCTTTTTTTGTAATTTCTCCTTATTTTTATTATGTTGAGTATATATTTAATTAAAGGGGTCGGAGTAATAAATGGTAGGCATGGCATTGCTATTTGCCTGTGCGGTGCCATGTCATGCTGCGGTGGAGAATGGATACGTTGCTCCTGGTTCACACTTTTTATTGCTTCCACGCCACTTCTTCTACCGTTTTAACAGCATATGCCCGGAGGCATGATCCCCTGCGCACGCCCCCTTCTGAACCCTTCCTGTCCGTTGTCGGTGTTACCGTATATGTATCCCGGTCCCTTTAGTATTCTAAACCTTACAAACCCACATCTTAACAACATGTTCATCATCGTATGGGGCCCTGTGATTTTGTTCCGTAATGAACGAATAAAACAGACTAACATGCAGCCATGTATGCATTTAATAACTGATTCCACCATAATTTAATCCCAAATTTAATTTTTTTATTTAAATCTGGATGCTCATTTTGTAAAAGGAATATTCTTAATTTACCCTTTGCTCGGTAGTTTGATTTACTCAATCAACCTTGCCCGTATTCAGGGCACATTCTGATCTGTCGGTGCTCAACAAAATCTCGGATTACAAATGGTCTTAAATTTAAAATGCTCATTTTGATTTTGTGAAATCAAGTCCATGTCTGACTTCAAAATAGATATTTATAGCAACTTTTTTGACTTTTTGGGAACAGGAGATATTTTAACCTAATCAACAAAAACTCCGAAGGAAGGCTGATGTGGCAAATAAACGTAAACAGAAGAAGGGACTCACGATAGTCCCGTGCCCAACACACACTTGATCGTCCCCAGCGCAGGCGAATATGCTGCCATGGCTTGGCCCAGATCAACTGGAACAGAGATGCTTCTTCCCGTTCCGCAGAAGTCACTGCGGCAGGGCCAATTGCCTCCGACGACCGTTAGGAACCCCGTCTACATCCGCAGTGGGTCCACTCCTTACTCACCAGGACCCAATCAAAAGTCGACGCGTCAAAAGTGAGCCCCGCTGGAGCCACGGTTTATTCGTTTATGCGGAATATACGGATGCCAATTCCATCAGCATTTTCCATTGTGATTTTTATTTTTATTTTTTTGGGATTTATGAGCTTCTATTTTCTGGGAGGTGAGGGGCGTGTGTCTTTAAATGGCAATCAACAAACAGAGCGGGAACGCGTACAGCTCCTTCTCTCTTCCTCTACATAAGCGTCCTCTCCCTTTGCTGTTTGCAGACGCAGGCATTCACTCCTCCTTCCTACTGCTCTCCCCCTCTCTAATCACTTTGTGTCCCTTCTCGAGATCTGCGTTTCCTCTTCCGGCTTTCATCTCGATTCTCGGCTTTCTCAAGTGCCAGTGAGTTTCGAATCTGCTTTCTCTGTTAGACGGCCATTTTACTAGGGTTTCTAACGTCTTCTTTGGTTTCGGTTTTGCTTATTTTATTCTCACTTACCAAATGCATCTGATCGCTGCCTTTCCCTCTCATGTATGGGATGCTACTGTGCCTCATACGTTTCTGTTTTACGGATTTCATTTCTTGTAGTTCTGTCTTCATTTTTTTCCCCCAAAAGAAAAGGCTTAAAGGGGAAGATGTAAACAGCTAATGGGCTCATCCTAATATTTGTGAAGTGGCGTTTGTTTTACGTCGTGGCGGCGGCTCAAACTTTAGAGAACCTCTGTTATGTCAAGATTGTGTTCTTGTAATTTTCTGAATAAATCTTGGACTCCATTTTCCAGATCTGTGGCTTATTTGGACTTCTTTTTCTTTGGTTTCTTTCCATGTTGTGTTTTTCTTTTAAAGAGGGAGTGAAGGAATAGATTTTTTCTTTGCTGATACTTTTTGAAACGAATGACGCTTTAGGCAGGCGCGTATTTGAAACGGGGGATTTAAGGAATAGATTTTTTTTTTTTGGTTCCTTCAACTCTTCCTGTGCTGTAAGAGGTATAAATGTGCGCTTTGGAGCTGATTTTTTTCCCTTTACTGTCAGAAAGGTACTTCTTATTTGCCAAACGCGATGACTGAAATCGTGATGGATGCTGAAATTGTAAGTTGTGGCCGCGGTCTTTCATATTGTTGTGGTGCTTCCATGATATAGAAGGATGCGATATTTATGATAATCTTTATTTTTGACTTATGCTTTTCATCGATCACATACTGCCCGATAGAAACCTTTGACATTGTCTTTGGAACGGTGAAATTCAGGGCCTTCTGAAGACAGACCAGTATTAGTACTAGCATTGGCAATCCTTAAAAGAATATATAGTTATTGTGATCGCATGGAATCTGTACAAAAATTTTAAATTATTTTTATTGTTCCAGGCTGTTGACATGGCTCCCCCTATTGAGGCTCCAACGAAGGTTCCCGTCTCTTTTCATCCTGCCCCATATCCTCCCCTGAATGAGAGGATTCTCTCGTCCATGACCAGGAGATCTGTTGCTGCACACCCTTGGCATGATCTCGAATAGGTAATCATTACAGCTGATAAGTTGACACGCTAACGCTTTCAATATAAGTGTACTTCTTTAGCTCTTCATCGATTTGGCATTCTAACCGAATTTTCACCACGATTCAGGACCTGGAGCTCCGAAAATCTTCAACTGTGTAAGCATTCTGAAACTTAAACTTGCGACAAAGTGCGTCATTCCTAAACAACATCAAATTTTCAATTGATGATTGGTCATGGCAGTTTACCTAACTGAATATTAAATTCATCGTAAAATTTTAATGGGTAGAACTGGGTAACATTTTATGATACTGAGAAACTACTAATGTTTCTGCGCTGTCTGGTATACCTCCATGGTGACAATTAGCGTACCCAAAACCACTATCGACTAGTTGTTATGTGACATGCATGGATACATGCGAGGATATAAACTTATAGCAAGTCACCCTATTTAAAAGCTATGTATAATGCAGTTCATTTCCCAACTCTATGCATATACATGGGATCGAATCTAGCCGGCCTTAAAAGTGGTTATCTTATTCAGTTACTGGATATGCATATTCGCGTAACATGCAGGTTGTTGAAATTGGGAAAGGAAGCAAGGTCAAGTATGAGCTTGACAAAAAAACTGGACTTATAAAGGTGATAACAGTTGCGCTGCCATTTTTCAGTTGTGCTTATTTACATGGTTTGTTGCTGAACATGCATCTGCGTACAGGTTGACCGTATCCTTTACTCATCAGTTGTGTACCCCCACAACTATGGGTTTATCCCACGCACTATATGTGAGGATAGCGATCCCTTGGACGTCTTGATTATCTGCAGGTTACCCATATTTGTTTTCATTCTGTCACTTCTTCTTGTAAATTAGTGCGCTTACACATCTCCTTAAAAAGTATCTGTCTAAACTAGAATTGGTTCAATAAAACGATCTTACTGCATTACAATGTTCTTCCGTAGTCGAGAGAAATACTTATGGACGATATCATTTTTTTAATTTGCTGCGCAAGAGTTCTTGTTCCTTGGTCCTGCCAAATTCTCTTCCTTCATAGCACTTGATGGCTTTTAGTTTTTTATGCTGTGTTATGCTTAGCTTCACTCTTTTTGTTTTCTTTGTTTTTTAATTAACATTCACAGGAGCCTGTACTTCCAGGATGCTTTTCTGCGGGCCAAGGCTATTGGTCTCATGCCAATGATTGATCAGGTATATGATAAAATAAATAACCCTGTTTCCTCGCTGCAAGAAGTTCCTTTCTATTCTAAGCAAAGATGGATTATGACTTTGACAAGTACAGGGGGAGAAAGACGACAAGATCATTGCCGTTTGTGCTGATGATCCTGAGTACCGTCATACAATGACATCAAAGATCTTCCCCCTAATCGTTTTAGCTGAAATTCGTCGTTTCTTAAGGTCAAGTATGAGCTTGACAAAAAAACTGGACTTATAAAGGTGATAACAGTTGCGCTGCCATTTTTCAGTTGTGCTTATTTACATGGTTTGTTGCTGAACATGCATCTGCGTACAGGTTGACCGTATCCTTTACTCATCAGTTGTGTACCCCCACAACTATGGGTTTATCCCACGCACTATATGTGAGGATAGCGATCCCTTGGACGTCTTGATTATCATGCAGGTACCCATATTTGTTTCATTCTGTCAACTTCTTCTTGTAAATTAGTGCGCATTACACATCTCCTTAAATATCTGTCTAAACTAGAATTGTTCAATAAAACGATCTTACTGCATTACAATGTTCTTCTTCCGTAGTCGAGAGAAATACTTATGGACGATATCATGTTTTTTTAATTTGCTGCGCAAGAGTTCTTGTTCCTTGGTCCTGCCAAATTCTCTTCCTTCATAGCACTTGATGTCTTTTAGTTTTTTATGCTGTGTTAGATGCTTAGCTTCACTCTTTTTGTTTTCTTTGTTTTTTAATTAACATTCACAGGAGCCTGTACTTCCAGGATGCTTTCTGCGGGCCAAGGCTATTGGTCTCATGCCAATGATTGATCAGGTATATTGATAAAATAAATAACCCTGTTTCCTCGCTGCAAGAAGTTCCTTTCTATTCTAAGCAAAGATGGATTATTGACTTTGACAATTACAGGGGGAGAAAGACGACAAGATCATTGCCGTTTGTGCTGATGATCCTGAGTACCGTCACTACAATGACATCAAAGATCTTCCCCCTCATCGTTTAGCTGAAATTCGTCGTTTCTTTGAAGACTGTATCCTTTCCAAATGCGAAATCATAATACTACCATATGGTTATTACTATGACCATATATATAGAGGCGGTAGAATGAATGGGAACTTTCTTTTATGTGACATATGAAAAGTACTTTATACTTTCCTTAATAGAGTAATTAGACAAGAAGAATGAGAACAAAGAAGTTGCAGTGAACGACTTTCTGCCTGCTTCGTCTGCCTTCGAAGCAATCCAGCACTCCATGTAAGCAACTGCCTTGTCTGGCTCACTTTAAATATCTTGTGGTATCATTGATCACCGCCAATTTTTTAATTCTTTCCAGTGTTTATGTTTCAATAACCAAGTTCTCTGTAAAACTAAAATGTTCATATTTTCCAAATATTTTCAAATTAATAATTTTATATCTAACTAGATTGTAGACTTGTATAAAAGATTTGAAAGCAGCCAGTGTAGAGATGGATTGCGTGCGGATAGATGATATAACTTTTTCTTTTCTAAATTGTGAAGGGATCTGTATGCGGACTACATCGTGGAGAGCCTGAGGCGGTAGTCGTTGAGCCGGTGGATGCTCGTCCTGGATTTTGTTTGATCGCCCTACATATATATATTGGGAAGAAATTATTCCTAAAGGCCACCTTTTTTTTTTTTTCCCCTAATGATTATGACGAAAAAGAAAATTTAGTCGCACGTAAATTGCTCTGAATTCATGCATATTTTACACACATTTCTGCTTGATCTTCGCTGTTAAACTTAATGACGTATCCAGTTTAATACCAAAGTCAGTTTTGTATGTTATTGCCCCATTCGTTTTACCGAAAAATTGCTGTGTAAAGTGTATTTACAGTGACCGCTGGTCAATGCCTACTTTCTGTCCTCGTGCTCATTTGCTGAGGGGAACAAATGTGGTGATAAATGGTTAGCCGGTTGTAATGGAATGCTTAAAGCGAGCAAATTATATTCAAAAAATCATAATGAAATAAATAATATTCTTTCGGTTCTAGATATAAAATTCATTTTGTAATGTAATTTATATCATAAAATAGCTTTTATATTTAAAATACGAGGGAGTACAAGTTTTTGAGAGAATAAACAAAAAATATGGGTGATTATTGCTCGATTCTCCTTGAGAACAGTTGGAAGTTTACGTTACATCTGGTGAGGAAGGAAAAATCAAGATTAGAGAGCCACCAATAATTAAGAATGGATTTGGTCAATTGCTGTACCAAACGATTTGATAGGTTGAAATTATTTCTCTAATATTTAAAGGAATAAAATAAGTTACATGATACTTATTCAATCTTATTTATAAATCACTTCTAACATATTCACACAAATAAAGAGAAACTTTAAAGTTTATTAACTCTCATTTAAAATTTAACTTTCCAACTTTATTCTTAGTTAATAAACATTATATCTCATGTAAACAAAGTCAACACAATAATAAATAAAAGATAAAATTATACAATACACATGAAAAAATTTTCTCAATGTCCTGTAGGACAAAAAAGTGTTTTTTTTCCCCTCTCTATCTATAAACAAGACCTGGGAGATAACATAAAATGTATGAAAAAATTGAGAGGATAAAAAGTGGTCAGAGCATGTGCTACTCGTTCTTTTCCAAATCTACAATTCTACAATTTTGCCAGGAATTGCCCTGTTTACATTAGATAAGTGAGATTTGAAAACTTGATCACTAACCAATGTGAAATGCTCAAATAAATAAGGTCCTCTAAATTAAAATGAAAGTTGCCGGTACCACTCCGTCCTAACCTTTTAGCCAAATTATGTTTTTTAATAAAACAGTTAAAATTAGTTAAAAATAATTAATATATAATAAATACAAGTTTTTTTTTCCAAATATACCTCTAATAAATGTAAGAGAATAATAATGAGATAAATAGAAAGTGAATGTAATAGATGAAATTTATTAGGAGTAAAATAGATAACAATGCATTAAATGTTCAAACAAATTAAAAAAAAACCTTATAAAAAAAGGACAAATCCATTAAAAAAAAAATCTTATAATTACGAACAAAAGGAGTACAATGCAGGAACTTCAAGTTTTTAACTTATTTTTTTATTTTGTTCTACAATAGATCTCTGAGTTCCCTTCACATTTACATCTACCTTTGCCTTGGTAGCTAGCACTGCTGACTCCTGGTAGTCAGAACTAGGGACGGAACCGGGTGTAATAAATAATCTCTTTTTTCAATCGGCCAATTAACTTTGAAGGGAACATCCGAGATGCAGAGGATTTATATAGATATTACAACCCATGGGGTAATCACAATTCGCCATCCATGGTTTCTTCTTCATGCAGACTTGACATTATTGAATGATAAACAGAAGCAAGCACGCAATATCGACTAATAAAATACGTACGGAGGACGACCGTGTCGGAAAAAATTGTGAAATAGAATGGTTTGGAATTATCTCTCCCCACACAATTAAAAGTTAAAAACTAAATCTTTCGCCGGAAGGGTTCTTAGCAAAAAACTCTAAACAAGAGAAATACGACAAATCCAGAAACGTGTATGAGTGTATCTAGTAAAAGAAACCAAGGACCTTTCCACCAACATTTTTCCTCCTTGCTTCTTCGTGGTCCATGATGCCCGCAGAAGTCGTCAGAACAATGTAGCCAAACTGCGTCACACACGGTCGTTAGTTGATAATCACAATTAAGAATCTACTTTCCGTCAATATACTACTTCAAACTAACACAGTGGTTTCTAACCTGCCTAGAAGGAAGCAATCTAGCCGTCCATGGCTCAATTTCCTTAACGCCAACATCAAAACGAGGGCTGATAACTCCGCACTTGTTCAACCTTCCATTAAGTTCAACGACTATTTTTCCAGCCCTATGATCATCAACGTACTCAAACTCACCAATGTATCCTGAAGGGCAGAGCTAAGTAAATATCAACAATGCGAACAGAGGAATTTTCATAATCAAAGCACAAATTACCACTAACCATGCTTCTGCATGACCAGAAGAAACTTGATAATAACCTTTGATGAAGGTCTAATCATCACTTGGCGCTTTCCACGCTTTTCAGCATTGTACATGCTTTTTAAGGCATCATTCAAGACGCTGACTCTAACCATCTTTTCAGAGGCAGGCTGTTGCATGGATAACAATTCATCACACAAGGGAGGATAACGAGAACAATAGCATGTTTGCAAACACGAGGGAAAAAGAAAAATAGGCAACCAATCAAGATGATGAGCTAAAACGAAACAATTTGGGGGAAAAGTGCATAACAAACAGATGATTTCAGTTGCAGAATGGACATAATGATTGTGTTAGTATTATTGGGATCATGAATTCCAATAAACCTCAAAGGAAATGCTTGTCTAGACGGATCTAGATGGATGGCTCAAAGTAAGTTCAAAGTGTATTAAATATATAGCCAAACACGCACCCTGTCAAAAACATCTCCCTAAATATGGCAAAGAGGATAACCAGGGTTATTACATCTTCAGACAGAGAAACATCAGTACTACCTTAAACAAAAGAATAATGGTTGTATGTATATAAGCATCTGAATCATATGCATTTAAAAGCAATTTATATTATATAGTTAGAGTTACCACCTCAGGGGAGGTATTTCATAGGCGTTACTAATAGTCACTGCCCTTACTTAAGTCAATATAAAACAATTTAGAGCTGGTTCAGATTTAAAAAATTGATACAACTGACATGATAACAAAGGGAAAAGGCATTAGCAAGCATAAGCATGACACTAGGGAGAATAATCTGGAATGATAAGCTGATGCAGCGAAAGAACTATTAGTCAGTTATATATTTACATGAGAAGTGTCGGTTTGCCATGAAACTTCCAGGGCTAGAGAGAGTAAATAGATGTTTAAAAAAAAACATTACTCAGGCATGAGCTTAAGTGGATTCAGAAACAAAACAGAAAAGTAAAAAGTACATGGAGGGAAACCAAGTTGTTGGCAATCCCGCAAGATCTAACCCTCAATCAAACAATCATTCCATTCTAATATCATTGATATCAGCCTTCTCGAGTCAAGCAAGCGACGCGTAGTGCTCCAAATAGTGAAGTTAGCTTATGGATACGCAACCAAGTTTGTCAAACTTGTGGCACTCACCAATGGAAACAAGACTGATATGATGAATCCACAAATTGATAGACTCAATGAAACGGCTTGAAATTTTATTTCTCAAAAGTCATCCTGAAGAAACATGCTAAACTCCTACAAGCAGAGAGATATTGTACATACACGCATTTCTTTTTCTTTTTGCCAAATACATGCACATGTTTAGTATCACGGAGTACTGAATTCGATGTCAAATATGATTACATTTATATCTGAATGTGAGTTCACAAACAACATGGGAATCCTAAAATATTGTCAATGATGCGATAACAAAATTGCAGAACGAAACACAGCAGCATTCAGAAGTAGAAGACAACTAATAGGACCAGACTCGATAATTAATTATATAGAAAGCAGGAGAGGGTTGCACCAAAAGAAATAGTGTTGATCAAGATGTTTAGGAGATGCAGACCTGGAGGTTAAACAAAATGCGGCAGAATGGTCGCTCCGAGCTCGAGAAAGATGTCCAGCCAGCAAGGGTTTTTTATGTGAGGGGTTCCCGGCCTCCTTAAACCCACATCACATTAGCTAGATCCGGTCGGGCCCGGAAGGCCGAAATCCATGCATCCGATTAGCCTGGTTTATAAATTTTATTATGGATTAAATTAGTGCCCAAAAAATTATGGATTAAAATTTATTTCAATTTTTCAGAAAATATTATTAATTGATGTTTATTGATTCAATTGAAGAAATTATACCAATAATATGTTTGCCGATCTACTGTTTCAACGAGTAGCAAAAACAGATGGCAAAAGAAACAAGTACCAAAAATGATAAGATAGAATAAATTTTTTATAAATATATAACTTTGACTGACGAAATTATTCATATTATTTAGAACCTACTCGCTTTGATAGGAATTAAATAAAAAACTTATTGCTAAAAATTAAAATTTCAAAATTTAAATTTAAATTTTGAAATTCACGTAATTATACACAACTATCCTAGAATTTGTGAGGTTTTGTATATTATTACCTAATTTTTTTAATGCATGCATGCTACATCACATCACCCGCATTAATCTTTTTACTGCGGTATTTGGGTCGGGCCTTAAATGGACGCTGCCTTGTGAGCTAAAACATAAACTAGAATGAGCAGGACTTGGTTGGTCTCTGGGCTTTAAGATTGTAAAGATTAAAGAGGGTGGTTTTCTTTCTTTTCTTTTCTACGTCTTTTTTTTTTTTTTGGGAGCTGAAGAGAGTGGTTTACTTAAAAAAAAGAAGAAATTAAAAATCGTATGCTATTTCAACTAATTGTTGTTATGTGTTCACTCAGGGGAAAATGACATTTTCAAGAAAATATTATCAGTTACTTAGAGATTACAAGTTCTAAAAATTCTACAGATTTGTGGAGGTAATTGCAGGGATTCGTAAAAAATTGTCACTCTCCCTCTTTCTTGTGTTTGCTCTTGGCTGCTTAAAACGTTGTATGAATTTTACGATGGTTTTTTAAATATAGGATGAGTCACTTGGAAATGGTTTTTTTTTCCCTGTTTAAGTTGAAATATACTTCCAACCTGACTTCCAAACTAGACAATTAGCAAATCAGATCATTGCAACAGTTAAATGTTACGATGGGTAGAATATTGTCGCAGCACCTAGACTCGACCATTGTTTTGATCTAGCTTCTTTGTCATTGGAGCTATAAATCAGGTTAAAATATTTTCTGCACAGTTGGAAATTCAGGGTAAGTGACTCGTAGGCGATTGTGTTTGCAACTAGCCATTGTTCTAATCCATACTTTTTTTCCCGTAAAGGGTCCGTTATGTATATTAGTACATATAGAGAACAAGGGACGCAGAGAGTAAGAAAAAACATACACAAATACAAAATCCAAACGTAAAGGAGTAGACTACTTCAACGTCAACGCCCAATGCCATGGTAAAAAGCAACCAGAAGAAAGCAATTGTAATACTTGCAGCCATGAAGTGGAACATTAGCATGATACTAATAAACCACTAGACAAGGGCCAAATGACACACCACTCCATGGAGGAATATATCCTTCTTATCTTCGCGCCACTGTGATGCCCAGATCCACATCAACTTCATGATATGAAATGTTTCTTGACGTTAAATATTTATAAGAGTAGTTAACGGCACCTATCAGAAACTGGGTTTGAGGGGATAATGGAAGTTGCCATTTTTAGCAACCCAGATGTTTTAGGTTGAAAGATCAAGTCATGGCCTTGAGCACAACCCTCTCTAGCCCTCTGTTATTGGACTTGAAGAAACACCACCACCACCAACAAACACATTCAGCAAGTATAAGCAGATTTGATTACTGATATAACAATATAATAGAACAGTGACATCCCTCCATGAGTCAAGACATGTCCAATGGTAGTCTCATGAACACATAATCATAATAAGAAATATAACTAGTGGCAAACATCAACCATTGGAATGTTAGGAGCCATGGTGTAACATCCCCAAAAAAAAAAAAATCCTGAGACTTTTAGTCATAGTTTTACCCTTAATGAGTATAGGACCAAGTTTTAGGTTTAGAAAATATGTGGGTGTGTGTATACTCAAGATAAGAGATAGAAGAAATTAAATGGGTATAAAATATATGTGTGTGTGTGTGTTCAATAATAAATAACCAAAGTAAAGATAAAATATATGTATATATGACTACATATAATATTTAAAAAAATCTAACTAATTTAAAGATATCTAATATTTAAGAAAATCTGAATTTTGAGATATTCTCTATCACTTTTATCACTTTTCATGTGAGAGCAGTAGATGAGATGTAGCAGGGAAAGTTCTCGAGGTGTGAGGCTACTTCCTGAGTAGTTAGCCTTCCATGATTGTTATGCTTGATTTACTAATGATTGCTACCGGACTAGTTTTCATTCATTTAATTAATTCGGGGAATTAATTTTATTATGATATTATTACTGTTGAGTTGGACTGTGCTTGATTAGTAGGTTTGAAGCTGTTGGATTTGTTTATTTTCATTTTATTTTACATATTTGTGGATCCGCAAGAATATGAACAGTTTCATTTAAATAAGTGGACTTTTTTCTTTGAGGTAGTGGCCTGAGGCCCCTTTAGAAATAATGATCATGATATAATTATGTCTATCAAATGCTTATAGTTCTTTTTACAATCATGTTTAGATAGGCAGTATCCCTCCTAAAATGGTTAAAAATAGTGTGTAGTAAATTATTGCTGAAGGCAAATGCAGGAATCCCTTCTCGTAACTTACTTAATCTTTTATTAATTCATCGATGACAGGTACTCTTTTGATAGTAATGATAGAATGACGTGTAAGTCCTTTTCCATCATGATTTTGATTTAGGAAAAAAATTTCTAGTTTGCTGCTAGTTTATTATTATTGCCACATCAAATACTATAACTATATGTGGGGCTTAGTGTTTTAAAGGAGGATGTTTCACATAGAACCTCACAATTTACTGAACCTTCAAATAGCTCGAGCAATGGATCGAGGCTTGCTAGAAATCTTAAGAAGGATTTCTTACCCACATTCCACTTGTGAAGCATCTTGTGCACATGAAAACCAAAACGAGAAATATTGAATTGCCTTGCTTGACATACAATCTCTGACTTGTAGGCCAATTCCTAACTGTGACCTTCCATGCATTTGTGTAGCAAAAAAGCAAGATGTTAATGTTGAAGTACAACATCGACCAACATCAGATTATAAATCAACACTTAAATATTGGCCTTCAAATCTCCCACGAAGAACACAATTTAGTGAAGATTCTCCCCCTCCATATCCTTGCTTTTGAATAATTTCTCGACATTAGATCTATACTCCTCATCACCCCCTTCTTAATCTGACATCTTATGAAATGCTCATCTCAATGACATGCACCATATGATTCATTATATCCCACTCTTAGGATGTAGAGAGATTTTTTTAAATTATTTTGACTTGTAGCAACCGGGTTTATTTGGTTGGAAAAATCCTATAGAAGAGAAATGATTACTAAAAAGTCTCAATAATAATCTCAACAGTCTATAATGACAAATCCTATAGTGAGAATGATAACTTTTGGAATTTATTTTTTAATTGTTTTTCTACTCAAGAACCTCATGTAATTCTCCCATTTCTTTTTGATCTATGATTTCAAGTAAAATTATTTTCTCACAAGTTCCTAAGAAATGTTGATTTTCCCTCTATCAAATCCTCCACACATGCAATAATTCCCTCCAAAGAATAACATGAAGTGTGAGGATTAGCCATCAGGCAGCCATTTAGAAATATAAGGAGGGGCTCAAAAGCTTGTAAACTATTGAAATCAACTTTAAAACTGAGACATTCTCTCCTATTTAAATATAAGTTAAATTTTGTTGAAGGAATTATTTTTTATAATATTCATTTTTGTCTACATATGTAATGATTTTTTTTTAATTTTATCTCCATATATTTTCTTCACTCTTTGATTTATTTATTATATCTTTTACTCATTTTCTTTATTAATAAGGGCATATTTAGAAAAAAAATATATATGCCTTACATATGTTTTTTTTTAAACTGATTTTAACTAGTTTCTTGATAAGTATAAATGAATAAAGTTTAGCTTATATTTGAACCAGAGAGAGTAAATTGTAAAGACGTCTGATTTAAATTAAATATTACTACCTCCGATCCTTAATATAAAAACTTGTTAGATTTTTATTTTGGTTTTAAATATAAGATTCTAATTCATTTTGTCTTTCATATTTATTTATTTGTTCTCAAAGTAATTTCTGTAATAATGATAGTTCTAATCAATATACTTGATTAACAAAGATATTTTAAAAAAGATAACACATATTTATTATAAATAATTAATTTAATTAATTTTTTTATTTACTTAAATTAGTCAATTATTTTTTATACCAAGAAAGTGAAATTTTTTGCACATGTTATGTAATTGAGCTCCTTACAGCGAACGTATCCATGGGCTAAAAAAAAAGAAGAAAAAACCATTTTATAGTTCTCGCGCGCGCGCTCACACAATTGACCCATTTAAATCTCACTCTATGATCACGCGCTAGCCGGGCTGCGATCCCAGTGACAAATACTCCGCGAATCCCAAGGAATCCCGCCCGGGGAGGAATTCGGCGCGAAGACGATAAGGTGAAATCTCATCCGTCAAAATTCAAACTTAATCAACGATCAAGTAACGTAACACGTCATTAATCCGTCTTATGCCTTCTCCTCCAATCAGAACACATCTCTACTCCCTATATATAACTAGCCCCACCCCATTTTCATCATATCTCATTTCATCTCTCAGCCCTTTTCTCTATTGGACGCAACCTGTCCTCGTTCTCGCCAACTATTCACTTGAGTCCTTTTTCCAAATCGATGGCTCCGGCAAAGGCAGAGAAGAAGCCAGCAGAAAAGAAGCCGGCAGAGAAGGCCCCGGCGGAGAAGAAGCCTAAGGCCGAGAAGAAGATAGCAAAGGAGGGCGGTGAGAAGAAGAAGAAGAAGGCCAAGAAGAGTATCGAGACTTACAAGATTTACATTTTCAAAGTCTTGAAGCAGGTGCACCCTGATATCGGTATTTCCAGCAAGGCCATGGGCATCATGAACAGCTTCATCAATGATATCTTTGAGAAGCTTGCACAGGAGGCATCGCGATTGGCTAGGTATAACAAGAAGCCAACTATCACATCTCGGGAGATCCAGACCGCCGTGCGATTGGTGCTGCCTGGAGAATTGGCCAAGCACGCCGTTTCTGAGGGGACCAAGGCCGTGACGAAATTCACAAGTTCTTAAGTTTGGATATGGTCTGTCCTGTGAACAATTTAAGATGTGGCGGTTTGTCCTTTCATTTTGGGGATCTAGGGTTTTCTGTAGAACCCAATCGATTCCCTTCTAGTTAGGGTTTATCTTTCTTTCTCGATCTCTGGAGCTACATATGTAATGCTATGAACAGTTCTTAATTAAATGTTTGGTTAGAACGAGTATGAGCTTTATGATCTGAATCCTGACGCTTTATGACCGACTTCAAGTTGAGCGAGCATCGTTGTGCTTTCTGTTGTTTCGGGAGAAGCGTATATGATTTGAAGACAGTTTCGTGGTAGTATAATACCTTTATCATCGGCATATTCAGCTGACTGTCTAACTTATGTGAGGCCATGACTATTATGCGATTCAGCCTAGTCGAAGGAACCTGATTAGCCTTAATCAACTATTCAAATGGACGGGTTGCAAAATATTCGCTCTTCATTCTAAGAGAAGAGGTCGATTGTTCGCTATTAATCACGAGTATGGTTTCCCATCATGTCCGAAATATATGCTGTGATACAAATCCTGTATCTTAACAAGAGCACTATGACACCAAACTGATTTATGAGTTCTAGCCTATATAGTTAGCAAGCGGGCCTGCGTTTAGCCATCAGTTAGAGAAAGATCCATGATATTGCTGAAACATCTCTGCTTGTTTGTAAAAGAGCGCTGAAGAACTTGAGTGTTCATTGCTAGTCTCTTATTCGCCGTTGTTGGGGATTCAGCACTCGATTTTTTAACATTGGCCGTGAACAAGCGGAACTAGTGCTACCCAGGGAACATCGCCATAATTAGACATGAAATGCGAGACTGCCTTGAGAAACTATGCTGCTATTATGGGGTAGCTGCAAAAAAAAACTGTTGTTAGTCTCATGCTTGTTTAAGGGTGCTTGATTCAAAAGACAGGAAGCTTCGTTCAAGTGGTACTCAACAAATTCTTCTTGCAGTTTATCTTGTATGTTTGATGATTTTGAAGGACTGTTAACTTTTTGTTCACCAGCTGGTTTTCTTGTTATTGATAACGTTTTTGTTTTCACTGTTTAATGTTACTGTGTTTGAAGGATTGTAAGAAAAACATACTACTGGATTACGGGGCAGGTGATCAAAGCTAAGTTTCATAATTTTCAGCTGAATTATTCCTGTCAATAGGAGTGTCTTGTGAAGATTGGACTGGTTATGCGAAGCACCAATGTCAGCAAACAAATATAACTGCAAAACTCCCTTACCCAACAACGTATTCTATCGAGTCTCATCTTCCATCAATAACTGGCAAAAAATAAAAAGAAAAAAAAACTCTCAATAACAATGTATCATCACAAATTTAAGCTTCTGCCTGTTATTTAACAACATTTAGTCGTTCTCTCAATTATTTCACGGTACCCTTTGCAGTTCTAGTTTCCCTTTAGTCTCACCTGCCGTCTGGTTCATAACCTGTGGTAAATATGAAGCCATTCGCCAAACTCTTTAGAATGTTAAGATTAATCAAACTAATCAGAGGCACGCCGGGGGCAATGCATAGGCTATCGATATGAGCAAAATCCCACATCAGGAAAGGCATGTTAATCCATAAAACGTCATCAGCAAATTGTTAAATTTCAAGAATTACTGTGTTTGATAGGAAAGTATTTCCATTGACCTCTACGTCAGAGAGAATGGAGAATTCATGACAGTTTCTATCCAATCCCGCTTCGGACCACACTTCTCCTTCATTGGCATTCTCCACTGCGAGGAAAACTAGACACATTTTTTCATATTTAGCATTTAAACTACTATGGTGAATTGCGTTGTTCATAACTTACAGTGTGATACGACATGTTGACACAGGTGAAGCTGGTACTAATTACTTACGTTTTTAATTTTATGAAAATGTACAGCAGATGATCAAACATCCTTTGACATGCTCAGTCCGATGTTATAGCTTGTTTTCTATATAGTATGTCCACACAGTTTGGGATGACTTTTGTATGCCTCCCATTCTTCAGCTGATTTAACCTGTACACAAGGGTTCATTGTTCAGGAACAATATTTTGTGCTTACCAGCAGCAGCAGCAGCAGCTTACGAGTAAGAAGTGTCTTCAAAGAATTTCCTCCCCTTAAAATTTAGGAAACTACATATACTATTACCCTTCACATTCTCAACTTGGAAGTGTTGAAGGCTGCACTCCTGCAATCTGGTGCAGTACCATATTTCGGAAGTTCATATGGAATGTTTTGAAGTTGTATTATCACCAAATTATTGTATCAGGTTGCTGAAAACATGGGCGTGAGCAATATTGGAGGGGAGCCAGGTTATCTACGGATTAATACTCCAGTTTTAATCGGAAATTGTATGCTTCATATGCATCATTCCTTTTGCGAGAATCCTGGGCGTTTGTTCAAAGCCATCCATCAAACACCTAACATGTTCATTTGTGTGAAGATATTAGAATATTTTTTCATCCATTCTTTTGGTACTAAATTTGTTTACTACCCTCACAAGAGCGTTGGCTCCAAAGTTTCAATTCAAAGTAGATATTTCATAACATTTTCCCCTGCCGTATCTCCCTCTCAAGTATCAGTAACGTTGATTCCAAACCATGTTACATATATCCGACGCTGTCACGCCACGTCTTTATGCTTTATTTTACGGAAAGTCGTAGTTGAATTGGACCAGACATTAAAGATGCGATCTTAAATATTTGGATAAATTGGCGCGCTGCGAGCCCTCAATCCCTTGGACGGACAAATAAATTTAAATTGGAATTTGAAGGAAATTCAAATTCCAATTTAAATTGAGATTTATAATATAAAAATAGAAATAGAAGATCAAGTCCCTATCATTTCATTTGAATGAAACAAAAGTAGTTCTACATGGATAATAAAACAGCGATTGCCTTGTCCCTAGGATTTTATCGAGTACACCTCCATACAAAGTCACACTACAGACACAACTACATACACAAAGATGAACATCCCGTTCACAATGTAGAGGCAATTCAAGATTTCTTGGGGGATTTGGTGGCTTTGGATGGAGACTTAGATTCTGTGGAGGCTCTTTCGGTTTTCTTAGGCAGCAGAACGGGGTTGATGTTAGGCAACACACCACCGTGAGCAATGGTCACGCCGGCCAACAATTTTCCAAGCTCTTCGTCGTTCCTCACTGCTAACAGAACATGTCTTGGGATGATTCTATTCTTCTTGTTATCTCTGGCAGCGTTCCCAGCCAACTCCAGAACCTATAGCACAATAGATCAGCGTCGGAAAACGAATGTCCAACCATTCACCCGTAATGCATGAACAGAGATTCGACAAAATATCGAATAAAGTGGAGAGAAGCACTAATTTCCACATCCAACTCCGATAGCCCTAAACTAATTGGGGAGATTTATTATCAAAGAAGAAAATGTTTAAAGTAGCCTTGGTATTTTGATGCAGAGATGGTTACCTCAGCTGCAAGATACTCCAGCACAGCGGCGAGGTAAACCGGAGCTCCGGTGCCAACACGTTGGGAGTACCGCCCCTTCTTCAAGTAGCGACCGATCCTTCCGACAGGGAACTGGAGACCGGCTTTGACAGAGCGAGAAACTGGCTTCTTTTTGGGGCCGCCTCCCCTTCTTCCTCCGGCGCCTTTCTTCAACTTTCCTCCGGTATCCATTATGTGAAGATTAAACTGGTAGCCTGACCCTCTCAGGGAACAAACTGAAAATGATGTGAAATTTGGATGACGGAGCGGGAATCGTTCGGTTGGAACATTTATACAAGGTATGGCAGCAGTGAGAAACCCGATCGCCTCGTGATAGGATATCATAGCCGTTAGATTTAGAATATCGACGGTTTTAAAGTGATTATCGCAGCGATCCGTGTTGTGCGAAGGATTCCAATAATATAAAGCCATCTGTCTCTGACACCCAGACTCGAAACCCGCGACGGAGAAGCAGATTAGCGAACTGGGAGGGCCAATGCCTTCGATCCTTCTCTCTTTCCTCTCTGAGTAAACCCGTACAATCACTAATCACTAATTTTCTTAACAAATAAATTTAATAATAGCATAATACTTTTTGTTAATCAATATGCATCGAAATTAACTCATTTTATGACTCAAATTAGAAAAAAGGTAATTCGAAAAAGATAATGTCTCGACGTGAATTCCAGTGTTCAATTAAATAAAAGGTAAGTTTTATTATTGGAAAAAAATTATTTTTGATCGAGGTTCGTGCCAATAAAACGTGACCTTTTTTGGGTAAAAACTTAAATTCTTCATAGACTATTTCATTCACTGAATTGTTTAAAAAATTAAAGTTGTAATAAAATGTGATTAGAAAATTATTACTGAGAGATTAGCAATGGTGAGTATATTTAGGTTTAGCTAAGAGGAATCCAATTGGGCTCAGAGGCTCCTCCTGCCAATGGAAGAAGAAAATGGGCCGTACGTAAGAAAATGACGATGGGCCGAGCATCGGCCTTCAGAAAAAGACATCGCACGGCCGAATTTGAAAAATGAAACGTACTACCTCTTGTCTTAAATATAAGAATTATTTGATTAATTTGAATAGATTAAAAAAATACTACTTCTCTTTCTTAATATAAGATTTTGTTTGAATTTTATTTTGATCCTAAATATAAGATCCCAATCTATTTTGTCTTTCATATTTATATATTTTTTTTAAAGATAGTCCTTCTAATAATGGTATTTCTAAATAATAAACTTGATTAGTAAGGATATTTTAGGAAAAACAATATCTATTCATTACAAATAACCAACTTAACTAAGCTTCTTAATTTTCCAAATTAGTCAACTGGGTCTTATAATTAGGACCGGAGGTAGTAAATTAAGTTAGTTATTTATAATAAATAGGTATTGTCTTTCCTAAAATATCCTTACAAATCAAGTTTATTGGTTAAAACTATTATTATTAGAAAAATTATTTTAAATAAATAAATAAATATGAAAAATAAAATGGAGTGGAGGCTAAAATAAAATCAAAGAGGTCTTATATTATACTGCCTCCGATCCTTAATATAAAACCTTATTTGACTTTTATTTTAGTCTTAAATATAAGACTCCAATCTATTTTCTCTCATATTTATGTATTTTTTTTTCAAGATAGTCCTTTTAACAATGATAGCTCTAGCTAATATATTTAATTATTAAGAATATTTTAGAAAGAACAATACTTATTTATTATAAATAATTAATTTAATTTTTTTTCTTAATCTTCTCAAATTAGTCAACTAATTCTGCAGAAGTGGTATTAAGGACAGGAGCTAGTATAAAATTAGATCGTTGACCTTTTTTTCTTCTGCAACGCGTTTTCTTCCTTATCCCATCATCATAATTTCAACTCAACATGTCTAGAATGGCTTGATTCTGATTTCACTCCTTCAGAGGCTCTTGATTTTGTTTTCAGCTATCTAAAACCGACTGTTGACTTGGTTGCCTGCCGGCGTCCCAAGGTTGAAGTTTCGTTCATGAACGGGTTGGCATTGCGAAGAGCATAGAACAATGCCTTCGGTGCCAATTGATTTCTTGCTATGCCCTTGGATACCTTCTTTGACCATTTTCCATGGTGGATCCTCTTACCGTCTGAAACATCTTGAAAAAGATGGTCGGCGTGTTAATCTTAGTCATCAGTTGGAAACTCTTGTCATTCCTTTCAATTTCTATCAAGGTTCTTTTTAAGAGATATCTGTTTCGTTCTCATCTCATCTCGACGCTTGTTGGTATAAGAAAGACTTCGTGATCTTCCTGAAATCGTGTTAGCTTCAAAAGTTGTGGAAATTTGCTTGTGTTAATTCCTGTTCTAAGAGCCTTGTTGCATTGGAAGTCGTCGCTAAGGTACTTTTGTATAAGTGTACACTAAGAAATCTTCTAAAATTTGTGCATCATTCAAATTCACAATACTCCTTTTTAAAACAAGTCTGTGCAATCATATTTGTCTATTTGAACTTGAGCACGGTTCAAACTATTGGGGGAAGACAGCCACAGCCGCAACCCTTAGTCTAATTGCTGGGACCTTTTTTTCTATCTTCTTTCTTAAGATTTTGGTGCTGATTTGTCATACATGTTACTCTTTTGCATATGTTGTTCTCCATAGAATCATTGGTCACATGTATTTTGATGATAGAGGAAGATAGGAATATAGGATTCTTCTGCTAAACTCAACCTATAATTTTCAAACATGAATATTGCTTTCCACATTTTTACGTTACCGAATAGCTGGTCACCGTTCATTACAACTGATATTTCCACCAAGATGCTGGTTATGCCTTTTCGTACATGCTCTTCTGTTTGTATCATTAGTCATGGAGAGATTGATCTTTGGAGTTCAAATCTTATAATGCCATGATGCTGGTAGTTGTCTTTTCTATGTCACCATATTTTTACTCTTTGTCCACCGTCTTTGTACACAAATAGCATTTTATTTACTAATTTCTTCACCTTAGGTTCTCTGATGGCTTCTTCATATCTTGTTAACAATTTTTTTTTAATGTACATTTATAGAAGTTTTATTTAATTATCTATTTATCTATCTTGAAAATATTTCTTTACTTTTGTCTTTTAGTACCTGATTAAATCGTTTGATATGTACTCTCCCGCCAATACCGAGCATGACATAAGTAATCTAGAAAGTACTTTTAGCAAATCATTTCACATTGAGGATGCTGAGAAATCAGACCACTCGTCTGTGGGGGATGATTATTGTAATACGGGGGAGGGAGGTCTTATGCAGCAGGAAACGGATATGGATAAGACTTGCTTGACGAGGTCTGCAAACACGAGTTATTCTGATCAGACGTTACCACCAAGCTCTTCTGACGAGGAATTGGTCATGAATGACGTGATTCAAGCCGATATAGCAAAGGTTGATGGAACCTCCTACATTAAAATGTAGTTCTTTGTTTCTGGCTTTGCTATCTTATGCTTATTGACTTGTATTTTCGTGATGTCTGACTTCACAGACCGATTTGAAGCCTGTTTCTGTGATGAAAGGCAGCCGTGAGAAACAAGGAGGACCACGGACAAAACTGACCGTAAAATGGGCCCCTGATGTGTATGATCCGCTACCAAGATCAGCTTTGCTCTCTGTTAGAAGCAAGAGACAGCATAAATCCAGGGGCAAGAAGAGAGAGAAGAAGAATGGAAAGGGTCAGAAGAGCACTTATTCTCGGAGAGTTAGTGGCAAAGATAAGAAGCAGTATCGCATATCGATTGAAACATCGGATAAGTGCTATAAGTTCGTTATTTTCTCGTGATGAATTGATTGGAACATCTACCGAACTGGATGCTTTAGATTCCCACCAGGATCCTTTCTGTGGAACTAGATTCTTCAGAAAATCAGTTACGCTAGAGCATTTCTAGGTAGCAGAGGCCTAATGAGCGTGTTATTAATGGTTTTTCCTTTTTAGCTCCTTTCGTCTGTCCCTTTACTACTGGATTGCATGACTCAATGTGGCTCTGGCTACTGAACACAGAACTTCTCAAGGCTCGAGCAGCCAAAACATATTTTTGTTGTGTCAAGCATATTTGTTTGTATGACCCGCTTTGTTGAACACGGCACCATGACAGGATTTAAGCGTCTTGCGTTAATGCGCATTCTCTTTTGTCTATCAACTTCAGCATGTCCGAGATACATTCTAGAACGCTGACTTGGGTAAAATCGTGTTGCCATAGCACGAAGCCATGATAATAGTCGATGCCGTGTAGCGGCAATAATACTAATTTTCAAAGCGGAGTTTCGACGAAGGTTTGGGACTTCGGGTATGTGCTCATCTCACTCAAATTTTCGTCAGGTGGCTTACCAGTTTAAATTTCAATGGGTTGTGCGAAAAAAGAGTGTTCATGGCCGGTGCAAGCATTTTTACAATGTATGTATATGACACTAATCGATCCCCCATTCGACAAATTGAACATCTCTAGGTCTGATGTGCTCCATTAAATAATGCGGTTGCGGTGGTGACCGCTTAGCTACTAGTCAAGTTGCCAAGACTGGGGGAAAAAAGGTGCCAAACAAAAAAGTGAATGCAACTGGGTAATGGATCAAAAATTGTGCCAAAGAGCTCATTATGAAGGACTCCACGTTTGACTATGTTGTGTACTCTGCATTGATTTTAACATAATCGTAGCTTAAATCGCAGCCCCACGCTTGTCCACGACCCGGACCATCACCTGGGGGGAAATGAAGACCAATTAGCAAGCACATGCACTTCCCTATTACCAAAAAACAAAAGACATTTCCCTTGCTCATAAATTCTAGGCTGGGTTAAAGCGTCAAAGCGCAACAGAAAGTGCAGGCGCACGGTTTATTACAACGAAATAGCCTCATTTGGTAACTATCGCATGGGAATGATCCTCGATTATCTAGTCATAAGTAATCAAAATAAATAAACATTGAGAAAACGTTATTTAAAACTGAATTTTGAAATTACAAAATTTTATCCAAGACACTTTCATGCAGGGAAAAAGCATAATAGGGGGAAAAAAACCCTGACAACAAAGTCAAGCGTCTAATATTTTCAAAAATGCTTTTAAAACTTCTGAATTTATATTACTAAAACAACCCTTGTAGGATTCTCTTGTGCAATGACTTGAATGGTATATAATTGTGCTACGTCTCTGCTTTGGGTTACTATTCTCTTTTACCGTCATCATACTCTTGTTGATTACTGAATCCCAATCCCAGTTAAACCAGGGTGGCATTACGAGGGCTTCAAATCATGACATAGAAATATGTGCGAAGAGCAAAACCATAATTTCAAATCACACAAGGGCAAAAATTTTCTTAATTTTGGAGGATTTCATTGACAAGATACAGACTTACCAACTGATATCTGAATTTCAACCGTACCATGAGTATCTCCAGCCTTTCTCAGATAATTACTCGCAGCAACCCTGCCAGAGTAGCTTCTTGAGTTTGCAAAATGTAGATAAATAATCTTAAAAGATGATAAACAAACAACGACATCACAAGCTTAAAAAGGCATGTGCAAACTGCCCAAAAAAAAAAACTGTACGCGTGTAGAATCTTATTTTCATGCAGATGAAGCTGTTCTGAAGAAGCTATGCATGTCTAAGGACAGGCGAGTAAGACAAAAGTTATTGGTAAGTTTTGAACCACTCTAGAGGAATTTATGGAAAAAAGACACCGAAGATGAAACCTCAAGAAGCAAAACAAAGAAAGTAGCTCAAAAAACAAAATAAAGGAATTAGCTCTTACTGATCAAATAATTGAGGTTGGCCAGCATCCATTAGTAAAATATCGCCCAGCTGTACCCTAAGTGAGTTTTGGTGGAAAGCAACCCCTGCGTAGCCAGCTGCAGCAGCAATGCGTCCCCAGTTGGGATCTCTACCATATACAGCAGCCTGCATAACATTATTTTAGTATGTTAACTTTCGTTGAATTGAAATACTTAAAGAATGCTCTAGCTCAATTCTCATGCCTTCACAAGTGAAGAAGATGCAACTGAACGTGCAATTTTTGCAGCCTCAGCCTCACTGTCAGCCCCGGTCACATGGACCTGTAAAATGAAAAATGAAATTTGACGACAAATATCAATAATGAGTAGGATTGAATAAAAATTTTATGACAATCAACCTCTAAAATACTTCAATTTCATATTTATTAAATCAGGGGGAAATGCAACAAGAGTAAATTGTTTGTCAATGAAATACCATCACTAATTGCTGACTAAAACTGTATTTCCAATCATAACTCAGTGAAAAGAAACTTGAAGGGTTAACACTGGATGCCCAGTAGAAAAGAGGAGTAAATAGTCTTAAAAAGCATGCAGATCCTTGAAATAAGAACCAGACCTCAATGAGACATGTTGCTCCCTCTCCATCCCAAGCAATTGATTTGGCAAGACCTTGCATTACCTGGAAAGATAAAAGATTTACTGTTTTGTGCATTTTGAACCATGAGTCAAAGTGGGAAGAATAGGAACTCATTTATATCCCAATGTTTACTTTTTTTTGGCTGGGAGGTCCTAAGCACCAAAAAATAGAAATTGGCTATGAGCTCTGACTACATCAATCTGGAAATTAGCAATTGTATACACATAAAGAAAGGTGTTCTAAAGATCTAGTAGGAAGAGGAACTGGAATCCAAGGTTGCACAATACATTAGATAAATCAAAATGCAATAAGACAATAACCTATAAAAAGGGTCCATTTTTACTAGATCAGTCATGCTTCTAGTGAGAGTCTAAGACCAAGATATATCAAATTGTTTATCATGAAAGATTAAAATATTTGGTAACATAGAGGTATAAAATGTTTAGCGGTCAAACTTACAGCATCAAGGCATCCCTGAAGTTGAGAAGCTTCGTCACTATTTAAAGAAGATACACAGCTTAACCCAGATAATCCACTAGCCAAGGCAATAACAGTATCATTAGTGCTAGTATCTCCATCCACCTGTAGCATAAAGATTAAGAAATTCAGAAGCCAAAGGAAGTCATAGACCTGGCTGATCACACAAGCAAAAGCACGTGATTGTTAAACTATCAATTCAAGTCGATGAACTTGAATGCATGAGAGCCACTTGATATCAATTGTCAGAATGATTTTCAGGCTTTTTTTTTTTTCAATGTTTTAAAAATCACGCTGGATAAGCTAATCAGACTGAAAAATTGATTATACGTCCAGTCCAACTGACCCTCAAAACCAGCCTTTGAAAGAAATCAATCTTTATTTAACAAGATAGCTCCCCAACCAGGCGGACCAGCAGGGTAACAATAAAGAAGGTTAGATCACGGACCTTCCTGAGTCTAGACCAAGTCCAGCACTGGTGCATTAAACTAGTAATTTGGTTTCCTATATACAGAATTGCTACTCTATATACAGAATTTCTACCCTATATGCAGCATTAAAAAGGTGCTGGATAAGCTAATTAGACTGAAAAATTGACTATACGTCCAGTCTAAGTGGCCCTCAAAACCAGCCTTTGAAAGAAATCAATCTTTATTTAGTAAGATAGCTTCCCAGCCAGGCAGACCAGCAGGGTAACAATAAAGAAGCTTAGATCATGGATCTTCCTGAGTCTAGACCAAGTCCAGCATCGGTGCATTAAAATAGTAATTCGGTTTCCTATATACAGAATTTCTACTCTGCTACTCTATTGAACCTTTCCGATATCAGGCATTGTTTCTTCCAGTAATTACTCACAGTGGCACATCCACGCTGGTTTGGACAGCAGAGGACTCCCATTGCACCCTTTCCTTTGGATTGATGTCAAACCTATCATGGTGATTATGGCCCATGACAAATCCATGACATGAATGGCCACCAAACACCTTATGCGCATCAATCTACATTCTCCCAAAGCAGCAAAATCTATCATAAGCTAGGTACCCCGGGATGGGTTGGAATCAAGGTGATTATGAAGAATCTTAAGGGGTTTTAATATCAGAGGATTGGATTTTGAGACAATGTTCTGCTGATGCAGAACAGCAATGAAAAGGGCGAAAGGGGAGGAAATGGGAGAAACAGGGGAAAAAGTGGGAAAAGGGGAGTTGGAACAGAAACAAATGATGATAACTGGCATGCAATTTCATAATATCAAGTCTGTCTGGCTTACAGTTCCCTGGGGCTACTAAAACAAAAGAAAAATAAAATAGTCAGAAAATAGAAAAAGACACTAAATTAACGCTTCCTACCTAGAATAAGTACTACAAAAGTTCCCATCATGCACCCTTCTAATTCAAATTGTAGACAAGCTTTCCATCAGCAAATTGCCAAACAGAACTGTATCTATTTGAGCTACTGTTTGCTTGGAAAGATTTTCCTAGACAGAGTTGTACATGAAGAGGGTATTGCACTCTTAAAAATCATATTTTAGACAAACCTTCCACCAAGAAATAGCCAAAGAGAATTGTATCCTTTAGAAGGGGAAAAAAAAAAGTTTAGCTACCCATGTATGAAGCCTTACTATGCATATGTCCATTGCAGAAGTATTTAAATCAACTCAATAAGGCATTGGACCAGCTTTTAGTGGGGGAAAGCTGTATCTAGTCTTATAAAAATGTATGTGTTAAGCATGTATCCTGTTATCATAAAAATAAGAAAAGAAGGACAAATAAAAGACCTCTTATTTTTTATCATCGTATATTTTAAATTTTTATATGTAAAATAAAAAACATGATATATGTATTCAATTACTATTAGTTTGACCACAGTTCAAGCGAAAAAGCGGAGAGTCCCCCCTCTCTCCACAATATAATAAAAGGCCTCTCTGCCATTCAGATTAATGAATCATGAATAAGTGCCTCCATTAGTCAGTGATCAGACCAATTTTAAAAACATTGTTTTTTATTCTCTCAAAAATAAGAATGGCATTTATAATGAAGAATGAGGATCTTGCTCAAGTTGAGTACTCTAAAGTCTGCAAGAAATTTAGTAAAGATAAATTACATACAGTAATCTGGTTGAAACTTCGGTTCACAGCCACCTGCACCATTTTCCTCCAAACATCGCTGGCAACATGGGCATCAGTCGTGATTACCTAAATGTAGAGATTTTACTTGAGCTAAGAAAGCGATATGTCTAAATAACAAAAGAGCATTTAGCAAGACATACCCCAAGCATGGTAGCCATATTTGGATGGATCATTCCAGAACCTTTTGCCATTCCCCCTACTTTAACCTTGATCCCTCCAACCTGACCAATAGCCAATACTTACAAGCACAGATTAATCTCATCCTCATAATAATTAATAACAAAGAGACGTTGGCTTGTGGAAAATGATCCTTACATATTTAGTAATGTTCAAAACGATTTCAGAGTTATTGGCTTCCCTTTTTAAAAATACTACATCACATTTAAACAAAATTATCATTTACATCAAGAATTCAAGACCATATATCAAGTTGTACAGGTCATGCCGACAATAAATTACCCTTTGATGGCTTCAACTATCGTGCATTCTTAATTACTTAAGAGTTCGTCAACATTATCAACTTTTTCTATCCGTGATTTGTCAAGAAAATGCCTCTTTGCAGTTGCTGACTGTTTTCAGATCAGCTGCTCATCCACGTAAACCATTGTCATTGCAATAGACAGGATGGAATCACATATATGTTTATTAACCAGGTCTACAATGTGAAAGTTGCATAAATTAAAACTGAGCAGGATGGGAGAATGTAATACCAGACACTCCATTGCCACACTCTTGCGAACAAGATCGGTTGTGGTGATTGCAACTGCTGCAGAGTCTGCCCTGTATGAAAGCTGATAAGATTTTTGGGGGAAAAAAGAAAAGAAGGAATGACGTAAAAGAAGGAGTGTCAAATTTGGGTCAGATTTAGATATTTTTTAGTGCATAAGAGAAACCACAATATAAAAAGTAGGGTCAGGAAGAAGAGAGAAAGAATAAAAGATATAGAAAAGTCACTTAATGGCCAAAACAACTATGAAACTATAAACGCGCAATGTTGCTTCACATCAAAGCAAGTGCAACATCAATATAATAATAGCAACTCGTAAAAGTAAAGGAGTTACCCCTCGACTGAAGGTGAGAGTGAGTTTACTAGTTTGGGAAGTGAATTTAAAAGTGCCCCCTGCAAATGAAATGAGAAGTATATAACGCCAAAGCAAAAGTACTTATCAAATAGATAGTGAAGCAGGCTTGTTTGACTACTTTTCAAATTACTGCTCCACACTCTATTAATGTGTAGTCCATATTACAGATATAAGCATCACATAAACACAGGGCAACAAAACATAAAACATGCAGAGTCTCTGAACTTACCTTCTTTATTCTGTGACCAATGACACCAGTTGATTCAACAAGCACATCTTCAGGTTTCATTTTCATTAGCTGTAATCATGAACATTGACAATAGCCACCAAGCACGAATGCTTCTAAAGGAGCAAAGACAAAGAATGCATGAGAATAATCTCTGAAAGAATGCATACCTCCGCAAGGTTTTTGACACATTCTATCACATCCTGGTAACCAGCATCTCCCTGAAGATTTGAAATGCCTCAGCCACTAGAATTAAATCCCACAGCAAAGACAAAGAGCACAAGCAAATCAAATAACTAAGCTCTTAAGCAAGGGGAATAAAGCTATGAGAAATTCCACGCGGCAATATAACGTTAGGCAAACACATGGAATAAAACCAGATATATGGCTTACTGTTGCTGCATTAGCTTGACCTGCATTAATTAACACAGCACGTGCCTGCAAGAAAAATAATTCATTAGCAAGTAATCAAGTAAAAGAAAAATTATCGCATAGAATGAGATGCTTCGCTGTATCAATATTAACCAAAGCTGCTCTGAGAACTCAAGGAAAAGTTAAATGTGGCAAATGATCTGTATTGCATTCTGTTCGGTTGCAGTTCTATCTTGACTAGAAAGCGAAAAACTGAATACTTTCTTACTGTTTTGGAAATATCCATTGTCTTTTTGCAGTATAACACTGGTGCAGCAGCGACCATATTTGTTGTAAAGGCGCCTGAAAGTGGCAAAATTGAAATTTAATAAAAAAAGGGCAGATTTTTTACTAATAGCTCTTACGTTGTCCAGAGCATAAAATTCATAAAATTCCAAAGCCTTTGGTCTGATGCTCCAAAATATGATCACATAAAGTGCATGCCAAAATCCAAAAGTCAATCAGAGTAAAGGTCAATTTTATGAAAGTTAACCTGCAGATACGGCATCAACATCACATGTGTCAATCACAGTAAAGATCAATTTTATGAAAGTTAACCTGCAGATACGGCATCAACATCACATGTGACAAGTGCAAGATCAGGTTTTTCTCCTTTGGCGCGCAATCCTCCATAAAGGCCTGCTGCTTTGAATCCCTCTGCAGCAGTAACTCCTCCTGGTATCTGGAAACCGAAACCAGATGGTAACTGAGAAGTTGATAAATTTTCCAGATCCTAATTTAAGATTTGTTGGCATATTTTCCCAAAAATGAAACCAACCGCTAGACTACAATGAGCTGTTTCAAGCATAAGCATATATCACATGTCTCTCCCTCTTTCACTCCTTCCCTCTAATACAAGCGAATAGGACAGATGATATCCGAATATTTTAGCATCAAACAGAAATCGTTCAACAGTCATCTGCCGTCCGCTACTCTCAACCGCTCAGTTTTTAAAAGAAATCAACCAGATTAAGTTCATACATATTGCAGATGCCTTATTTTACGTTAAGAATAGTGTTCTATTTATCAATATAGAATATCATTTCTTGATACACAAAAATTCATGCAATGCAAAATTGACGTATTTTTACATGGCAAAAGAAACCATCATTATTAGACTATAATTAGCCATTCAATGCATGAGCAAATATCAGAAATCTCAATCTCTTCCCCCCCCCCCCTTCGCGCGCGCATATTCAGTGGAGCACGGGAGATGATTTCTGAATGCTTTCAGCATTAAACGGAAATTGTTCAACAATTATGTGTCATCCAGGACCACGGTCAACCATTTCGTTTCTAAGAGAAATGAGCCTAATTAAGTTCACATATACTTCAGCAGCCTTCTTATCCATTAAGAATACTGTTCTAGTTATCAATATAAAATAACATTTCTCAATACACAAATTCACACCACGCGAAGTTTACACCATATCAGGGATTTCCTGTAAGAAGTTTTCTGAGGAATTAAGTCAATGTAGCATCAATTTACCAATTAATCAGCTAAAGGACGATCCCTTAGCGACTGACCTGCTTCCAAGGTCCTTCAGTAAGAAAAATGGGAGCAGCTGGCACGTAAGTGGCGGGCAGATCCCCCGTCGCAGAGACAGCGCAGATTCTCAAATGTCTTGGAGAAGAATCAGAAGAGCTAAATATCTTTGGAGAGAACGCAAATTAGAATCAAACCGCGTGAAACGAACAAGATAGTTAGGCTAGATGTTATACAAAAGTTAAGTAAGCTTTAAAACATGAAGTAGCGACAGCGTTAACCAAACGAGTAACGTCAGAAATTGCAGCAGCATGAAGCAGGATCACACCTTTGGCTTTGGATGTGAATGAAGGAAAGCACAACCTGAAGTGCAGAGATACATTTATCCCGTGGCGCGCTTATCAGTTAGGGTTTTCTGCAGTTTGAGCGATCAGTGAAGTTTCGGCGTAGCGCGCAGTGAGCCGAGTGTTCAACGGCTGTTTCTTAATAGTATAGTGTAAGTTAAGCAGTCCGTGCACACACCCACATGTATATCGGGCAGTCAACTCAGTTAAACCATGGATGGTCCAAACTCTTGTCACCAAATATCGGTCAAAGGACGAAAGCATAAATCCTCAATCCTTTGTTCTGGCCAGCTAAACCATCGATCTATCGTACTAATCGTAGTATCGCGCATGATGAATGTTGGATGACACAGGACTTGTTTGGATCAATGTTATAAAAGTATTTATAACTATTTTGACATGAGTCGGGATAAAACTCTTTTCACGTATTTATCTCGTATTTTATAAATCACATTTAAAAAATTATTTATAAACTATTCTAAACAAGCTCACAAACAAACATGAAATGTGTTGACAATATTACACTTTTATTTGTTTTGGTAAAGTAATTTTCATTGATTGTCATTATATTCTATATCTTCCAGAAATTATTAACTTATGTAATTTCAAATTCAGAACAATTACTTTACTTTGAGTTTGTTTTATCAGAAGTCAAAACTATTTTTTTCCTAATTAAGGGAATTGAAATCCATTGATTAACCCATGAATATGAGACATAAATCAACAAAAGAAGGGCTTCGAGCTGGCCAAAAATATAATAAACGAAATACTAAAGAATTAATTCCAAAGCAACATCAGAATTGCGGTCCAAAAAAAATCAACACCAGAGCTTCCTAAAATAAGCTTAGACCATTGGAATCCACGGCAGCAATATAAAAGCCAGGCCATTAGTGGTTGGGAACCTCTTCTCTTCTTTTTCCATCCTCTTTTCTTTTTTTTACAACAGTTGGATTAATATATTTTAACAGTTTATATTTTAATTTTTTATAAACCATTTACCAAAAAAAATAAAAACATTTAATATACTTGTAAACCATTAGAATTGAATTTTAATATAGTTTGTAATTTATTATTTATTTATTTTTATGATTTAATATTTTAATAATAGTTTTAAAAGGATTTAAATTAGAGCCGTTAAAATATTAATCTAACGGTTAAAAAAAAAGAGAAGCAAAGAGGATGGAAAGGGAAGAGGAGAGGTTTCGAACTAGGCCATTAGAGGTAAGTATGTCAGGAAAGAATATTCTAACTAGAAAAAAATTATAATAAGGTTCCATTTAGGACAGTTAAATACAAAAAGTTTCTTAAAATTATCAAATTATTCTGAAGTCTCAAAGAACTTTATTGTAAAAAATTTTATTTGTTTAATTATCAAATTACCCTTATTTTTTAAATATGTCTTGACAACTGAAAGAGTAATCGTTAACAACTTAAGGTATAACGATTAATAATTATCATGATAAGTATTGACAATACATTTTTTTAGCTCATCACAAAAATGCAATGTATGAATTGCCAATACCTACCGTGAAAATTGTTAACCGTTACGCCTTAAGTTATTAATGACTGCTCTTTTAGTTATTAATGTATAGTTAAAAACATAAAGATAATTTAATAATTAAACAAATAAAATCTTTGGTAACAAAGTTTCTTAAGATTTCAGAATAATTCGATGATTTTAAAAATCTTTTTATATTTAATTATCTCGAATAGTACCTCAATGCAATTTTCCCTTCTAATAGTCACCTTCAGCGGGCTACTGAAAAGGAGGAGTAAACCCCTCTTTTTAGTTTTTCATCTGCAATTCATTAATCGCCAAACACTGAACAGTACAAGAGTTTAACACGCGTCTAATAAGCACGTTACACCCACCCAGCTCTTTTTTTTTTTTAAAAAAATCACAATTATCTACAGAAGTGATCCCAACAAAACAAACATTATCCTTTCGAACGCCTCCAACCCCATCAAGCCATGTAAAATAAGTTTCCTTTATCCAGTTGCCAGCAAGAGGAATTTAAACGAAATATGCAATTCATGTGCCACTTATCAAAGCTTAACATGGAATGAAAGTGAAAGCAGTCCCTTCTTTTTTTTTTGGGGGGGGGGGTTGTTTGTCATATAGTTTGGTAGATCGCATCATGCACACCATAATAATGTGGTTTTTTTAAGGTCTTTTTGAAATATTGATGGCATCGTGAAAGAGGAAAGCACTTGCAGTGCAGGGACGATAATTGTGGTGCCTTCGAAGTTAACTAATACTCCTCTGATGTTTAATATAGGACCCAATTTTTAAATTGGTTTTAGTTCTAAATATAAGACACATTTCTCATATTTATTAATTTTCTCTAAATTACCCTTATAGATACTCCCTTAACCATAATCAAGTAGAAGAAAGAGAAGGTGTATTAAGAAAGATAATTATAGTGTTTTAGGAAAAATGTGTCACTTTTTTTATAATTAACTAACTTACCTAATTTCTTTCATCTACTCAAATTAGTTAAATAGGTATTATATTAAAGTTAGGAGGAGTAGCTAATAAAGAATAAACTGTTAAAGTTTGCAGAGATTATTATCGTCGCAACATACAATGTCATATGCTACGGGAGAACGATGTAAAGCTTAAAAAAAGAAAAAGAAAAAAAGAGTTCGTGGCTTAACACTTACATATGATCATTAGCAAGGGTGGCATCTGATCTGATAACGAAGTTCGTGGCCTACACAAAACAATAAATTAAAAGCGTTCAACGACAGCCTGGTGGTGGACAGTTGGAGAAGACCAACTTCCGTTTTCCACTACGAAACACCTGGCGCATATATCCAGCACACATTATATTCCTTTCAATGCTTATAAATTTTATGCGCCACTGATGTCTTATGTTTAGTGTTATTTGGATGGATTGTGGGAGAAGAACAACTCCCATATTTTAACAGTACATTTCACGCATAACAATGCTCGAAATCAAAGCACACATCTGCAGAAAATATATCTATATCCGGGTCTAGTATCTGATTATATAAAAATAAATTATGAATACTCCTCCTCTCCTATTTTAGAATGAGAAGATTTTTTTTTACTATATTTACACGTCATTTCATTAAATTTTAGTATGAGTATACTATTTTTTTTTTTATTTTTATAAACCTATGACTTAAAATTTGAGGAATTAAAAACCAAAATAAAATAAATTTATGGAGAAAAAAAATATTAACCCTAAATTTTAGGTCCAATGCTCATATAAGCATATGTATGGGTTCGGGTTTTATGATCCGTGATAAAGTCAGTTTAGTTGGACCCGGCTACAGAAAATATCAACGGCAGGATGCATAAAAAGAATAACAAAGCGGCTGAAAAACCGCGTTCGACGTGTGTGGAGATGTTTGTCCTTTTCATCAGATCAACCAGTGACCCAAGTAGCCTTCGCAGCAAAGACGGAGGTGTCCACGCCCAATCAGCTGGGCACAACCCTTTTAACGAAGCTTTAGCAACCCATGTGGAGATGTTACAGTAAGATTTCAAAAGACATCAAATGCAGAAACAGGAAACTAAATACTCCTCCGATCCTTATTATAAGACCCAATTTGATTTTTTATTTGGTTCTAATTATAAGACCCAATCCATTTTGTCTCTTATATTTATGTATTTTTTTCCAAGATAATCCTTCTAAAAATGATAGTTTTAGCCAATATACTTAATTAGCAAGGATATTTTAGAAATGACAACACTTATTTATTATAAATAACCAACTTAACTTACTTCCTTAATCTCCTCAAATAAGTCAATTGGGTCTTATAATTAGGACTGGAGGAGTAGAATTACAGCAGTGACAAGAGAACATAGCAGTAAAGGCGAGGTGAGGTTTTTTACCAATATACGATAAACAGTAAAACTATATACCAAAATACTGTACTTTTGAAACTATTTACTAATATGCTGCATTTAAAATCGTTCTTGGCAAGAACGATTTTAAAATTACACACAAGTCGTTCTTGGCATGAACGATTTCAAAAATCATTCACACCAAGAACGGATTTACTTTTTCCTGTTCACTCTCTCACATATAAATCTCTGTCAATTTTACATGCAAAAATAAGAATCCTTGACAATGCTCCCATGAGGCTACAACGTCTATATTGGATTAAAATTTGAAAATCCCAAGTTTTTTAATTTTTTAAATAGAGCTTGATGAAATTTTCTGTCATTTCCTCTTCTTTTTATTTTTCTCATACCAAACAATACGTAACCAAAAAAAAAAAGCTTTGATTGTAAATTTTTAATTGTAGCAATTAAGTTATAGGACTAAATTATTATTATTATTATTTTGGTCACAGGCATAAAAGGTTTATGTCCAATATTTGATTTCTCGTCAAACCGAACAAATGCCACACAACAGGCTTTTTTTTACCAAAATACTATAAAAAGTAAAATTATATACTAATATGCTGCACTTTTAAAAGTATTTACTAATATGTTACACTTAAAATCGTTTTTGAGGTGAATAATTTTTAAAGTCATTTATTTGCTGAACGATTTCATGGACAAAAAATGTAGATTTACGGTTAAAAAAAATGCATATTTTGCTGATTTGTGAATTCTGAACACCCTTATAGAGTAATAAATATTCAATTATCACGTTAAAAGAATGTAATGTTAACTTCAAAAAAAAAAATACAAGTATTAACTTCAAATGTTTAAATAAATTGATTTTTCAAGATTATTCAGCGTTGTTTTTGTTAATTTAAATCCTCAAACGACATCTCTTTCAACTACACACATGTACTCAGGCCACACAAAAAAATATATACATGTACGAGTAATTTTGTTGTTCGCTGATATGTTAAAGTAAAATTTTAAAAATTATTAAATATAAAAATATAAATTATTATTCACAGATAAATAAAAACTGGAATATATATTCTCCTAATATTTATTTGGGCCAGAACATATTCTCCTAAATAATTAAGGTCACGCATCACTAATCATTATTCCTGGCCCATTGACACTTTACCAGCTACAAATTTAACTTTATTTCTTTGTTTGTTTGTTTGTTTTTCATTTAAGAAGAGATAATTGCTTAACAGCTTATCATGTACTGTATTATTCTTTCTAAAATTTATAAGATATCTGAACACGCAGATAATATTTAAATAAAAAATAAAAAATCGTACGAAATCTAACAAAAATTCTAAATGGTAGTTATTTATATAAGAGGGTTACATAAAAAATGGCGTGATCTTTACAAATTTTATAGTTCATATTGATTAACACTTCTGTTTATCAAAAAATTAAAACTAAAATCAGAAAAATATTAATTATTTACAAGGGCTTCTCAAACAAGCATAAATGATGACCTTCTTGATGATTTATAATTTTACGGTATGACAAATAATTAAACGTGATAAATTAGTTTAATAGAAAATACCATCAGGCGATAATAAGTTGTCCAGTGATAGTACTACCACCCGCTTTGTTTGGAGATTTAAACTTATTTTTTCCGATTTAGATTTCGTATATGGTAGGAGTAAAAAAAATGTAGTGCCTTTTTATAAGCAACAAACAACTGCTATTTTTTTTCTCTAAATATAAACAATATTTACAAATTGTTTTAAATTTTTATAAAAAATTTCTTATTTTACTTATTAATTACTTATTTTAATACTTAATATATTTATTATTTTATTTTTCAAACTATTACCTCTCTCCATCACATATTCTTTCTTTTTTATAATTATTTTTATTATCATAATTTTCTTATTCTTTTTTTACTCTCTTTTCCCATAAATAAAAGTATTTTAAAGACAAAAAACTTTTAATTTCTATCTATTTATTATTTTTAACTAACTTTTTATCTACGTAATAGAATCTAAAATTACTTATAAAAAGGAACGGAGGGAGTAATTAATTAGTACTACTTTCGGTCTTAATTATAAAAGCCAATTGACTAATTTGAGAAAATTAAAGAATCAGTTGAGTTAGCTATTTGTCCTAAATAAGTGTTGTCTTTTTTAAAATATCCTTGCTAATCAAGTGTATTAACTAGAACTATCATTGTTAGAAGGGCTACTTTGAAAAAAATACTCCTTCCGTTCCTTATTATAAGAGACAAATAACCGAAGTACGTTGATTAAAAAAACAGTTAAAGTTAGTTAAGAACAATTAATGTATAAAAAGTATAATTTTTTTTCCAAAAATGCCCTCATTAATAAGGAGAGAGAGCATGAGAGAGAACAATTAAATTATTAAAAGAAAGAAAAGTGGAAGGGAGAGAGAGTGTGAGTTGGAGATAATAAATATGGGTAAAATAGTAAATCAACACAAAAAAGTAGAGACAACTTGTAAGTGTCTCTTATATATAGGAACATGGCATAAGCATCAAGTGTCTCTTATAATAAGGAACGGAGGGAGTATATAAATATGAGAGATAAAATGGATTGGAGTCTTATAATTTAAGACTAAAATAAAAGTCAAATAGGGTCTTATATTAAAGATAAGAAGTAGTATAAACTAACAGAATTTTTCTTTCAGGCAAAAAAAAAAAACTAACAGAATTTTATCTGTTGTATGTGGGACTTTTGACATTTTGAAAACTGTGGTTCTGTTATTATTCTTATTATGCAAGAAAAGTGGCAGAATATCAATATGTTAGGGGCAAAATACGTTTCCGTAATGATTTTTATTCCGAAATTAAAAAAAAAAAATCCTTACCAACAATATAAGAACAAGCGGCCGCTGCAAAATTTTTGGTGTGCTGAGGCCTTTTCCTATAATTTCTCCTTCCTCCCCTCCTCCGTCGATAGCTGCTGCGAGTCCTTGTCCTGTCAAACCGCAAAAGATGGTCAGTCTTCTCTTTCTCTTTCCTGTCTTCCCTAGGTTTTTATTTCGATTTTACTGTTTAGTTCCTTGCTTGGGACGTCTGGAATTTCGACGAAAGGCTAAACGCTGGAATACCGCAATCAGACGCGATGTGAAATTGGATTATGTGCTTGAAATCTATTGAAATTGGGTGGTGATTACTGTTTCCCACCTGACAGCGTCTGCTCTTGTGCTGATTATTGATCGATTTCTGTATTTTTAAAGGCCGTGGTTGTTTCGTGGTCGATCTGATGTTTTGAACTCCTATAATTGAAGAAAAATATCGGCGTGTTTATCCGATTAGCTCGTTTTACTTGTATTGTTTGCTTCCAGATCTGACTTTATGTCGTTTCGATTGTTCAGAATTGTTTATAAATTACTTGGGTTCGATCTTCTGAGACGATATTTAAATGTTGGGGGGAGAAATGTCTTCTGTTTATATAAATCGAGGACTATTTATGATAAAATGACTACGAAGGCTTTCACTTCAGAGAGAAAAATCGTTGGTGTCTTCTGTTGATATGCCTTGATAAGCTGATCAGCCACTTGCACTTCTATCACTGCAGTACGACCTCACTACCACAACTGTTTAACTCTCTACTTCCAGAAGTAATGAGAATACATATTACCTACATTATCTACCTTCTTTCCCCCCATCAACTAAATAATGAAAGGGTTAATACTTGTGTGTATGCATATGGTATTTCCGTCATATGCTGTCTTGCAAGCTTTCTTGTCGAGTTGAGCCTTGTATGACATACATTATGTCCATAATCATTCAGACTAGTGTAAACTATTTGATTTGTTGTCTGCTTTGAAATATGACAGGCTAATGCGGCATCAGGTATGGCTGTCCATGATGACTGCAAGCTTAAGTTTTTGGAGCTCAAGGCAAAGAGGACATATCGCTTCATAGTTTTCAAGATTGAGGAAAATCAGAAGCAAGTTATTGTGGAGAAGCTTGGAGAGCCAACTCAAGGCTACGATGATTTCGCTGCCAGTCTTCCTGCTGATGAGTGTCGATATGCTGTTTATGATTTTGAGTTTCTGACAGAAGGGAATGTTCCCAAGAGCAGAATTTTCTTCATTGCATGGTAAGCTCAGTTCTTAGGAATGTAAAATGATGAGACTTCAACAACGGAAGCATTTCACTAGAAAAAGAAAGGAGATAAAAACACATAATACTTCTCTCAAATAGTCTCACATTCACCATCAGACCACTTCTCTTATTCTTGCAATTTTTCTTAAATAGTCTTGCATTCACCCTCTTACTAGTTCCTTTGTCGGACTTGTACGATGCCAAAACCACTTTATGGTTCTTAGACTCTTAATTGATGTACAATTAAGATTATCCAAATACATAATTTTCTTCTAAATATTTTTCATTGAACATCTAGTCTATGTAAGACTAGGATGATTATGACTCCAGCAGATTGAATGCTTACTCAAACAGATTGAAAACTATTCCCAACGCGGAGATTGGTTATGCTTGATTATCGACTTTTATCTTGCTGTTTTTCTTTGTAGGTCCCCGGATACATCAAGGGTTAGAAGCAAGATGATTTACGCTAGCTCGAAGGACAGGTTCAAGAGAGAGCTGGATGGAATTCAAGTAGAGTTGCAAGCAACTGATCCAACTGAGATGGGTCTTGATGTCTTTAAAGGTCGTGTCAACTAATATGCATATTAAACACTGGGATGGGTACCACATCCCTGAAGTTACTGAAATTGGAGTGCTTATAGGTTGTCAAGAGTCAGATGCTGAACTTGGCTCGTCATGGTATCAAATTTTTGGCATGGCCTTGTCATTCACCTTCCGACTAGCTTTTATGCTTTCCAGTATAAATGTAATCTGTGAAATACAGAGCCTATGTGTTTGAGTGGTATTCATGTCCTGTTATTGTGTAACTGTTGTGTGATTAGACAAGACACTAGTTTCTCATGTCTTTTGAATATTGAGACTAGCCATAATGTGGCATGCTTTGATTACTGATATACCTCCTTATTTCACAGCCATTAACATGCCTAGGAAACTAAGGAATGCAATTTCATTGGCTAGCTTCAATTAATATCTAATTGTATTAGTGGGAATGCTTTATTGCTTTGCTTTTTTTTTTTTTTTTTTTTTTTTTAAATACTAGTTAGCGTGTCACAACTCTCTAGGAGGGTGAAGCTATATGGTATTCAAACATTGTTTGCCATGGGGGCTGTTGGCTCTGAAGATGTAAGCCTTTTTTATTTTTAAGGAACATCTTGGGCATGTGCAAGAATAGTTGCAATATTTCTTGTCCTCGCAATTTATCGAAGTTTATGCCTCATGCTTTCACTTGTTTGAAAGCAGCGGCTCTTCTGGCAGGATTGTCTTAGTCGACTGCTATATACAATGACTCGACCATTTCGTTCCGGCTGGGGAAAATTTTGGTCGATTGTTTTATTGCCCCCGAGTTTCATGTACTCTCCTCTGAAGCTACAGTTTATAATTGAGTTTCTAATATTTAATATTGAATTTTTGTTTTTAGAAGTCATTGAAGGACATATTGGTCCGTCTAATTTTTTCACTCGGATCTATCGCTTTCAAAATTTAAGATGTTTAAGTGGTCATTATGTGTCTGCACAAGTTTTCAAGTGTCATATATTGATGCGACAAATTTGTTTAAAGAATAAGCGAAGTTTCATGGACAAAAAATGTAGATTTACGGTTAACCCCTCCAATTTTTCGTGTTTTAATTTAATATCTTAGTTAAAAATGTTAAATTCTATAGCGAAAAATTTCCCCCCAACATTGCGTCTTAGCCTTGTCAATTAAGTTCTGGAAAAACAGAAAACTAATGGGCGACGTGTTTGAGTGACCTTAATCATTTTGTCGACGCTAGATTTCACCGACATTGACCCTGCTACTGGACGCCTTCCCGTCTCTTTCTCCCTTGATCTGAGTCCCACAGTGCTCCTCCACTTTTTTGCGCGGCGATTTCAGATGGCAAATAATTGAGCTAGACTCACTGCACCCCCTGAAAAAATGTTCAGATTTTGCCCCACCCTCGTCCAAATTCTCATTTAAACCTTTTATTTATTTATTTTTTGCCAACTCATCTAAACCTTTTATGATTCTTTTCTCCCCTCCCCCCAAAAACTAAAAAACAAAAAAGAACATACAGCTTTATTGTGGAGCTGATCAAATGGAGCGTTGCATCGGAGGGTCCTTGTAGAATTTGAAGAAATGGTGACACTGTGGACAGGTTAATGGCGAAATCAGCAATACGAGACGACCGCACAAGTGTTTTATTCAGTTTTCTTTTCTTTTAATACACAATGCATTGTCAATTAATTAGCCTCTTTTTTCTATTTTGACCAGCAATTAATTAGTCTCTGTTAAAAAGTTTACTTGGTGGATTATTGTGGACATGACAAACGATTTCCGTTAACCGGACGTTCCTTCTCAAGCTGAACGTTTAATGAAATGAATTTGGATATACAGATCTTCTTCAAGCCTTAATATGACGACACTACTTAAAGATGGAAATTTATAGCCCTCTGCTAGATGCTAGTGGAATACATTAAGTGCCTCCAATGATCATTACTCTAGCAGAGGGCTCAACAGAGCACTACTTAGCAGGGTACTCACCAAAACATCGTTCTGCATAAGAACCATCCACAATTTGGATCAACTTAAGTACCTTTATGCTTCACGAGACGAAACTTTCGTCACATTTTACTAATCCAAATGGGTACAATAATTGAATCACAATTACAGCTTTAATGGACGTCAAGCTGGAAACGTTGCCTGCGATAAGTTTCATGTGAGCCGTCATCCCAGTAAAATTTGCTTAGGTAGGCCTAGTTTAAAAGGGTGGGAAGTGAAGCATGAGAGGTGGTAGGGACAATGGAAGCGAACGGAATGCCAGCACGGGCAGGATCGGATATTTCGGCTCCAAGAAGGAATCAGCAAGATGGCTTGTGATGTCTCATCAACATGTCGGTTCAAATTAAAATAGTCTGACTACTACATGGCTATCAAACGAATAGGTAAGATTGACACCATAAATGGCAACACGTAAATCAACAAGGACAGAGTTTCATATCACGCTAACAAATTAATTCCAAATTAACATCAGAATTTCCTGAAATATAAAGTCCAATAGGATGTTGCCAGCTCATACAAAATTTCTCCAGCAATTGATGTTTAATTGGCTTAAATGACTATAGTTTTTCAAGAATAACCTTGCACAATGAAACGGATGAAAGTTTCTCTTCAACAACTAACCACACCATCCAACAGTCTTGTTAACTGTAAAACCTGTTTCAGATTGCTGAGGCTGTGACTGCAGTGGTTTAGGTTCTCTTGGTTTGGCAGGATCAACAAAAATAACCCATCCATCCAAAAACTTAGCATTCATTCCTTCTTTGGCCTTTTCAGCATCGTCTATGTTTGCGTAACTTACAAAACCAAATCCCTTTGATCTTCCAGAGATTCTATCAGTTATGATCTTAGCTGTAGAATCATCGTTAAATGTCAATCACAACATACAGCAAGCTAAACTAGAATGTAAGAACCCCACAGAAGAAAAGGGAAAAAACCTAGAACATTAGAATTTAGTACGTCAGGAAAGAATATTTTAATTATTATCACCTTCAACCAGCTGCCCAAAAGGAGCAAATGCTTCCTTTAGTTTTTCATCTGTAGTCAGTCTTGAAAGACCTGTTAAAATACAAAAAGAGAAGCACGTCTTCAAAAATACAAGAAAAAGTATGTTGTAGAATTATAGTCATTCAATTTCTTTTCAAATAGCTACTATCTGCGGAGAGCGATAGAAACAAAGCAAATATATTTTATCCATCAATAGATCATAAACGACACATGTGATCCATGCACCACTTACACCAGGCCACCACACATGGTGCGAACAAAAAGGTTTACAATAGAATTGATAGGAAGGTAGTCCATATTCCAGGTAAAACATCCTTAGGTAAAGAAGCATGAAAGCATTTACACTTACAGAAAAACAACCCTTTCCTTTAAGCAATTGCTAAACTTCTTTGCTTCATGAACATTGACTAAAGTGATCAAAAGGGACATGAACTAGTATAAACTGTTAAGGTTGTTGGCCGTGAAAAAGAGGGGGGGGGGGAGGTTGTGCTGAAACTCTCAACACCACATATAATCATATGCTACCACACAAAACTGTAAACTTCCCCACATTGCATCACTATTCACCACCCGGGGTGACATCTGATAAGGATGTTTATGGCTACAGAAAATAGAAGTGTTAAAAGACAGACTAGTGAATAGCTACCACATCCAATTTCCATACTTTGCCGCTCTTACTTTCTTGGAACAAGAACATTTGAACACACCATTTGTTAGGTATAATTGAACCATATAAAAACTGCAAATAGATGATATAGTTTCCTTTCTTTCCCTCAGATACGAAAAGCCACTTTCCATTTTGCTCTGTACTCAATGTATGAATAATATGGTACCACCTATGTAGTCTGCGGCATCACTCTTCAGCAATCCATATTCATCTATAAACTCACATGCTTTTAGTCAAGCGAATCAGTCCTGACAGTAGTGTATCGATCACAGGCCAAATTGGCCGCTCTTGTGATTGTTGCTTTATGTTTCAGTTGGGTCTGTGAGTAAATACAGAGCAGGGGAAGCATTTTAGGTATTAACTACAGCATTTGTTTTTAATTCAGTTTTATGGAAGTGGAGAGTAGTCATGCCTTATATGAGTCAAGCACGCAACTAAGCATTAGACACGTGCATTTTAGTAAGGGTCACAGTGTTGGCAAGAGAAACATCTATGTTTGAGGAGTTGAAGAATAACATTGAACCAAAATATAAAATAGGAACCAATATAAAACCACTGAGAAGTTATGGTACCAGATACATAACAATGTAAAACACGCCCAAAGGCCTACCACATCATATCACAAATCATTCAAACTGATATTCCACATCCCCCTACTACATAGTACGTACCCATATAAAAACATTATGACTATGAAACGCCAAGGACGTGGAACACGCATTTACCAATAACAGCACATCATACTATCGGCCACTATTGTTCAATTCAGTGTAATTATCAGTTGGGTTGCCGGATTTCCTCATATAACTGTATATTTTGCACAGAACAATTCTCAGAGGTACATAGCTGCAAAAATACGTCTCGGCGCAGATCTGCTTCTGATCTCTAATCATATTAAATTTCAGCTAGATACAAGAACAATGTATCCATTCATGTTTTTGGCCAACCCAGTCATATGTTATTGAAGCCACGAAGCTAAAAAGAGGGAATTCAAGACAGCAAGGGTGATACAGCACACATAACATTCATTAAACAGCAAACCACGAAAATGAAGAATGTCAACAGAAACTAAAATAAAAGGCAAAAGAAAAAAATTGTTTTAAAAACCAAACGAGAGAGATGGCAGCGAGGGTGACTCAGCAGCATTGAATTCCTCAAACAGCAAAGCACGAGAATAACATATGTCTACGTAAACGAACGACCCATTTACAAAGTCATTTCATTTGGATACGAATACAATATAACAACATGCCAACATACACAGTTAGAGATGCCGAACAACCACGGCCAATATATAAAGAAATTTTCCGGTCAGATCCAAAGAACAGGAGCGACAAGAAACACAAAAACATGGAACTAACACGTGGCAATTCAAACTATATAGCATATAAAGTGAAACTAACCACTGACGAAAAGCCTGGGGGATGTGAGAGTTGAACTAAGACGAATCGAACTAAGTTGCGAATAGAGAATCGACGAGGAAGAAGATGAATCGCGAATAAGGCGGCGGATTCCAGAGAAGAAAGCCATCTGCGCAGATGAACTCCAGTCCCCAACGAACGCCGACGATGCAAGTTGCCAGGAGACGATCGACTTCGGAATTCAAGAGGAACTAGAAGCTTCCGAACGACCTTGGAGAACCCTCGCCTATCGACCCCTTCGAACACTTCCTAACATAAACCTGCGTCCTCCGACTCCGAACCTTATTAATGTCGACTAGTTATTAGTGAAAATGCTATAAACTCCTTTCCGAGCGATTTAATTATAATGCCATTTAATTTTTTCCTCCGGCCCAAAAAAACTGTGGTTATAAAAAAAAAAACCACATATAACCTCTGTCAATTCGGACATTTGTAAATTTTCGATTGCACTTTCACACAAAAAAAAAAACGATTGCAATCTTTAAAAAAAAAATTGTCATGTTATGTCGTACTACCTCTTGTCTTTAATACTACCTCCGGTCCTAATTATAAGAGCTAGTTGATTAATTTAAGAAAATTAAAGAAAAAAGTTAAGTTAGTTAGTTATAATAAATAGGTATTATCTTTCCTAAAATATTTTTGCTAATTAAATGTGTTAGTTATAATTATCATGGATAGAAGGACTACCTTAAAATATATATATATAAATAAGGGAGACAAAATAGATTGGGATCTTATGTTTAGGACTAAAATAAAAAGTAACAATGTCTTGTATTAAGGACCGAAGGTAGTATAAGAGTTAGTTTGACTTTTAATTTAATCCTAAATATAATAGCACAATTCACTTTGATCATCATACTACCTCCGGTTCTAATTATAAAAACTAGTTGACTAATTTAAGAAGATTAAGAAAAAAAGTTAAGTTAGTTATTTGTAATAAATAGGTGTTGTCTTTTCTAAAATATCCTTGCTAATTAAGTGTGTTGGCTAGAACTACTTAGAAGGACTATATTGGAAAAAAAAACACATAAATATGAGAGACAAAGTGGATTGGGGTTTTATATTTAAGATCAAAATAAAAATCAAATAAAATCTTATATTAAGAACAGGATGTAGTATTTATCTATTTTTTTAAAATAGTCTTTGTAGTAGTTGCATATATTAAATATTTAATCAAATAGTAGTTTTAACTAATACATGATTAGATAAGGCATTTTAGAAAAGACACAACTTAATTATTACAAAAAACCAGCTCCAAAAATTTTATTAATCTACTTAAATTAGTTAACTAACTCTTAGGATTGGAAGTAATATATACATTAAGGTTTGAATTTTTTTTTCTGGAATTGAATATACTGCCTCTTGTCCTAAATATAAGACCTAGTTAACTTATTTAAGTAGGTTAAGAAAATAAGGTAAATTAGTTATTTGTGAGAAATAGGTGTTGTCTTTCCAAAAATATTATTGTTAATCAAATTTATTGACTAGAATTATCATTATTAAAAAGACCATCTTGAGGAAAAAAATGAATAAATGTGAAAGATAAAATAAATCAGGTTTTTATATCAAACAAGATCTTATATTAAAAATCAGAAGTAATATTTTTTATATACCGTTACCTTTTCTGTGATAGACAATTTACCCAGTGCTGCAAATATCTCACCTAATTCGGTATCACCTCAAGCAAGGCTTCAAAGACATGCTTTTATTTCAAACAGGCATTTTAGAAAAGACACAACTTAATTATTACCAAAAACCAGCTCAAAAATTTTATTAATCTACTTAAATTAGTTAACTAACTCTTAGGATTGGAAGTAATATATACATTAAGGTTTGAATTTTTTTTTCTGGAATTGAATATACTGCCTCTTGTCCTAAATATAAGACCTAGTTAACTTATTTAAGTAGGTTAAGAAAATAAGGTAAATTAGTTATTTGTGAGAAATAGGTGTTGTCTTTCCAAAAATATTATTGTTAATCAAATTTATTGACTAGAATTATCATTATTAAAAAGACCATTTGAGGAAAAAAATGAATAAAGTGAGAGATAAAATAATATCAGGTTCTTATATCAAACAAGATCTTATATTAAAAATCAGAAGTGATATTTTTTATATACCGTTACCTTTTCTGTGATAGACAAATTTACCCAGTTGCTGCAAATATCTCACCTAATTCGGTATCACCTCAAGCAAGGCTTCAAAAAGACATGCTTTTATTTCAAACAGGGCCAGGCCTTGATAGGCCGCTTACCCATTTTCACAGCTAATTGTATGTCTAACATAGATTGAGTTCAGTAGCGCTGTCACGAGAAAGGTAATGGTATATGAATAGACGAGATATTTGTAGCAAATGGGTAAATTTGTCTGCAGGCGTGATTTTTGGGAAAATTTTTGTTCTTTATTGTATCGCACCATGTTCACAGACCCAGTGTATGTGACTCCAATCCATTATGTCATGTTTTGTCTTTTCAAAAAAGGACAAAAACAATTGCGTGGCGATCTTAATGGCACTTGTTGCAATCGATAATTGGGCTTTAGGAATTATTAAGATTTCATGTGACCCAGTAGCAAAAATAGGGGCTGGGGCTGCACTGAAAATGACATAATCATTTGTTTGTTTTTTGAGCCGCAAATCACAACAGTTGATGGGGTTATATTTTGGGACGCCATTTCTGGATGCTTAAAAGGGTCGTCGTAATGGTAAGAGGGAGTGTTGATTGGATTAGGGAGAAACCTTTCCTCCGGCGAGGTCGACAATCAGTTACGCTTCGCATGTGGACGCCACCAATAAACGTGACGCTGACTGGGAAAGAGTTGGTTCTTTGTTCTTAATTACTTTTATCCCACGGATCTTATTGGTCCGCGGCTTTTAGCTTTCTTTTTCATACATGTGGTTGTTTTTTGGACTGGCAAAAAAAAAACAAAAGTTTTTTTGGGAAATGTCTGTGATAGTGTAACTCGTGGTTGTTTTTTTTGAGGAAAAAAATACTTATAAAATTACTACCAAGTTTTAAAAAGTTCATTTTCACAAGTTTTACCTGTAAATAAGGAATCTGACTTACAAATGTGAAAGATTAGCAAGTAAATATAAATAATTAAATGACTTGTAAATAACATAAGACTATTTATATTTAAATTTTTTTTTTTGGGAATTTATGAGTTTTTTCAGCGAACTTCCGGTAGCTGTATTTAAATGGAAAAAATTACAATGAGAATTCAAGAAAAAAAAAATTACAAAATAAATCTTAAAAGTTGTTATTGTCTGTTTTGAAACTTGTCATTATAAATATTTAGGTTATTATAAAATTTTTAGTAATTATATTTTTTTATAGAATTTTACTGTAATTCTCCCTATTTAAACTTCATGTATCTGTCCTTTTTTTTGGGGGGGTAGGGGTTAATTGAAGGAATCTTTTTTTGCTGGACGTGGAAAACGTTTCAACTGTTATTTGGAGATTATTATATTAACTATTATTTTTATATGAGAGTTAGTTAACTAATTTAAATAGATTTAAAAAACTAATTAAATTAATTATTTGTAATAAATAGGTTTCTTCTTTTTTAAAATATCGTTACTAATCAAGTGTATTAGTTAGAATTACTATTATTACAAGGACTACCTTGAAAAATGGATAAACATGAGAGAAAAAGTGGATTGAGTTTTATATTTAGGATCAAAATAAAAGTCAAGCATGTTTTTATATCAAGGACCGAAGATAATACATACTACCTTTGATTCTTAGCATAAGAACTAGTTTTATTTTCAACTTGATCTTAAATATAAAACACCAATCTACTTTGTCTTTCATTTTATCTATTTTTTAAAAGCAATCCTTGTAGTAGTTCTATTTGTTAAAAGTTTCACCAAACAATAGTTTTAACTAATAATATGATTAGCAGGAATATTCTAGAGAAGATAACACTTATTTATAACAAATAACCAACTTAATAAATTTTCTTAGTTTACTCAAATTAGTCAAGTACTACCTCTAGTCATTAATAAGATCTCATTTGACTTTTATTTTGATCATAAATATAAAACCCCTAATTTACTTTGTCTCTCATATTTGTATTTTTTTTCTAGGTAATCCTTTAAATAATAGTAGTTCTAACCAAGACACTTGATTAACAACGTTATTTTAGGAAAAATAACACATATTTATTACAAATAACCAACTTAACTTATTTTTTTAATCTCTTTAAATTAATTAATTAGATTTTATATTTAGGACCGGAAGTAGTATTTTTTATTTTAATGATGAAGTAGTATCTGAAAACACGTTCCAGGCCAAAACGCGGTTTTGGTTCGTTTGGATCCATGCCTAAACCCATCTCTCTTGTTTCTTTCCTTTACCCGTCCTATTTAGGGTGTATTTAGAATGGCAGTGATAGAAGTAATTTTTTTAATCTGATTTTTATAAAAATCAGATTAATAAAAGTCAGATAATGTAATGTGATTTATATTTGGATTGAGTTTTGTAAAAAAATCAGTTTAAGAAGTTGAAAACTTGTTTAGATGATAAATGTAAAAATAAATTTGGATGTAAAATGACTTAAAAAAATATGAATTTTATTAAATAGTACATATAAATATTAAATATATATAATGTGACTATTTTAAAAGAGGTAAGAAAAATAAAATTATTAAAAAAAATTTATATATAACGTAACTATTTTAAAAGAGGTCAGAAAATAAAATTATTAAAAGTAAACTCTCCAGATTAAATTTTATTAGTTTTTTTTTCATATAATGTTTTTATAAATATAAAATTATTGAATTAAGTGGGACCATTTAAATACCTTTTTCTTTTTTCATCTTTATTTTTGTCTCTCCATTTTTCTCTTTCCACGGTTGAGAAGCAACAATTTTGAGCTTCTCATTCAATCTGACTTTTTCATGAGAGGTGCATCTACTCCATTGTGATCCTAAACAATAAAATTTAGGCAGAAGTTCGTTTGAGCTTTCAAACAGGTGTTTGGTATCGTGCAACCCGATCCCAAACACGCTCTTAATCAATCTGTTGACTCAACAAATAAACTTGGAGGGTGTTTGGAAAGTCTAATAAGCACTTTTCAGAAGTATTTTTCTACAAATCGAGATAAATGCCTCTACATATTTACTTCGTATACTATAAAAATATTTCTGAAACTATAGTTTTGATTTTATCTAAATACTCCCGTGGTTTAAGTTTGACTATAACCTTTTTAAGTTTTTAATTTAGTAAAATTGAAACCCTCGCAGTGACTATTAATTTACAGTAATGCGATAAATAAAGTACTGCCAGATAACCAACACTTTTCTGCCAGCAGCCAGATAATAAACACTTAACGCCACCTCTCAGACGTTAATAAGTAAACCACTCAGTTAGATTTAACTTTCAGAATAATCACGCTTATTTTTTTTTTTTTGCCAGATTCATATATTTGAATAATACTCATGTGTATTAACAGAACAATAAATTTGACAGATGGGATTTCTTTAGCTTATTAAAATAAGCTGAAATTATTATGTGATGAGCAAATGGAAAGAAAAAAATAAAAGGGGGAAAAAAAGAAATGCTTACGAGAAAAGATTTTTATATTCCCCAATCCTCCCCCAGCAAGAATACAAGTATATAGGGCCGCTCACCATTTTGGCGTGCAGAGGCCTCTCCTATATTCTCCTCCCCACCTCCTCCTTTGTCGATTGCTGTTTCGCATCGCTGTCCTTTCAAAGCGCAAAAGATGGTCAGTCTTTCTTCTCTTTATTGTCTTCCTTAGGTTTTGATTTCGATTTTACTGTTTCCTCCTTTTTCTGAGATGTCTGGGATGGAGGAATGTTATTCACTTGCATATCGTAATCACCCGCGATGTGAGATTGGAAGCATGTGCTTAAAATCTATTGAAATTGGACAGTGGTTACTGTTTTCTCGCCCCTGTCTTCCCTTCTCTGGCGCTGATTATTGTTTTATATCTGTATTTTTAAAGTCCGTGGTTGTTTCGTGGTCGATCTGATAGTTTGAACTCGTAGAATTAAATAAATCTATCGGCCTGCTTACCTGATTAGCTCGTTTGACTCGTATCATTTGCTTTCAGATCTGACTTCTCTGTCTTTTCGATCTTTTGAATTGTTTTATAAATTAGTATTTACTTTGGTTTGATCTTCTGAAATGTTACTTAATTTAGCCCCATTTGGGTAAGCGATCATGTCTTGGATCTAATCTTTGTTCTGCTAAGTTGAGGATTATTTATGTACTGATAAGTGATTGTGAAGAATTTCTTTTGATAAAAGAAAAAAACCGTCGGTGTCTTTGCTGTTGATATGCGAAGATATACTGATCAGTCACTGTACTGGTATTGGTCATGTGCACTTTTATCGCTGAAATACGGGCTAACTATAATAAATGGTTAACGCTCTACTACCTAAAACAGTGAGAGTACTATCATCCACCAGTTTCGTTTATCGGCTATTGAAATGATTGGTACTTAAGTGTATGCATATGGTATTTGTTTGTTGGTTTTTCTTTAATTTCGGTCTTGCTATCTTTCTTATGGAGTCGACTTGTGCATGCCATAGACTATATCCATAGTCATTCAGAATAGTTTGTAAATGATTTGATTCATCGGCTGATTTGCAATGTGACAGGCTAATGCAGCGTCGGGTATGGCTGTCAATGATGAGTGCAAGCTGAAATTTTTGGAACTCAAGGCAAAAAGGACTTATCGCTTCATAGTTTTCAAGATTGAGGAAAAACAGAAGCAAGTTATTGTGGAGAAGGTTGGAGAGCCAGCCCAAGGCTATGATGATTTCACTGCCAGTCTTCCTGCCGATGAGTGTCGATATGCTGTTTATGATTTTGAGTTTCTGACAGAAGGGAATGTTCCCAAGAGCAGAATTTTCTTCATTGCATGGTAAGTTTAGTTCTCTGGCGTGCAAAATGTTGAGACCTCAATCACAGAAGCTTTGCTCAAGAAAAAGAAAGGGGATAAAAATTGCAAGACCTTCCCTGCCTTCAATTCTGAAGCGACAAATTAAACTTCTTTCTTCAGATCACAACTATCTAAGATCCAGTCAACGCCTATGCATGAATCTATGCTTGTTTGTGATGCTCAAACCACTTAATCACAACTATCCAGTGTCCCGATTACCTCCTTTTGTTAATGCCATTATTGGAATGGTCGGATACCAAAGCCACTTGGGAAACTTCAACCCCTTGGACTTCTGTTTGATGTAGGATTAGTGTGTGTGTGGGATTCAAATAAATTTTATTCATTCATGTTCATTCGTTAACAGGAAACTTAAGCCCCTTAGACTCTCAAACTCTTAATTCACGTATGATTAAGATGAGAATTATTCAAATACATGGTGCTTATCCAAAATCTTAGACACCTCTAGTTTGAGAGTCAAACTTCGTCTTCAAACTTATAAATGTCTCTCCTCTTGATTTGGCGTTTGAAAAATATTCCCAGCACAAAGCATGTCATGCTTGATTATTGAATTTTATCTTATTGCTTTTCTGTGAAGGTCCCCGGATACATCAAGGGTCAGAAGCAAGATGATTTACGCTAGCTCAAAGGACAGATTCAAGAGAGAGCTGGATGGAATTCAAGTAGAGTTGCAAGCAACAGATCCAACTGAGATGGGTCTTGATGTCTTTAAAAGTCGTGCCAACTAATATGCGTATTAGACGCTGGGATGGGGGTACCGCGTCCCTGAAGCTTTAGTTATTTAAATTGGAGTGCTTATAGGTTGTCAGAGTCACATGCTAAACTTGGCTCATCATGGAATCAAATTTTTGGCTTGGCGTTATCATTCACCTTCTGTGAAATACGGGGTCCATGTGTTTGAGTGGTATTCATGTCCTGTTATTGTGTAACTTTGTGTGATTAGACAAAAAAACTAGTTTCTCATGTCTTCTGAATATTGAGACTGGCCATATTGTGGCATGCTTTGATTACTTTCGATTTTTTGATATATTGTTTTTATTTTCATAACCATAACCGAGTCGTCAACTTTGTTGGTTAGCTTTGACCAATGTCAAAGTTGATTATGTTACCCCAAGGGGGAGAGCTGTGTTGTCGGGTATGCTTGGTTGTAAACTGTCAAATGCTTTAAACAAACTTGTTGGATTGGGTTTTCTATCAAGCCATATGCATCCAAGCACGGTTTGCTTGGAAGGATATATGGAAAGTTGTGAATGAAGCGGTTTGCGATTTTCTTTGGCAAACAATAATAATAAATCTTATTCTATTAAATGTGTTCAGTTATATTAATTTCATAATGTTATTCTATAATTAATCACATCTTTTAGATATATTGTTAATTGAAAAGTTTTTGTTAATAACTTTATTAAATGTTGCTTTTTCTTTTTAATCTCTTTTGAATATACGTTTGTTATGGATTCAATCTTTTTTTTAAATTTTTGGGTATATCCATATATTTATCTCAACAACTCCAACCACATTTATTATTACCATATATTATTGTTGGTGTTATAACAGTTCCGCAAAGCTTTTCTTTTAAGCTTATTATTAGGTTATGAATAGAAAATTAGTGCATCCTTTCTTCGCTTTTTTTTTTTTTTTGGGCGTGGGGGGACCTGAAGCATCCTTTCTTCACTTGAACTATTCAACTTATATTTTGTGAGCAGCACCCCTACCAATGTCGCCTTTATTTTGTACAATTAATTTTAAATTTATAAATTTGGTCACTTGTGACATGATTTGTTCTCTTATTTTAACCTCTGAATCATTTCTAACTTGTCTTTTATTTAAAATTGTAATGTATATATTTTATCTTGTTCAGGTGAAAATCCTTCAATTCCAAGGTCCTCCTTCATGAGTCAAGTTTAGATTTAACTTCTTGTCTTGGTTTTACGGTGAGAATTACATCAACGCCAAAGAGCATGCATTTTGAGATTTCTCTTGCATGTGCCGAGAACATCCAAGATCATATTAAAAGATGATTTTTGATCTGGGCTAATCTTTATAGTAGTGTTTTTTCTTCCTCACATCTGCTAACAGAAAATCTTAGGAACATGAATGTGCGAGTGTGGTTTCAAGTTTGAAGGTTTCTTGTCATCCGAGCTTGTTTTGATGTGTTGTTACTCAATTTGGGAGCTGCGCCTCATGGAAATACTTTCCTTCAGCTTTGGGTGCATGGTAAACCTAAAGCCTGACTAAAGCACGTAGAGATAGGGGGCTAGGGGCCTCGTAGGTTTCGACTAAAGTAAATTTGGTGAAGTATACAGTCCATAAATTTCTTTTGCCTTCCAAGCAAACTAAATACTGATATTCCATGCCGGACACCATTCTAAATTGTTAGACCGACTATTATTTAACATTTAGAAAAATGAGTGGTATTGCTTATGATTTATAAATATTACCTCCGATCCTTAATATAAAACCCTATTTGATTTTTATTTTGATATTAAATATAAGACCCTAATCTACTTTGTCTCTCATATTATATATTTTTTCAAAGTAGTCTTTCTAATAATGATAATTCTAATCAATACACTTGATTAGCAAAGAATTTTAAGAAAAACAACACCTATTTAAGACAAATAACTTACTCAACTTACCTTCATAATCTCTTCAAATTAGTTAACTGGTTTTTATAATTAGTATCGGAGGTAGTATTATGTTTAAGTTTAATTATAAATCATATACTCCTCCGGTCCTAATTATAAGACCCAATTGACTTATTTGATGAGATTAAGGAAGTAAGTTAAGTTGGTTATTATAATAAATAAGTGTTATCATTCCTAAAATATCCTTACTAATTAGTATATTGGCTAAAACTATCATTATTAGAAGGATTATGTTGGAAAAAAATGCATAAATATAAGAGAAAAAATGAATTGGATCTTATAATTAGGACCAAATAAAAAGTCAAATTGGGTTTTATAATAAAGACCGGAGGAGTATTTTGTATTCATCATCATGTAACCTTGCTCCCACTCCCACCGTCGGACCGTCCCACGTCCTAACCAATTTTTATATTATTTTCTCACTGCTCCGCGGATGTGAATTCAATATATGATGCAAGTTGAACACACGCCGAGCTTTAAAGCGGCATTTCAGCGTTTTAAACTCTCATCTCAGCATGGAATTGTGCGTAAAATGGGATAAGAAGATACTGTGGCGCCAATGTCTGCAATAAAAGATCGCGGGTTGCTTTGGGGAAAGTAAATTACAAGAATCATATAAAAAAAAAGGAGAATTACATTGAAGTGGTAAAATATTTATAACTATGATCAAAACGTTTAAAGATAAAATTCATTTTTAACAGTTCTAATTATCTGTAAATGATATTAACCAATAATTTATTACTAGAAGGAAAATATATATATATATTTTCTAAGTCAAAAATAGGTCAACGACAGTGAGGGAGACTATGTTCAATTGCACTCTACACGTGCGTAGGAATGCAATTCAATACTTGTATCAAAATTTTCATATTCATTATCTTTAATCTAATTATGTGTCTTATTGTCAAAATATTATCATTTAGTTATAAATTTATGGAAAAAAAATAGAGTATATAGTTAGATGTGATGGGGAAACTTTATAATGAATAAAAGACATTTTTCTAAAAGATTTGGTATTGACGGGGCAGAATCAGAAAAACTGAGACTCGGGGGCTGATCAAGTCATTCGAATATTGATCCTTCAGGTCGCGAGGCTATTCGATTCTTTCGTTGCAATCAATCCACACCCCATCCTCTGCCCACAACCGCTCTCCCCTCCTCCCATCCACCAATGCACATTTTAGTTTTGTTAAAAAAAGGAAAAAAGATCCACTAGCTGCCTCCAACAACTTGTCTGACCCCAGTTGCATCTTTCATACGTATTCTTTCTTTTTCTTTGTTTATTATTTAAAAAATAAATGAAATTTTCTTCTTTTCAAAACGAATTACAATCAAGTTTTAAAGAAAAAAATAATTATTAAAAAGTCTCATAACAAGTTTTAGAATAAAAAATAATAACTTCTAGAACTTATTTTGTAATTTCTTTTTAACAATTTCATTATAATTCTCTTTTTATTTTTCTCTTTACTTTTCGCCGGTCACATTTGTCATCTGAAATTAAGTTTTTTTAAAATCTAAAACAACTAAAATAAATGTAAATTATATTAATTTAGGTATAGCTAGTTCCATCCTGCATGATCCTTTTTCTTAAGGGGTATTTAGGTAAGATCAAAACTATAATTTCATAAATACTTTTACAATATACGAACTAAATATATGAAAGAGTTTACCTCGATTTGCGAAAAAATAGCTTTGAGAATTGCTTATTGGGTTTTAAAAGGGTCAATAGAGCCGATCTCTCAAAATGCCTGCTGATCTTGCAAGCTTCATCTCACGGAATCCCAATCACAACACTTTCATTTTCATACGAGCTACGAGTAACAAGAAAGCTTCATTCACGGTATCATCCATGCCACTCCGCCGCCTTCAACCCGAAGAACAATGAAGGAAATAAATCAACGCAGAAAAATGACCGCTCTACGTAATAGGATGCTTGCATAAAGCGCAAGTTTGGACAGAATTGTTAATGCCACGCAAAGGCAAAGCTTGCTTCTTCTTTTTCTTTTTATTTCTATATTTGAAGACTGAAGATATGATACTTAAACCTTCATACCTGTTATCTATATCCAGTTGATCTCAGATCTACTATTCCATTTGTATTTTTCACCTCGAGGAAGTAAAACAATTATCATATGCGAAGGCAGAGAGCATGTCGTCATAAGCCTCCACTGCATCTCATAAAAACAGAGCTCAATGATCAGAGTGTATTGTCTTTTTGACAGTGACATAGGCAAGGGGCTGTTCATGGAGACGGTGACGTGAGGGGATATATTATCATTTTGGGGCTACCGTGACAATAATGAAGAACCCACCATTCTGATTTCTGAACAAGATAGGGAATCTCCAAGATATTATAAATTTTTTCTGCTTTCTCTTTCTCTGGCGACTAGCGAGTAGCGAGGAATACAGTTGTATAATCCCACGTCATCAACTAAATTATTCAGATATTTCGACTATTTGATCCGTCCGGTCCTGTCCCATGCATTGTTGTAGCCCCTTCAATTCTTCAAATCATCCATAGGCCTTGATAGCTATCTGTTGGATCATTTGGATCGAGACTTGGAGGGGCTATGGCGGCTTTACTTCCCCACGACGAAGAGACGCCATTGATTGCTCTTTCTGATGATTCAACTCCCAAGAACCATACGAGGGACGTTCATATCTTGAGCGTGGCATTTCTGCTGATCTTTCTCGCCTATGGAGCTGCCCAGAACTTACAGAGTACTCTGAATACCGTGAGCCTCGCCCACATTTATTTCAAGTCCTAGTTCTATTGAAATACGTTGTACTGCAAATGTGACCCTTTTTGGGTTTGAGTTTTCCTTTACAGGAGCAGGACTTGGGTACAACTTCGCTTGGGATATTGTATACGTCCCTCACTTTCTTCAGTCTGGTTGCTTCTTTGGTGGTTCGGGTACTCGGGTCAAAGAACGCTTTGGTTCTTGGGACAACTGGTTATTTGTTGTACATAGCCGCGAACTTGATGCCAAATTGGTGATCACCTGCCATTTTGCCCTTGTTATTGATCTGTCGTTTCTGTTAGAAAATGGAATTACAATTACGAGTCGATTTTTTGAGTCTGACTAAACACAAGCATCTGGCCGGAGAAGAAGGGCTGATCCAAGTTTGGGAACGTTCCGCAGTTGTAGAGTGCAGAAAAGTCTTGAGTTTAACAAGAAAAGTCTATTTGAACTGATTATACCCGTGAAAATTCTCAGCCGTTTACACAATGAAGGCTCTTCTACTGGCTGTTTTCTGGGATTAATGAGTGGACAGTTTTGCATTCCACTATTTATCACTGTTTATACCTGTTGATATTGGCTCTTTTATATGTCTGAGTATCCTTTATGACCTTATGCTGAAAAAGATATTAACAACTTCCAGGAATACTTTCCTTCTTTCAGGTTTACAATGATTCCAGCCTCGTTGTATCTTGGATTTTGTGCTTCAATTATATGGGTTGGACAGGTACAAGTAACATTAACCTGTCATGAATTAAAAGCTCCTTGAACTCTTCACGGAATTTAAAATATCTTTACTAGACTGAATATGACTTGACAGGGAACATATCTTACTTTAACTGCACGTAGTTACGCCAGAGCGTACGACTTGCATGAGGGAGCAGTGATTGGTGACTTCAATGGGGAATTCTGGGCGGTGCTTGCACTCTTCCAGGTGATGATGAATTCTGCTACTCATGTCTGATATGTTTCTTGTAAAAAATATAAGATGTATCTGTTTTTGAATTGATTCCAACTTGAAATAATTTTATTTTGCAGTTTATTGGAAATCTACTTACATTTACTCTACTTAGAGATGGACAGGTACGTAGCTTCTTGGGGCTGTGGCTGCAAATTTTCTCATAGTCCTTTTGTTTATATTTATAAAATTGAGATCAATTTATTCATATAATACATTGTCCTGTTTTATTACTTTTTATCTCCGTCCTCACAATTTTACGGACCAAACGTAGCATTGAGGATGAATAGCTGCTTTTGACAGGTGCATATAAAAACTAAATACATGCTAGACAGAACCCTTGTCCAAATTTTATTAAAATATCAATGATGCCCATCTTCTTAACTGATTTGTAAATATATTTTGATTGGTGGAATTGTGTCCTCATAATGTTTCTACAATCTTGGGATTTAATTTTGTTTTTCATCACTGCAGGAAGGAAGTACCAAAGGCACAGCTTTGTTATTTATCGTGTTCCTTAGCTTTATGGTCTCAGGTGCAGTACTTATGTGCTTTTTGAGCAGAAGGACTGATGAAAACAAGGAAGAATTATCAGATGCTTGTGTTGGTGTCCATTCATCCTTAAAGTCTCTATACAAATCACATGCCGATTCGTTTTCTGACGTAAGAATGTTGTTGATCATTCCCCTCCTTGCATACTCAGGACTACAACAGGCATTCGTGTGGTCAGTTCCAAAGATTTATTTCACCACTTTGTGCTTCCCTTCTGCTTCCATTATCTCAATGAAATATGGTTTTATTGTAGGGCTGAATTTACTAAGTATGTTGTAACTCCAACGCTTGGCATTTCTGGTGTTGGTTGTGCAATGGCAGTGTATGGGGCTTTCGATACAGTGGTAAGTATGAGAATGTTGAACTCTGGTACCCTTACCTTTGGTGGTTGTTTCATTAAAGCAACCTGACAAGGAGCATCTTTATATCTAAGTTATGTTGCCATATGAACACTTTATAGCGGATTAATGAGATTTCTTTCATGGTTTCTTACTGCATTCAGTGTTCCCTAGCTGCTGGTCGACTTGCCTCTGGTTTAACATCTATTGCGACAATAGTTTCGGTTGGATCTTTTGTTCAGGCAGGCGTAATTGTCCTGCTTCTGCTAAATTTAAGGTCAATTATAAACACTCCTGTATTCTGAAGTTTCACACTCACACAGACACAGATAGAGATTTGGCTGTAATCTTATTTTCTTGGCCAACTTGAAACACATAATGCAGGTTAAGTACTGGGTTCCTTGACATTCTGTACCCACTTTTCTTGGCTGCTTTATTGGGCATTGGCAATGGAGTTTTTAACACGCAGCTCAATGCTATGCTTGGAATGCTATTTAAGCATGACACGGTAAACTTGATCAAACCATTCCACAATTATGTTTGAGAACCAGTTAGAGGGCTTGGACTCTGATTTTTCATGTTGGTTTTTTTACGAGCAGGAAGGAGCATTTGCGCAGCTAAAGATGTGGCAAAGCGCCCCAACTGCAATATTGTTCTTCTTGAGCCCTCATATCTCCTTCCAAGCAATGCTTGTGATTATGCTTGCTTCATTACTCTTGTCTTTTGGCGCTTTTCTACTGCTCACTCTCCAATTAGCCAAGACATCCTCCTTTCTCAGAGAGTGATTGAGAAGAACATCTTCCTGGCTACCATTATTTTAACCTTTGTCAATGACACTGGAAATTTTGATACAAATATGATTCAGAATCAACTGTTGCGTACCATGCAGAAATTGCGTGCAGAGCAATGTAACATGTAATGGCTGCTCCCTGCAAGTTTCAAAATTTGTTTGTCTACTGCAACGATAATAATAGTAACCCTCTTCTATAAGTAACTAATCACCTTTAAATGCGTTAACCGACAGTTTGTTGTCGTCTTTAAATTGAAAACTATCTTCCAAGTTTCCCATTATGTTAACGATATGCCTTTTGTTTTTGTGGAAGGAGTAAGTTTTTACAACTTTTAGGGTTTACCGTTTAACATTATTTTTGCGTGATCGTCGCTGATATTTTACACTCTTCTCGTGTGATGGTATCATCTCGTCTAAATTCCAATTAACAACTATGGCTGGGCTTTGCCGATAATATCACATCAGTAGTAGGGAATATATGAGCATTTGGATATCTCATATCTATTGATAATATCTTATTATTAACTAGTTGATTAATTTGAGCAAATTAACAAAATTAATTAAGTTAGCTATTTATAATAAATATGTGTTGTCTTCTTTAAAATATCTTTACTAATTATATGCGTTAGTTAAAATTACCTTTTTCATGTAACTATTATAAGGATTACCTTAAAAAAAAGTAATCAGTAAATTACATGAAACTACTTGACAACCGGCGCAGAGATAGTTACGGGGCTATAAATAATGCATATCACTATTCTGTGTTTAATTAGGCTAGGAGTCGTACCGACAAACATTTGGCGCCAGAATTAATTTTATTATATTTTCACAAAAATAAATAAGAGAGAAAAATAAAAGAAGAGAAAATGACAAAAATAAAAAGAGCAAGAGATTACTAAATACTAAATAAGAAATAAAAAATATCAATAAAAATTTATTGTCATTTACAAATTCAGTATTTTTAATTCTAAATAAAGTGTTATTATCAAATCTGGGTTTAGTAACTTTTAACTTTTTATTATTATTTTTTTAATAAAAGAAACAACGATAAACAATGTTTAAAGAAAACAAATGCTTCTCATCCCTGTTGAGCACCCAAATTTGTCACCACTTCATATCTAACACGACTGCTTCTCATCGCCTCAAGCTGCGATGTGATAGAGAAAAAGCTGCTTGGTTTTTGCCGTTAATTTTAATTTTTACTCCGAGCCACAATTTTTTTTTTTTCCATTTTGTTAATTCTATTCCGTTAATTTTCAGGTATTTACCAAATTTTTGCTTCTTCCTGCTCAATCCTTCCTCTTCCTACCTAAAACCAGAGTGGCCCTTGTAACTACCGGCTGAGTTGCGCGGGCAACATTACTACAATACTGAAGAGGTGAAAAGATTCGGAATCTCCAAGATATTATTGATCTTGTCCGCTTTCTCTTTCTCGGCCATGGACGCAGTTTTATAATCTCATCCTCATTAACTAAATTACTAAGCTATTTTGACTTTTCTTTGCGTCCTCTACCATGCCAGGTTCTGGCCGGCAATACGCCCCTTTAAATCATCTCTAGGTTTTATTACCTAATTGTCGACCATTTTGATCGAGAACTGGGAGCTATGGCATCTGTACTTCCCCACGACGAAGAGTCGCCGCTGGTTGCCGCTGTTGAAAATTTGCCGATTCAAACTCCCAAGAACCACACGAGGGATATTCATATCTTGAGCGTGGCATTTCTGTTGATCTTCCTCGCCTTTGGAGCTGCCCAGAACCTACAGAGTACTGTGAACACTGTGAGCCACGGCCTAATTTTTCTCCCGTAATTTACACTTCGAGTTTCCAGTCCTGATTCAATTGAAAGATGTTGTTTTGTAAATGTGATATGAATACCTTTGTGACCCTTTCTGAGTTTGAGTTTTCAATTACAGGAGCAGGACTTGGGTACAACTTCGCTCGGTGTATTATACACGTCTTTCACTTTTTTCAGTCTGGTTGCTTCTCTCGTGGTTCGGATGCTCGGGTCAAAGAACGCTTTGGTTATTGGGACAAGTGGTTATGTGTTGTACGTCGCTGCGAACTTGAAGCCAAATTGGTAATTACTAGCCATTCCGTGCTTTTGTTATAATTCGTTTATCATTTCTGTTAAAGTAGAATTACAATTACGGGCAAATGTCTGTGAGTTTGAGTGAATAGCAAGACGAAGTTTGGGGTAAACAGCATTAGTTAGTTGTAGAGTGCAGGGAAGTCTGAGTTTTTGAGAGACCCTCGTATAATTTGTTGAAGTTAATAGTTATTTTCGGTGAGTAGAGTTGACGGTTCATGTATTCCAGTACAATATATGGCCTCAAATTAACAATTTACGTTTTGGCTGCAGTGTGGTTGAATGAAAGGAAGAGTGGTGGCTACTTAAACTGATCATCCCCATGAAAACCCATAACAGTCCACACGCTGATGTCTCTCTTATTAGTTGTTTTCTGAGATTCGTGGGATGGTTATTTATAGCTGCTGATATTGACTCTTATGTCTGAGCATCAGCTTGTTGGACTTTATGACTATATGCTGAAAAGATATCAACTAATTCCATGAATTCTTTACTGGTTATACATTTTTCTTTCAGGTATACAATGATTCCAGCCTCTTTGTATCTTGGATTTAGTGCTTCAATTATATGGGTTGGAGAGGTACTAGTAACGCTGACTTGTCCAAAATCAAAAGCACCTTGAGCCCTTCACGGAATTTTAAACATCTTTACTAGCCTAAATATGACTTGACAGGGAACGTATCTTACTTTAGCTGCACGTAGTCATGCCAGAGCTTACAACTTGCATGAGGGAGCAGTGATTGGTGACTTCAATGGGGAATTCTGGGCAATGTTTGCTCTCCACCAGGTGATGATGAATTCTGCTGCTAACCGAAGTCTGATGTGGGACATATAATAAAATGAAAACCTCTTTTTGATGAATTCAAACTTGATATAATTTTGTTTTGCAGTTTGTTGGAAATCTCATTACATTTTCTTTGCTAAGAGATGGACAGGTATGTGTTTTCTTGGGGCTTTGGTTGCAAATTTTCTTGTATTCCTTTTGTTTGTAATTATTATAATCAGCACGTGATCCATAATTTCTTCCTGTTTGTTTTCACTATCATGTTTATTTTATCTTTATAAAGATTGAAAATTTATGCTCCTTGAACATATGTTAACATGTATAATATAAGAAATCTATCAAGGAAACATAAGTATGAGCTGGTTTTTCCTTTCACTGGCCAACAATAAATGCTTTCCCCAAAAACTCACAAGCGCCAGGATTGGATATTAAATTTGGACAATCTTGGGACTGAATTTTGTCTGCCATCGCTGCAGGGAGGAAGTACAAAAGGCACAACGTTATTGTTCATTGTGTTCCTTTGCATTATGGCCTTAGGTGTGGTACTTATGTGCTTACTGAGTCGGACCGGTAATAAAAAGGAAGAAGGGCAGCTACCAGACGCTGATGTTGGTGTCCTTTCATCCTTAAAGTCTTTATCTAAATCACTTGCCATTTCAATTTCTGATGTGAGAATGTTGTTGATCATTCCCCTCATTGCATATTCAGGACTACAACAAGCATTTGTGTGGTAAGTTCTATTGATTTGTGTGGTGAGCTTTACTTCTTGTCTATTAATGAAACTTGGTTTTGTCGTAGGGCTGAATTTACTAAGTATGTTGTAACTCCAGCACTTGGCATTTCTGGTGTCGGTAGTGCAATGGCAGCATATGGGGCTTTTGATGGAATGGTAAGTATGAGAACGTAACTGTAATACCCTTACCTATGCTGGTTGTATAACTGAAGTAACTTGATGCTTATTGCTCAATTTGTATGAATCATGCTAAGAATGAGCGTCTGTATATCTTGGGTCACGGAGTTGGGAAACAGAGTCTGTCCCTCTTGAATTTATAGAGGTCCTTACCATATAAATATTTGTTGTTGTGGATTGATTTGATTTCTTTCATATTTCCTTGACTGTATTCAGTGCTCTCTGGCTGCTGGTCGACTTACCTCTGGTCTCACATCTATTACATCAATTGTTTCTGTTGGAGCTTTTGTTCAGGCAGTGGCTGTTGTCCTGCTTCTGCTAAATTTGAGGTCAGTAGTTAACACTCCTTTGTTCTGAAGTTTTGTGTGGGTGTGTGTGTACTCTGTAACTTTATCTTCTCAATTTCTTATTGAACACTCATAACACAGGATAAGCAGCGGGTTCCTGAGTACACTGTACCCACTTTTCTTGGCTGCTTTATTGGGCATTGGTGATGGAGTTTTGAATACGCAGCTCAGTGCTCTGCTTGGAATGCTATTTAAGCATGACACGGTAAACTTTCTAAACTATTCTCCTGGGGTCTAGTCGTCTTCAGTAACCCGCTGCAACCTCCTGTTGAACTTTTACTTTTGGCTAATTAAACGGCTTGCGTTCTACTAATTTTCATGTTGGTTTTACGGGCAGGAAGGAGCATTTGCACAGCTAAAGATATGGCAATGTGCTACAATTGCTATCGTGTTCTTTCTAAGCCCTCACATCTCCTTCCAGGCAGTGCTTGTGATTATGCTTGCTTCGCTAATCTTCTCATTCGGCTGTTTTCTATTGGTGACTCTCAAAATAGCGAAGACATCTTCCTCTTCCACAGAGTGAATAAAATGTCTGCTACAACTCCGAGCGTAATAGATCGTCTCATATTGTCGTACCTGTGTGCCTGTAAAATATATGACAATCTTTATTACATTTTTCCTTTTGGTGACATAGCCACATAATGTGACTCTATTTTCTTAAAAATTACACATTTTTTCTACATTACACTGAGTACAAGAAATGAGCTGCATTAATATCAAAGTTTTGTTTTTCTCGGTTATTTTCTCACCTGAGATAAAATTGAGCTTAATGATAAATAAATGATAAAGTTGAAATTGAGTCTTAAAGTTGTGATCAAGATGCGGTTTTTTTTAAAAAAAAAAAAAAAAACTGTTCTGACCCATTTATTTATCAGCCATTTATGAGCTTGGTTCTTTATTCATTGTACAGATGTATGTATCGCTCGTATATAAATGTTAAATAAGTTTATAATTATATAAACATAGGTGGAGGGGTTGCTCTACCTGCCAACTGCCACGTGTGCAAGAATTTAAGGTGGTGGAGTCGCTCTCCAGTCTTTTAACTAAACCGAACCCACCAAGCACGCCCAATTCTGCACCTCACAGTTGGGTCAGCTCAACCATCATTGTTTCCAATATACCCCTCTCGCCATCTCGCCTTATGGCGCTCCACCAATAATTAAGTAGTTTCACCGCGCCCATCCTCTCTGTTTATATTCTTTCATGCCCATTAACCCCTCAACCTCCTAATCCCATAATGGCTCTCTCGCTCTCTCCTTTCTTCCGTTTTCGTCTCGGCCTCACTACTTCATGGCCTCTTCTAATCTTCGCTGCGACTTGGACGATGCTTCTGACCTTCACGGTGGCCGTGGCCTCGTTCTCGCCGGAGGCGGCTTTCGTTTTGGCCATCTCGCCCTCTTCTTCCTTCTCCAAGAAGTGCAAGACTGAGTCTTTCATTAGAGTGCCCTTGGATGTTCCGGGAGACATCCTGTGTTTCCCGCCTCAGCTGTTCACCAAGTCCAAGATTGATCTGATTGTCCCGCCTGTGTTTGCGGCCGTGATTGTCGCTGCTTCTGCTTGTTTTGTTCGGGCCGTGGGGTTGTGGGAGGATGGTCAAACTTTAACCCCCTGAGTTGGGGACCAATTGAGTATTCGTTTAGAATTATATTAGGTTTAAGATTCAGGTGCGGTACATATACATAGTTGTAATCGAGTTTTTCAACGAACACTAAACTGCAAAATTTTCACCCATTGGACTTTTAATTACTAAAATAAAATACCAGATTGATCTGAGTGTCCCGTGTTTCCAGGGGTAATTTGCTACCAGATTACTCGTTTAGAATTACGTTTCATATATATCAGATTTAAGATACAGGATTTGTAGATATCTATCATCAAGTTCTTTCGTATTAAGCCTTATTTAGTTAAATGATGGAGACGAAAGATCTTGTGCGGCGATTATGTCTGTGTATGAAAGCGGTAATATCGATACATATTCAGAACCAACTGTCACCTACCACGCAGAAATTGCCCTCTCTCTCTCTCTCTCTCTCGTGATGGGATTGAAGGAAGGGGACCATGCCAAAGCTGGACATCTGGTGGAGTCTTGTGATGTCAAATTTGTGGCTCATATTACGCGCAGAGTCAAAAGACAAAATATGCATAAAAAGTGTTCGTAAAAATACCCAGTGCCAGAATTGATAACCATAAACTGCTAACTTATGAATGAACTTATAGGGAAGAAGCTTGGGTGGCGAAGAGCAGCTGCACTCAATCTTCTGAAACAGACTTGATCAGCTTGTTGCTAAAATCCCACAGTTTCCTCCCTAACACTTTGTCTGTGGCGAAAGCACTTGGTTGAAACTCATTGCAATCCAGAAAGTATTTCCCACTCACACCTTTCACTTTTGGGTGCAGGGCAACGTAACATGTAGTGGCTGCTCCCTGCAAGTTTCAATCACAAGTTCAGAGACCTTTACAACAATCTCAATTTTTTTTTTTTGGGGTTTATCAATGCTTTCATTTGAATTTTCAAGGGCAATGAGTTCTGTACCTGTGGGACATTCTTCCATATGAAAAAGGTAAATAACTTGAGAAAATCTGCTTCAATGAAGTTTCATCGCATTAGAACAAGAAAATCAGCAATAAAAAGTAGAAGCAGGTATTAGGGAGACACATCGTACGCATAAGGAAGGAAGAATGTCTCATAAGAGGAGTCATTATAACTCCGGGGTGGACTGAGTTGGCCGTAATGTTCACACCCTCTTCCTGCAGTGTCAGAAACTCAAGGTGAGTGCGAAAAATGAAAAAATGAAAAAATGAAAAATGTGTAGGCCCTCGTAGGAGAAATATATGTGGTCAGAAGCAAACTAACAAGTACATTCCCGTCCTGTTATAATCTTGACCTCAACTAATGTTAAACTAGATTGGGCTCCATGAGTAGCACGACGCTCAAGAAATAAATTGCATTTTTTATGGCCTAAAAAGGGGGACTTGCCTTAAACTTTTTAAAATATATGTGAACCTCAATTTTATCTCATATACGTTCGAAAAATAGTGACCAGAAAATATAATTGTTTATGAGGTTTATATCCATCCTTACAGTCATTTTTTATCTCTATCTGGATGTGGTGTGTCCACTTTTTTGGGTAGAGAGGACCGAGTTTAAGCAATACATAGACGAATTTGGTGGTCCTTGTCTTACATATATTTCTCACTAATTTATTTCTATAGCAACTGTTGATCAGAAGAATTTTAGGAGGATCACCTGCAGGCGACGAGAAAGCTCATTTGCGTGCAATATATTGGCCAACTTGGACTGCCCATATGCTTTTTTGTCAGAGTACCTGAAAGATTATTATAGCATAATAATAAATTACACAGTCCTACATAATAAATCCAATAAGAAGCGCGTTTAATAAGAGGCAATTAAGGTCCATTTCAACCATCTCTTTACAACTCACAAAAGTTAATAATTCTGACCTGTGTAATTATGCAGTGATGGTTCGAATGGACTTCTTACTGAATTTAAATCCCAATGTAACTCATCAATACAGCCAAAACCAAGGGTTAATATAAATAAAACAATACCCAATTTGATCATTGATCTTATCAAAGCGAATACCCTCTTCATAAGTGTAGGTATGGGCAATCGATGACAAATTGATAATCCTGCCCTCGACTCCACTTGCTTTTGCAGTTTGCTTCATTTTGTCAAGAAGGAGGTTTGTCAATAGGAAATGACCTGAGAAAATAACGAGAATTAGCAAACCAAGAGATAGGCACTTTGGTTATAAGATTAATCAAACTTGTTATTACCAAGATGATTAGTAGCAAACTGCATCTCGATCCCATCCTCAGAGACTTGGAAGGGGCAGAACATGACACCAGCGTTGTTTCTGAAACAGAAAGGCCAACAATCTCAATCCAATGCGCCCGTTCAGAATCGTAGTAACTCATAAAAAAGGAGACAGGGGATTAGAGAAATGACATTAAGACGTTGAGAGGAAGATCAAGAGCGATGAAATTGTCAACAAATGATCTGACAGACTTGATTGAGCAGAGATCAAGCTTGAGAATATCCACCCGAGCTGACTCATTCTCTTGCAGAATAAGCTGTTTAGCTTCCTTCGCAGCCTCCATGTTCCTCGCAGCAATGATGACGTGGGCCTTTCGAAGAGCCAAGACTCTCGCCGCCTCCAAACCTATACCACTTGCTCCTCCTGGAATTTTTTTTTTTTTAATGAGCATTTAGACGAACAGATGTTGTTTAGATCATAGTCATGCCATGTGCTTTATGAAGGTACTACAGTAAAGAATTAGCAAAGCCCTTCTGGTAGTTTTTCTCTTCCCTTTTCCTTTTTGAAACTCAGCCTCCCTGAGAAGGAAACCTACGAAAATTCTACAAGGCATCTGTCATAGGATGCGGAGGTATATATGATAAAGGAAGGCGCACAAAATAAAGACAGATCATGGGCAATTTCAAGGCGACAGAAACAAAAAAAAAGGGGATCAAGAATCTTTGTTGAAACCAAGTTGTTAGGATTTAATTTGCACAAAAACAGAAAGTAGACGCTGAGAGTCAAAGAAGCGGAAAAACAAAAAAGCTCTTGTGGGTATCCAGTGCTTCCAGAGTACAAAAACCAATCAAGTAATCTCATCGTAATTTAGATCATGAGTAGTATAGCCAGTAATAACAAAGTGCAGAGTCTGACAAAAGGTATGAGGAAGAAATGCAAGGGAGTAGTTGTGTTACCTGTGACAATGGCAGTGAGATTGGCGGCATCGATTCCTTCAGTAACCTGTTCAGCAGTGGAAGCAGATCCAAACCCACTGGGACCAGGCCTCCCCGTTACCAAGGAGAAGATACCCACCATTATTAATTTACTGGGAAGCCAAAAATGGGAATGGCCACACTATTTATCCGGAGAAGCTCAGAGTTTTCCCTCCTGAGTGGTAACACAAACAGGACGCAAGCTCAAAGCTATTATTATTTCTCTTCTTCTCTGGAAGGTTCGCTTATACCAAAAGCACAGAGGAATAATACAAGAGCATAAAAATATGCACGAGAGTGGTAAGCAAAAGGAGGAAGAGACAAGGAGAGGTAGGGTGGGGCGATGGAAGAAAGGAATGAAGAATGAGAGGGGGTTGAGATATGTGGTAATGTATATAGAAGAGAGGAGAAGAGCAGGGAATGAATGGGACCTATGGAATTGAATTGAAATGGGGAAAGAGACAGATAGAGTGAGAGAGGGAGGGAAAGCATGAAAGAAGAGTAAGGAGGGGGTTAGGGAGGGAACGGGCGGATGTAGGTGGTAATAGTGGTAAACAGAAAAAGGGGTCATTAAATCGGAGCCGGTGGGGGGTGTTTAATATTCTGAGCGACCATTCTGGCCTGCCTTGTGTGGAATGGTACCCACGTCACTTATCTCTATCCATTCACGTACCTCATTATTTCCCTCCTTCCTTGTGTATCAGATTCTGTGTATCTGCACATAAGCACCCTCTTCAGTCTCCGCCATGCATATGTTATATTTATGTGTCTGCCTCTGTAGCTATGGGGCTGTAAGCTTGCATCCTCTGTAATCTCTGCTTAAATTACAAATGAAAAAAAATCATACTCCTCCGGTCCTTAATATAAGACCCATTTAACTTATTTGATTAGATTAAGGAAGTTAGTTAAGTTAGTTAATTATAAGAAATGTGACAAGTTTTTCCTAAAATACCATAATCATTTTTCTTAATATCCCATCTTCATCTTCTACTTGATTATAGTTGATGGAGTATCCATAGGGGTAATTTAGAGAAAATTGATAAATATGATAAATGGGTCTTATATTTAGGACCAAAACCAACTCAACAATTGGGTCCTATATTAAGGACCGGAGGAGTAATACTTATATCAAGTTACTTATATTTATTATATCAAGTTTTCTAATCATATATAGGCATGCGTCTTATTTTTAAAATATTAACATTTGATTATAAACTATAAATTTATATGAAACAAAAAAAGATACATGATGACGATGTAAGATTGAAAAATTGACATAATAGATCTAAGGAATTTGATGTGAGTGCTTTTGTTGGGGAAAAAAAAAATATAGACAATGTCATTAATCCTTCAAAATTCAGTGCTTAAGTCATGAAAAAGAAAACTATAAACAAGAAATTTGCCTAAATTATATGAAATGGCAAATCTGTCACGATACAGCAGCCTGGGAAGAGTCAATTGGTTTGATTTTAATAAACGCGTAGTTTTCAGGACCATGACAAGTCATTAATGGACGGGAAAATTCACTGAATTTCTTGGTTGGGATTGAAAAGGAAAGTTTGTCATCAATAATCCTCCTTTGAAATATACTAGTATGAAAATTGTTACTAATTCTTAATATAAGAACTCATTTGATTTTTATTTTGGTCATAAATATACAACCCCTATATAATTTGTCTCATATTTATTCATCTTTTTTAAGGTAGTCTTTCTAATAATAATAATTCTAGCCAATACATTTGATTAGTAAAGATATTTTAAGAAAAATAATACTCCTCCGGTCCTAATTATAAGACCCAATTGACTTATTTGAGGAGATTAAGGAAGTAAGTTAAGTTGGTTATTTATAATAAATAAGTGTTGTTATTCCTAAAATATCCTTGCTAATTAAGTATATTGGCTAAAACTATCATTATTAGAAGGATTATCTTGGAAAAAAATGCATAAATATAAGAGAGAAAATGGATTGGGTCTTATAATTAGGACCAAATAAAAAGTCAAATTGGGTCTTATAATAAGGACCGGAGGAGTACATATTTATTACAAATAATTAATTTAACTAGTTTTTTTAACCTACTTAAAATAATTAACTAGTTTTTATATTGAAATTTTTTGGACCGGTCACTTACAGACCATCGCACAGAGAAAATTATCAAGCGCGCGCGGTTTTTTCATTTTGTTCCTGTCTCTCCTATTTTATTACTCCCTTTATTCATTGCCGTAAGACATGCTATTTTTTTGAAAAAAAGATGTTTTATACTTCAATTTATAAGATATTTGCAGAATACGAAGAATGATTAATGTGTACATTTATCCCAAAAGTGCTGTGGAGATCAATATAAGGCAGTTCTCACGATGCACATTAAAAAGAAAGTAAAAAATATATAAATTGTTCCCAATTTTATTCTTGTTAACTATATTAACGTTGACATTCTCAGAAAACATTTTGTGACTTCAGTTGAGCAACATAAGGATAGATTTTTTTTTTTTTTTTTATGTACAAGATACTGCTGGGGCCAGTGGCTCAAGTGAGACAACAAGCATCTTTGTGATACCCTTATCCCAAGTTTGACCCGCTCTTGTAAACACTTGGCCATTTGCCGGTTAAAACAAAGACAGTTAAAAAAACAGTCTTATTTGCTTTTGTTTTTTATTTTCTTGTTCTTAAAACAAATTTATAAAGTTATTTTGGGCTAAAGTGTACCTATCACCTCAAAAATATTCCTGACGAAACATCCAACAGCACCCTAAATTATTTAATAGTGCAATTTTAGCCCTAATATACTAAAAATGTAGGAATTCTCGTTCCAACAGAAGTTAATTAAACTACGCATCTGCAGTAATTCGTGAACCGCATTAAAGTGCTACTCAAAAAAATCAGATTTCTTTTCTCTTCCTTCATCCCCTCATACCCATGATGAATCCAAATACCTGATTTCTTTGTTACGCTCATCGCTCCATCTTCGAATCCATCTGAAATTTGTGCTTGCTTCAGTATCATCAGTTCAGCCTGCTCTGTAACTTCTGCTGAGAGTTGTATGGAACTGCAAGGGAAGACATCCAAAGCGGTGACGTGCATCTCCCAGTTTCCCTTGCCATGACAGGGAGAAACCATTTGCATCAACAAAAGATTTGAGGGCTAAAATTATTAAATTTAGTGCATCCGAATAAAAGGAAATTAGGAATCTCTTAACCAAGCAAGCAGCATACACTTAAAAAATTATTTTCACATAAATGGAGATAAATAATTTTTTATTTGTTCATTTAGTTAAAATTACCTTTAAAATTATGGTTTCATTTTTACCTGAACACTCTCTAAATCCTAGGTAGGGTCACAAAATAGTTGCATCATGAGCAGGCTACTTGATGAAGACGCAAGCGCAATAATAATCCAAATTAAAGGTTCAAAGCACTGTCGTCTTGTTGGCATTAGTAACTACTCAGCTAAGCATTTAACGAAGATACATAAATGCTTTAGGGGGTGTTTGAAAACACCCAGAAGTGTTTTTGAAAAGCATTTTTTTGCAAATCGAGATAAACTCTTCCATATATTTATTTCGTAAACTATAAAATCACTTCTAAAACTATGATTTGGTTGTAATCCAAACACCTCCTTAGTCTTGCATTTACATATGGAAAGCCATCGTCTTCATTCCTCACCCTCGTTCCATCGTTTACGCCACAACTACTTGTGAATGAAAGTCAGTGACTCATAATAACATGAGGGCTTCTAAATGGCATATGGTATACTCATGGGTGGTACTTGAAGCCGAAACTTGCTGATAGTTGAGTCAAAGCTCAAAGACCATGGCCTAATCAACCCCATCAGCCGACACACTATGAGCCAGGGGAAAGGACCAATAGGTCCTTCCCTCCTGTACAATCATCCTAATCTGAGAATTAAATGTTGCATCCGGTCCTCAATATATTACATAAGAACTAATTTAAAAATATTAAAAAAATTAGTTAAACTGGTTATTTATTATAAATATGTGTTAGTCTTCCTAAATTATTTATTTAATATCTCTTAATATAACCCTTTATGTTCAATGAAAACATTTTGAGAAAATAAAATAAATATAAGTTTTATATTTAAGATTAAATTTAATCCTGACCTAACTGCCTTTCTATATTCACTGCCACCGGAGGAGTTAGTATCGTGAGTTGAATCTGAATCCTATGAGATGATGACGAGCATTGTTATTTATTAAAGGATTTTTATCATGCTTTTATTTTAATAAATACAGGATGTTTTTTCTAATTGTTATTCCAATGCAAGAGACACTCACACAAATATTCATTGGCCTCGTCTCACCATCATTTCATTCATAGATAGTCGGATTTGGATCCCAAACATTGTCCGAGTGTGATCTCTGCTACCCGTGTCATGAATCTCGTGTCGAGAAGCTTCGCAGGTATGCTGTGATTTACTTTATCCGTCTTTTTTTATGAGTAATAATTATTGTTTCCTTTTTATTTCTAAATATAAGTAATAGTTGCACTTTGTTTTAAATTTTTGTAGCTAATTTTCTATTTTGTTCCCGTTAGTTACTTATTTTAATATCCAATACATTTATTATCTCATTTATCAAATTATCATCTATCTCCATCTACATTCTCTTTCTTTCATAAATAATAGTATTTTGGAAAAAGAACATTCAATTTTTACATATTTATTGTCTTTAACTAACCTTTTGATTTACATGATGGAGTGCAAGGTTACTTATAAAAACAGACGGGAAGAGTATAAGTTCAAGAGACTCTTGCTTTAACAGCCTGTGCTGCTTGAGAGCATTATAAACTTAAAATACTCCTCCGGTCCTTATTATAAGACCCAATTTAACTTTTTATTTGGTCCTAATTATAAGACCCAATCCATTTTGTCTCTTATATTTATGTATTTTTTTCCAAGATAATCCTTCTAATAATGATAGTTTTAGCCAATATACTTAATTAGCAAGGATATTTTAGGAATGACAACACTTATTTATTATAAATAACCAACTTAACTTACTTCCTTAATTTCTTCAAATAAGTCAATTGGGTCTTATAATTAGGACCGGATGAGTATATGTTATTTTAAAATTTTATTATCTAATGTATCAAACATCCTGATATTATTTTTTAGTTACATCCAGTGCTTTAATTAAGAGAAAATGAAATTAACATGTTGGACACACCGTGTAAAAGATAAGGATGGTTTATAGGATGCATTTGCGAAGTTTCTAATTATAGAATCAAGCGTGTGGGCTGAGCGAACGCAAATCGTAAATAAGAGGACGTCAGGGAGGATAGGAAATTAGAGGTGAAGAGCAGCCGAGTTATTAATGTTAGCAGTTAGCCGCACTGAAATGAAGATTGATTTACGGGGAAGCGGTGTGGAGGCCATTATTGAGGGACAACGGCATCGTTGGATCTCACCGTCCACTGCACCTATTTTCTCAAGATGTTGACAATTTGCCATTTTCTTGCCCCTCAACTTCCCCCCTGTTTTCATTTTGTCGTATCATGTTTTTTCGATCTTAAATTTCATTGCTAATTGAGATTAGTTGGGAGTTGCTAATTTGTACAGCTAATTAATCCCATCCCCTTTTGCATCTTTCATTTCGTTTTCTTGGGCCAAGCTTCAATTAATACAAGCAGTACCGTTGGGTGTGGAAACTGTTCATCGTTCGCAAACCACAAAAAAAATGCTGCGGCAGAAATTCTGGTTGAACAGAGCCCCATTTATTTTGGAAACAAGATGGCAAAAAGATAACTAACAGCAGCCGGGTTTAATAGGAACGACTACTTCCTCATCATCGTGATGAATTATGATTTGAATTTTTGCTAGGGAGGCATTTAGTATCTGACATATCTTGAACATAACTGTGCCTAGTAAAAATAAAAAAAATAACAAGAAGATAAAGAAATCATTGTACCGGGAAAAAAAAAAGATAAAGAGATTATGGCAATTCATTTTTTTGATTTTTTTTTTCTATTCTGTTACTGAAAATAAAACTCAAGTTATTCATTATTTAGTATGCGCTGATAATGAAAGTGAAAACTCATGACATGGAATTCCCCAGAAACGAAGCAAAGCGTCCAAACGTGATACGCCAATGTCTCGCCTCAAGTTTAGACACTTATCACCGGACACCAAATGTTATTGTCCGAAACGAATACATAAAAGATTAATTTAATTTCCATGTAAGCACTCAATAATTTTGGCAAACCAGTTTGTGAAAGAGAACTCCGAAGAAAACAATTAACAGAATTTTTTCCTTGTTCCATATAGAAACAGAATTTGTAAATTGCTGCAAATTCATTTCAACATCCTCATTATTGTCAGATAAGAAATTATGAAAACAATCATGTTGGAGCCACATGACTTCAAATCTGAAGGGTTTTGAATTACTCTCAGAAGCTACAAATTTAATTAGATTTATAGATAGTGGGTTGGGATCAGAAAAATTTGTTCTAGGCGGCACTCTAACTATACAGTCTGGGAATGCAATAAAGAAATTTGAATTAGCAAGAGCTCGACCTAACCTCTCATAAAGTCTAGCATACCCATTTAGAAGAGGTCCCTTCCAAGTGAATTTAGGACCTGAAGCACCCAAGTCGGACAACCCAGCTTCTGCAATTTGATCTTGAAACCATTTGATGCGCCGAGAATTCTCCCTAGCTCCACCAACACTTTCTGAATTAGAGGAGATATCATTAAAATCTCCAAAAACCAACTATGGTTCCATCGAGTGCAGGGAGAGAAGCTTGATTTTATTCTAAAGAACTTCTCTAAAATTGAGTGGGGAAGCGCATACACAGCGGTGCATAGAAAAAGAGGGGAGATCAGGAAAAATACACATGACGTGAATGAATTGTTGACTCTCCTCTTACACCTAAACATTGACTTCATTGCTTTTCCAAATGGCAACGATACCTCTAGACCTTCCTTCACCAGGAATCAAATGCAGAGAGTCATAACCCATTGTAAAAATTTGCTGGAACTTTGCTTCATTGTTACTTTTTTTTTTTTTTAGCCTGCTTAGAGTATCTTCCCACTCAAAGCATTTCTTTTAGATGCCGGTGCTCAAACTCGTGCCCTATGGTTTAAGAGGATGGTTGGAAACCACAACGGCACAAGAGAGCAAGTGGTTCATTGTTTTTTTTTTTTTGATTGCCCAGAGTATCCTCTCACCCTAACAGTAAGAAACTAATCTCTCGAAGTACTATCAGAAACCGTAGTAGAGACCCCTCTCAATAGTGTTTTTTTCATACATACCTCTCCAAAGATAGAACCCAAAATATGAGTTTAAGGTGTTCAAGTCTCTTCCACTTGAACCAACACTTATTATTTTGATTGTTACTTTTTGTTTCTGCTAGAAATAGTAATGCAGGTTCAGGCCCAGTCAAAATAGCTTTCAAATTGTTGAGAAGCCCAGTTCCACAGGCCCCTCTAAAATTCCACAAAAATAGTTTATTCATAGATAAAATATAATAATAATTGAAACCAATCCAATTAACACTCAACACCCTTTTGGATCTCTGCTACAAATGTATCATTCAAATGGATACTCATCTCCAGGTGATCAAGCATTGGGCTTTCATCTAGCGGCCCAAATTGTGAAGAACTTGGATCCCCCTCATTCATCACTTGTTCTCCAGGGTCATGACTCATGAGGACTAGAAGGCCGAGCAACTAAAAGCTTGTTTGGAACTTTGTTCAAAAAGTATTTTTAAACAAGTTTATGTAAGTCGAGATAAAACTCTTTTCACATACTTAATTTGTATTCTGTAAATCATATTTAAAAAGTTATATATAAGTCAATCCAAACAAACTCTAAATGTGTTGTCTTGGTACAAAACCCTTTTCTGCATTATCCATATTGCCGCCGTTATTCTCATCCCCCATTTTGACGTACAACACCTTATCGGTATGGTTTTGGACTTTCAGCTTTGCAAACATGGCTGAGCAACCAAATTTCTGTCGTTTTTTTTTTGGGATGGATCTAGTCCAATCACTAGTATAATGGGAGACTGACTAAAAAGCCCCGATGCTTTTATTTATTTAGTTATGTTACTTCCTCCGTTTCTTATTATAAGAGACATTTGATGCTTATGGCATGTTCCTATATATAAGAGACACTTAAAAATTGTCTCTATTTTTTTATATTGATTTTCTATTTTACCCATATTTATTATCTTCAACTCACTCACTCTCTCCTTCCCACTTCTCTTTCTTTGAATAATTTACCATGCTCTCTCTCATGCTCTCTCTCCTTATTAATGAGGGTTTTTTTGGAAAAAAAATTATATTTTTTACTCATTGATTGTTCTTAACTAATTTTAACTGTTTTTTTTATCAACGTAATTCAGTTATTCGTCTCTTATAATAAGAAATGGAGGGAGTATTTAATATGCGCTGATAATCAAAGCAAAAACTCATGGCATGGAATTCCCCAAAAACTAAAACAAGGCGTCCCAACTTGATACGCTAATGTCTCATCTCAAGTCAAGACACTGGACACTGGACACCAAGTGTTATTGTCTAAAATGAATACGCGAAAGATTGATTTAATTTCCACGTAAGCACTCAATAATTTTAGCACACTAGTTTGTGAAAGAGAACTCTGAAGAAAATGCTCGGATCTTATTTATAAGTTTTAAATTTGAAGAGTGTAGTTCATTTTATAAGCTTAACTTGAGTTTATTGTAATGTATTTTTTTAATGTTGTTTTTAATTATTTCTCTTTTATTATATTTTCCCACACATTCTCTTTCATTCTATTTTTTATTTATTATAAGGACATAGTTAAAAACAAAAATCCATTTCTAACATATTTATTATTTTTAATTAATTTTAACTAATAGTTTATTATTCGTGTTAATTATTTAATGGTTGCAGGAGGGAAACAAATTAACCTGCTTCTAATATTAAGTAAATTTGAACAAAGTTCAACCAAGGGTCCATAGCTCAGTGGTAGAGCATTTGACTGCAGATCAAGAGGTCACCGGTTCGAACCCGGTTGGGCCCTTTTGTGTTAATCTTTTTAACGAAATCCTTATCCTTATATATGATTGTGGCTGTTTTGAGAAGTGAAGCCCACATACAATTGGACTTTTTGGAATGACGAGTTGGGCCGTTGGCCCGTTTATAATTTTTAAAGGTCTATAAATGGACATCCTGTGGTTGATGAACGGCGTTGGGATTTGGCTGGCTCCAGTACTTTCTCTTAATTATGTGACCATTAACGTTAACCTTCACTTTTACCATATTGGTGGATCCTCTCACAATTCCGAAGCATCAAGGAAAAACGAAGCGGAAGGGAGAGAGGATCGCTCCACTTTATTTTTATCAGATCTTTCAATTTATTTCATTTGCTTTCGGTGGTCGAGCATCCCGTTCAGATCCATCGTGTAGGATCTTCATGGCGGCAGCGAGGCGGCTCCGGGACCTGCAAGCCCAACCGGGGAACAGGATCTGCGTTGATTGCTCTCAGAAGAACCCCCAATGGGCGTCCGTTTCCTATGGAGTTTTCATGTGCTTAGAATGCTCCGGCAAGCACCGTGGCCTCGGGGTCCACATCTCCTTCGTCCGATCCGTTACGATGGATTCCTGGTCCGAAATCCAGATCAAGAAGATGGAAGCAGGTGGTAATGAGCAACTCAACGCCTTCCTCGCCCAGTATGGTATCGCCAAGGAGACCGATATTGTCACCAAGTACAATACTAATGCGGCTAGCGTTTATAGGGATCGAATTCAGGCCCTTGCCGAGGGACGACCGTGGCGGGATCCACCGGTTGTCAAGGAGAACCTTGGCCCTGGGAAGAGCAAGCCTCCTTTGCCAAAAAGTGGAAACGATGGAGGCTGGGATAGTTGGGATAACGATGACGGTGTCAGATCTCCCCATGACTTCAAGCGCAACATGTCTACGGGGGATGTGAGGGGGTTCAATGGAGGTTCGACCGGCAGCAGGCCCGCGAGATCGAGGTCGACTGAGGATATCTACACGCGGTCGCAATTGGAGGCTTCCGCTGCCAACAAAGATAACTTTTTCGCTCGCAAGATCGCAGAGAACGAATCACGACCCGAAGGGCTTCCCCCCTCGCAAGGTGGCAAGTACGTTGGATTCGGATCTAGTGTCGCACCTTCCCGGGTGACTAACCAACAAAACGATGTTTTCTCAGTTATGTCTCAGGTGATTCATTGTGGAATTTCCTAGTCTTTTTTCTCTATGGCGGAGAAATAATACGTTCTTGTAACCAATTTTATATTACATGTTTGTTTCTATCTAGGGATTTGGTAAATTGTCTTTGGCTGCTGCCTCAGCGGCTCAGTCTGCTGCTACTGTTGTTCAGGCTGGCACTAAAGAGATTGCTACCAAGGTATTTGCATCTATTCTGTTTATAAGATGATGTATCAAACCGTCATGATTTGTTCATCTTGAATTTTTTTTGTTTAAGGCGTGATAGATATTGTGCGACCAAACGGCATCCCGATGCTGTCACGTGAGTTTATCAAGATTTCTTCTACACATCAATCAGAAGACACGACTTTACTCCATCTTTCTTAGACAATTAAATACTAGAAATAAGGAAACGAATAACAGATGAATGTTTTATACTTTTCTACTTACCAACAGCATCAGTCTCTTATTCCATATCTTCTTGATTTCTGTGTTGGTTTTGAGAATAAATAATAATGATTAGACCAATAGTGGTGCACAGTGGAGAGGATACATGAAAAAGAAAAGGTGTTGAATGAAGAAAATGGGGAAGTAATGCTGAGATTTCCATATGGGTAATTTTGAAAGATTCCATTTATTTTACTCAGATTTATATTATTGCAAGTTGTACGTCATATAGTTGTTAGTTGATTTTATCTTCGTGTTTCTTAGGTGATAAATCATATTCTCATGTTTAGGAAGTTGATGCAAGTCTGTTGGGGGGAAAAGAAAGAAAATATATTTGGTGCATCTTTCTTGAGTTTTTTTTATTTTAAATAAATTGTTTATAAATTTTTGCTTCAGCTTAAGCATTTGAAAGTCATGATTGGCGCTGATAAGGACTCCAACATGCTTCTAATAATATTCTACTTCATAATATATTAATTTTTGAAGTGGATTTTCTGAGAAATTAATTGGACGCGGGTTTGAAAGTTAAGCTTACAATGAGGAGTGGCCTTTCATGCTATTGATCTTCAAAGAACTTTATTTTTTGACGAATTGGTACTATTTACTGCTGATGATCCATGTACCATTGTTGTCTCTTTATGCATTCTTGAGGATGAGAGCTGGCAATGAGAAAATGTAAACTGATTATGGGGTAAGCAATTAGTGGTTTGGTCAAGAGCATTTTCATCATTCTGTATAGAGGCATTGGTTCTTTTTGTATAGAAGCATGCACAATAAGAACTTGATCACATCCCTTAATCTTTCCTTTTGTACCTGACGAGAGAATGCTGCGGGCGATGTTTGAACCACAGCACTGATGCAGCATGTGGGAGTTTGGTAGACAAGGGAGAGAAGGAGTGCAAGACTCCAAGAGTAGGGAGTGTGAGAGATCTGAAGCATTAGGGAGGGAGATGAGAGAGCACCATCAACAGGGAAACAGGGTTATGACTGAACAGGGAGGGAGAGTGAGAAATTAGGGAGAGACGGTGTTGTGAGGTAGGGGATTAAGGAGCGGGTGTCTGAGTTTAGATATTTGTGAATGACTGTAGGCTGCGTGAGATTGGAAGAGACGAGAGAAATGGCCAAACAATGAACGCACTGAAGAAAGACTGAAAGGGAACGTGGAGGCTGGCGTATGACAATTAGGTTTATCCTTGAACCACACTAAATGCTCTACATCATAAAAAATATATATAAGAATATATTTAATTGAGTTGGTCCTGTCTATCTAGATCTTATTTTATATAAGAAAAAAGAACAAGCGGTCAGTCTAGTGGGTTCAATTATCAGTCTCAGTTCAGTTTTGCTTACACCAGTTGTTTTTGAGACATTGCTTCATGAATTACATTATAGGGTCATAATGTTTTCTTTTCATTGAAAAGAGGAATGGATGGTGGCTCATATTCATTTATTCATTTTCTATATTTATTCTGTATGCCAGGTAAAGGATGGTGGCTATGATTACAGAGTCAATGAAACTGTCAATGTTGTCTCTCAGAAGACATCAGAGATAGGACAAAGGACGTGGGGGATAATGAAGGGGGTCATGGCTTTGGCTTCGCAGAAAGTTGAGGAGTACGCCAGAGATAACCCAAACTGGTCATCTGATAACTGGCAGCGAAATGAAAATGGTAGAAATGGCTATTATCAAGAATATAATCAAGAGAATAAAGGTTGGAATTCTTCTAGTGGAGGAGGGCAACCTTCATCAGCTGGGCAGAATAATACTTATCACTCAAGCTCATGGGATGACTGGGGCAATGATGATACTAGGAAGAAAGAACCAGCTAAAGCATCAGCTACTCATAACAATGATGGTTGGGCTGGCTGGGATGATCCTAAAGATGATGAATATGATAATTCGTACCAGAGTGTATCAAATAAGAATGCAGTTGGTCAGAATGGGAAGCCAGGTGACAGGTGGACAGGGGGAGGCTTTATGTAAGGTTTGTATATTATGACATTTGAACAATATGTTTTCTTTTTTTAATTATTTTAAGTGGAAATGGAGGGAGAACAAACAAAAGGAGAACAGAATGAAAATTAAGCGTATTTCTAATGGAATCTGCAAGTATCTTTCAACCTGCTTGGCCATCGAACGGCTTGAAATGTTAATATATGTCACATTTGTGTCGACATGCTTTTGTTATTGGGGAGGACATTGGCTAGATGATTAAATGCAGAATCTTGGGACTAGGAAGAATCATATTTTGCTTTCTTATGCGTAATTAATTTTGTCGTTCATTGTTTACTTTATTCTAGCTCTCATTTCATGCATATAATTTGAAATAGATATTCACTATTGAAACCCTTGCCTGACCCGAGTCTGATCCTTTCTTCACATTACTATAATTCAGCATAAATGACAAAATTATGGTAGCTTTCGAGGCGATCACATGCAGGCCAACAGGGATGCCTCTAAACATGATGGATGTAACCAGACTGTCGAGGATAAGTAAGTTGTCGTACAAGGGTCCAAAGGAAGGGCTTGTCGCTTAAATTTGAAGAACGCCACTTCCTGGAATTGTGAAGAAAACAATATTTTGATATGAAAACTTCCAAATTGTTTTGTATTTGTTGCAACCAAATTTGCCTGTTAATTTTTCATTTGCCCCATATTGAACACATGGCTTTTATTTGTCATTTCCCCGAAACTTGTTATTATTTTGAGTCAAACTCAAACTGGGGTTAATGCAAAAACAGCAGAACTCCTTTATATTATATATTTTGATAAGGTATAACTTTTTTATAGGAATCAATGGACATCTGTTTCTTTTCGCTCCTTACAGTAATGTTCGGCGGCTGGCTTATAGCCCCGATTTTAGCATTCTTTAATTTTGAAAATTTGGCTGTCCCCGACAGGGATGAGCGAACAACTGTTTTTCCGTCAGTTTGGTAAAAATTAGTTACCGTAACCGGATACATTTTGGGATGTATTTTTTCGAAAGCTCAGTCCAGTAAATTAAAAATTATTTGGGTGATATATTATGAAAATTACCTTTAAATGTATAATTATTTTTAAAAACAAGAACATAAACATAGAAAGATAAACTCATACTACTTTCGGTCTAAATTATGAAACATCATTTATAGTACGAATGATATTTTATAATTAGGGTCGGAGGTAGTAATATGCAATTTCTGTTGTTTAAAACTTGATTTGGTGGGAAAATATGAATATAGAAGTATTAGGTTATAATACCCTTTTGTTCTTTTTTATTTTTATTTTTTGGGGACAGTTATACCCTTTTATTCTATATATACAATAAATCTCTTAAAAAGCTAACAAGTAATAACTTGTATTTTTTAATTTTTGCGCGCTCGTGTTCTCTTATTTGATGATTAACATATTAATTGTACTTTCTATTCCATAAGTTAATGATTAACTCGTCTAAGTCGAGACGCGCGGAAAAATTATACTATCTTCGTTTTTTAATAAAAGACCTCAATTGATTTTTATTTTGGTTCTAAATATAAAACCTCAATCTACTTTGTTTTTCATATTTATATATTTTTTTTCAAACAAGTCCTTCTAATAATGATAATTATAGCTAATATACTTGATTAGTAAGGATATTTTAGGAAAATTAACACTCATTCATTACAAATAATTAACTTAACTTACTTCTTTAATCTTTTTAAATTAGTCAACTAACTCTTATAATTAGGACAAGAGGTAGTAATTAAGAATACTCAATGTGTTGGTTTTTTTTTTTTGGGTTGTTGGTCCAAGCCAATGTGCATTGCTATTATTTGAAAAAATAAAAAATAAAAAATAAAGAAAAGGGCCGGAGAGGGTAATATGATCTGGGAAGGGAACAAACAACTGCCAATAGAAATACATTTCTTACTGGACATAATTTGACTACAGAACTTTTATTGCGGATTAGTTGACGCCAATTTACACATTTTCTGATTTTCCACAGACTGAGGAAGTAACTAAATCTCATACGAACCCAAGCTCGACGTCTTTGCCTTTATTCTTGAAGACGATGCATTATTCCTTGATATGCATGTGACGAGGTACTTAAGAAAGTTGAAGTGACGCTACGCTGACTTGCTGATCCTTGGCTTTTTGCCTTTTATAGGCCCTTCATGGGAAATTTTCCTGCCATCAAACTGAGCATTGCCGTTTCAGAAACCAAGAATTGGCGAGCTACAGAAGACCAACCGCTAAACGCATAAGTAGTACCAGTTCGGTTCCGTTAAACGTTGTTGTCGTTTGATGTCGAATTGCCTTTCCCTATGGACGACTCGTCGGACTGAACTAGCACTTTAGATACGGGAGACTCGTCTCCCACTTCCGCAGCGTGTTGCTGAATGACCAGCACCGACGACCCCACGCCTTGTCCTGACGACGCCAGAATGTCTCCGATTGGACCCAACTCCGCGTGCTCCGCCTGCCGCTCTGCCAATTTCGCTACCATGCTCGACGGAAACCGCCCCTTCCCAGCAACTATCAGATCGTAATCCCCGCTACGTCCTATCCCGAAAACCTCCTCCACTATGTTGCTCGCTGCCTTCTCTATATAAACCGCCGTCTTCCACTTCCTTCTGAACTCCTCTAGAGTAGTTTCATCTAGGCCCTGCAATTCCGCACAGTCATTAATTTTTCGAACAAACTGAAAAAAAGTGTGTGCGAGTGTGTTTGAAATCGATTTTCTTACCTGCTCTTTCTCACGGTTCATCGTCGCGGTGGAGAAGCTGTAGTTTTTCTCGCTGCACTTATTTGGGGAAGGGCGTAACACGACTCCGTCACCTGCCAACCCATTTGTATCCACGAATCTCACAACGGTGACGTTAACCGCCGTATGCTCAGCCATTCTGCCACCCAATTCGATGGCCTCTCGATCATCGGGCCCACCAAAGAACAAAATACAGACTCGTTGGGTAACGTTCGGGGTTGTTCCTGCTGACCCATTTCCATATCCTCGATCTACAAGCACTGCCACAGAACATGGTGAATTCTTGAGCACCCTCTGGTTCACACCTCGCCATCCATGACCCACGTTGTCCCATGCCTCGTGGCTCTCACTCCCAATTTCTTCCTCCTCCATTTCCATCCTCCACTGCTTGTGAAACGGCAAGATAATCATAGTCACTCTCTTCTGCTCCGCCACGTGGCAAATGTCCTCGTGCATGGTGGACAGGGAAGAGATGGCTGTGCTGGGCCGGACGGAAACCCGTCCGCATTGACTATAGGCCTGAAAGGCTCCGGCGAGGCGGTCATGCCACTGTCCACCGCGGAAGCGGTTGAAGAGAGGGAAGCCATTCTTGCGGGCGCGCCGGGCCAAGACGATGGAGGAGGAGCGTTCGGTGAGCTCAACGAGGTGCATGATGAACAACTTGAGGGGAGACTTTTTGGTGCTGCGAGTTAGCTCGATGAGTCTGATGATGGAGGGTACGTTGCCGGGACCGTGCACGCAGGCTAGCACTCGCAGCTCCCCGGCCGCCTTTTTCTTGGAGCTCGAAGATAAGTCGCCCAGCTTACGGTGGGTCCTCGCTGAGATGCCACGTGCGGGCCTGTAGATGGCCATCACCGTCGGGGTTGTGATGAAGGTGGTGAACAGAGCCATCAGAACCAGAATAGCGAACATCTCATCGTTCAGGACCTGTCAAGGCATCTATTTCCTTAGTTACTTCAAATCAGTACATGGCTCTTTCAGTATGTACCAAAAAATAATTCAGTCAAGAATCCAATTTTTTTAAAAATATTTTTTAGAATTATCCTCAATCAAGTTGAAAAATAAAATTACTTCTCCCATCGTATTTCTATCAAGGCAAAAAAAAAAAAAAAAGGTACTCTGAAAATGAGTCACATGTATTTTATTAGATTTTATGAAGAATCTTGGTATTACCATAAATAAACCCTACATATAGAAACACATGCTCGAAGGTATTTGACACTGTCAAATTTTTATTTGTGTATATATCAATTAATGTATCGTTAATATTTTCATTCAACTAGATTTGATTTACTAGCTCAATTAACGTTTTTATTATTTAACTAGTAAAAAAGTGCCCTGAAATGTGCACGTGCGACATGCATGGTAATATTAATACATGTATTGTGAACTAGAGGCACTTATCACTGGTTGACAAATGAAGCGCAAATCTTTGTCATTGAAAGTGGGAACTTGGGAATATAAGTCGGAAGAATCCACAAAAATGATAGCCCTCTTGGTGCGTCATTATCATCGAGATCACTCTCAATCTCAAAGAGAGGAGCTGGGAACCTCTAATTTGTCACTACGCATGATCTGTGGTTAATTATTTGGACCACACTTAGTTTTATTCTCCAACACAGTACTTAATAATCATTGGAAACTTGTTCAGTAATGGCCAGTTTTGGGAAGGACGTACCACAGTTGAATCAAAGGGAGGAATAGTCTCTGATGATTGAGACTTATAACATACGGCTAGTGAGAGAAGGCTATATATTATCTATGCTGCTAAAGCCAATGAAAATTATTTCAGCCGAATAGGTTTCATAATTAGAAGCAGGAAAGTGGTGCGAAGGGGCTTAAGTTGGCGTTTGGTCTGGATGAATGAGAGAGATACATCTCAACCTCAGCATTTAAATCTGCTTTCACTTTGCTACTTAGTTCTGAGCTGTTCAGAGGGACACATATATACCACACGTCAACCTTAGAGATGAGAATAAACTAGCTTATATTCAAACCCATATAGAGTCATCACTAATTACTGCCAAATACATCGGAGACACAAATCTCCAACTTCATTAATCCTTGGAAAATCTCCGTTGCTAATGATGACAGGCAAATATACGGTTTATGCACTTAACACGTAAATATCCCCAGACTTTTCCAATTAATCGTAGAAAATTAGACATCAAAATAGAGACCGACATATTTAGTCAATATATATATAGATATAGATATGTCCCAGCCACCTTGCAAAATTAATTTTCAGGAACGAAAAAGTATGATTCTTTCATATCTTTCCACTGTCCAGCTTCTTTTTGTGAAGAAGCATGGGGGTAACGGAAAAGAGGGCGAGAGATACACCCTCGCTTTGGTGTGATGAGGTGCAGTTGGAGAACATATTAATATTACGGTCTGAATGAAACATTAAAAGGCCACGTGTCGGCCAGAAAGCATGAAAGGGCACGTGGCACTTAGATGAAAGCGTTTGGAATTGGAAAAAACAAAAGCTGACCTTTTTCTCCTTGCCAATGTTGAGCACGATAAGCTCCACCAGGCCTTTGGTGTTCATGAGGACGCCCAGCGTTAAGGATTCCCTCGCCGGAATCAAACACATCATCGCCACCGCCAATGTCCCCAGTATCTTGCCCGCGCAGGCAGTGGTTATGACCAGGGCCAGTAGCCCCCAGGCCTCACCGCCTCTGATTTTCGCCACGTCCGTCTTCAACCCGCTCGATGCAAAATATAGCGGGAGAAGCAGACCCGACACGAAATCCTCGATCCTCTCTATTAGTCTCTCGGCGAAATCTCCTCCTTTCGGAATTGTTAACCCGAACACGAATGCTCCGAATATCGAATGGATCCCTATAAAGTCGGTCATGAAACCCGACACCATCACTCCGGCTAAGGTCAGGCAGATGTACGCCTCGTCAACTGCTTCATGCTCCGACGAGCATCTCCGGGCCACCCATTTCATCGCGGGTCGGATCGCGACCATCATGAAAATTACGAAAGCAACCCCTGAAAGAAGAACCCACACTGACACTAAGGGGCTCTTATGATGCCCCCCGTCGCCGTCGCCGGCTATAGCTACTGCCAGAGCCAGTAGGATCCACGCTGCGACGTCGTTGAATGCGGCTGCGGCCATGGCGATCTCTCCCACCTGGGTAGTTAAGAGTTTGAGCTCGGCTAAGATACGAGCGAGCACAGGGAATGCCGTGATGGAGAGTGCGACGCCCATGAAGACCACAAACTGACCGAAACCAACCTTGTCCACTCCGTCGACGGTTTTTCGAAGCAACATGGCGACGCCGATGCCCAAAATGAAAGGAACAGAGATGCCAGAGGCGGCTATGGCAAAGGCTCGGCGACCACTCCGGCGAATGGAGGTTAAGTCGAGTTCGAGACCGACGAGGAAGAGGAAGAAGAGAAGACCTATGCTAGCGACGGATTCGAGTATGGGAGTGCTCCAAGATGGGAATATACGGTGCATGTAAGCTTGGTTCCTTCCGAAAGCCGATGGGCCAAGCAGAATCCCACCCTGTAAAGTGTAAAGAAACACAAGCATTGACCATTATTAATAGTAAAGAAGATAGAGAAAATGATGATAATGGAAAATAATGAACGTACGACAATCTCAGCGATGACTTTGGGTTGGCGAAGAGGTTTGAGAAGGAAAGCGAGGGAACGGCTGACGAGGAGGATGAGGAAGGTTTGAACGATGAGGAGAGGGAAGGCGTAGTAGAGGGGGTTATCGCCCTGCCAAGCTCCATCGGAGGAGGTTTTGATGGAGGTGATGTTGAAAACCATGATGTTTGCCAAGAAGCTGAACAAAGGTGGTGCGGGGTGGAATGCTAAACCACTTCTGCGGAATCGTTCCTATTTATAGAAGACAATGCCACAAAAGGTTGCTTTTTTGTTTGAAATACACTTTTTTTAAAAAATATTTTTCATCTCTTTTATTTGGAATTTTAATTTTAACTCCTGATTAAAAACATATTGAATCAATCGTCGGAACCATTTTGACCACAGTTTGACAGTGCATTATGATTACTTAATTATGAACCAATGTCCTGATTGATATATGATGTTTTATACAGTGTCCTAGCTTTTTTTTTTTTTTTTTTCCCGGATAAGATACGTTGTCCTCGTTAGATTCCACATTCTAATCCCTCTCTCTCTTTTTCATATTTATTTTTTCCAAACTAATTTATTTATTTTTTAACTGATACGTAATATAATGTTGTATAGGGATTTTTTGGCAAATTAATTATGTAACTTTTATTAAGAATTGAGAATTGGGAGCAATAAAGTTAACACGAGGCTATTTAAGTTTTAGGCCGTCGTGAATGGAAGCACATGTTCTTATTCCTATCTTGTCTGTATGCTAATCCATCAGTTCATGACCAATTTTTCTAGGTGAGAACCCCAAAATAATAATGCTTTTATCCCAAATCATGCCAAACATAATATATCAAAGGAGGTTTGGCTCCGTGTTTAATAAGCATATATATACTATCCCCTTTCCTAAATATAAGAGCTCATTAATTAACTAATTTAAATAGATTAAAAAAATAATTTAAATTAATTATT